AAATGTGGTTGTAGGAAATTTTACGAAACTGTCACGGAATTTTTCCACAGCGTTCCGTAATTTTTATCCGAATCTCTTGTGAAAAATTACGATACCGTCACTGAAATTTTCTGAGTCGATTCCGTAATCGGCGAGCGAATTGTGAGTTCCGTAATTTTTACTGAACATTTCTCTCCGTGCTGACTTTTTGTTTATTCATGTTTTGTTTATTTGTTTGCACATGATATGTTCCAACACTGATATAGAAGTAGTTTGACTAGGCGGAGATTGCCGGCAAGAGCCTGATGAAGCTGAAATAATTTAGCGAAACGTCGCACTATAACGATTTAATCAACGTCGTAATTATGTCTTCAATATCCCCTGACCTTTCTTATATTGACTAATATCATGGAGATGAGAGGAATCATTAATACTCATAAATTCGATTTCTATCCTTGTCTTATTTCGATAGAATAAATCAAATAAATGACACAAATTAAGAATTGGAGACTAAAAATTTTATGCGATTATAATTTATGTAATAATTTATCATCAACAAATGCATTGGAATATTGAGAACCCCTGGATCTTTCGAATAGAAACGAGGCGTAGGTTACGTTATACCAGCCGCAATTTTCTCGCTGGATATGTATACATGTACAGTGGGAGATCGAGCCAGCAGCCCAGGAGCCATAGCTTCCCCTCTCTCATACCATTGAGCATTTGTTTCTTAAATGTATTTATCTCTCTATACGTGTATTTAATGTATATATGTGGCATGAGATAGGGCCCACCAGTGTATCTCTCTGTTGCGCAGCTACTTCAGCCATTGCCCAAGGAAACTCTCCTTACTTCTTCCACTCTCTCAACTTCTTGACTTCTCCCGCGCCGTTGCGGAGTTAGGCCAGGCCTTCGCCTTTTATTACGAGTGAAAGTCGCCAAGTTTTAGGTGCAGGCGAAACATTTAATATTACACTGTACAAATCCACAACTCTCTGACTTATTACTCACACTTTCAGCTGTTATTTCCTTTGAGGTTTTCACGAATCTCTTGATTTCTTTATTCTCATTATTCGGGGAAATTCATGGCTTCGCAGAGAAAAAAGTTGCTGGTTTCTAGAATCAAGTTACTGATTTCATGAAACTCATGGTTCTACAAGGCACTGAGAATGAGAAATTGCTCACTTAGTTTCAGAGGAAAAATTCTTGGAATTCAGGAGCAAGAGAGTGTACTTATTTCAAGTGAGAAATGTTGTTAAGGATATCCAAGTTTCTTTTACTGTTTGGTAGAGACCACCTTACAGATTCAACCTTTTGCAATCACCAAATTCGTCAATTAAATTGCGTGAGAAAAATTTGAAAAAAATCGGTGAATATTTTGCTTTGTTAAAATCACGTTTTGCACAGAATTATTTTTTTTAACATTCGTTGTTTATAAATGAATATGGAATCGATTTCTGGTACAATTCTGAATATGAGTCAATTTTTTACGATTCCGAATAAATGATTGTTAAAGTGGAAAATTAATTGTTTATAAATTATTTATAGAAATTGCTCGTAATTTTCAACGATTGCAATTTTTTAATTATTTCATCAATCTTCCTCCAAAAGTAAATTTTGTATTTTTTTTTTGATTTTTAAAATGTTTTCTAACGGTTTAATATCGAGATTCAAAATCAGACCTGCAAAATTTAAATAACAAAATCATTGTAAAATGTCCGGAAACTTAGGGTCAAATGGGGTCAAATGAAAGCTCTGACGTTTGACTACAAAAGTAGAAAAGCATTTCAGTGGAGAAAAAATGTCCAAAGTACTTGGATATTCTTAAGGTTATGCAAGTATCTTTTACAGCTTGGTACAGGCCACCCTACCGATTCAACTTTTTTCAATCACCAAATTAATTAAGTACATTGCGTGAAAATTTTTTTTTGAAAATCATGAATATTTGGCTTTATTGAAATTACATTTTGCACAGAATTATTATTTTTTTAACATTCGTTGACCATAAATAAATATGAAATCGATTTCTAGTAAAATCCTGAATATGAAGAAATTTGTTTACGATTGCGAACAAATCAGTAGCGAAGTGGTAAAACGGTTTAAGTCGACTTATCTCTCAGTTGAGTTTTTGAGGAATATTTCGGAATCTAAGGGAGATAGTGAAATTTACGTAATTACATTTGTTGTAGCTCTCAATCGGCTCTACGAAACAGGTTATAACAAAAATTCTGCCATCTCCTTTAGATTCTGAGATATTCATTGAAAACGGGTCTATAGTCAAAATTGACTTGTCCCGTTTTACCACTTCGCTACTAAAATGATTTTTAAGGTGGAAAATTGGTTGTTTATAACTTATTTATTGAAAATGATCGTAATTTTCAAAAGTGGCAGTTTTAAAATTATTTTAGCAAACTTCCTCTAAAAGTGAAGTTTGTAATTTTTTTTCAGATTTTTAAAATGTGTTCTAACGGTTCAATATCGAGATTCAAAATCAGAACTGCAAAGTTTAATAATAAAATCATTGTGAAATGTCCGGAAAGTTGGGGTCAAATGGGCTCAAATCAATGCTCTGATGTTAGACTACAAAAATAGAAAAGCATTTCACTGGAGAAAAAATAGCCAAAGTATTTGGATATCCTTAACGTATATCCAAGTATTTTTACAGTTTGGTACAAGCCACACTATAGATTCAATGTTTTTCAATCATCAAATTTCTCAATTACATTGCGTGAGAAAAATGTGAAAAAAAATCATGAATATTTAGTTTCATTAAAATTGTGCAAATATGGAATGTTCACGGAAGGTTTCCATGATACGTATCTCACGGAACATATTAACAATTAATACCGATAGGTACCTTTGCTGACTGGGGAGGGTGATCTAGATCTTGGTATTTTTGCGATTTTTCTGATGACAGTCATTAGAATGTCAAAGCCAAGTTCAGCATGCTAATTTTCGAAAGAATCCTTTTATATCAATGTGCTGAGAGTACAAAAAACGAGACTTATTCCCAGTCATTTTCCATATGTAAATTGCGGGAACCCTAACGCACGCGAAAAGAATCTATGAAAAAAGCAGTAGAATTAGAATTTTTCTATACAACTTTTTCTATAAGAATTGCTTGACATAAATTATCTAGGTTTTTTAAATTCCATCTTTTCTGTTTTCTAATTAAGAAAAAAAAAACAAATCAGAAAAATTAGAATTGACTTTTGACTCTTTGGTGAATGACTATTTCTGTACAAAATTTTCTATCGAACATTTCTATTGTCCAGTATCAGAATTCTATTTAAAAAACGTCTATTGAAAAAAAAAAGCGTAGGGTAAGCTACCCAGTAGATGGACACTGCCCTATAGATGGACGAGCTACTTTTGGATAGGAAATTACGCAAAAAAATACTGAAATGTGAATTGTTGCTTTGAATTTTCACTAACTGTTGTGATTCTTAACCCCTGAGTGACGATTTACCCTAGAAAACGTGCGGAATTTTTCAATAGAATCGGTAAAAAAGAAATGCAATTTTCTAGCGAATTCGCTAGATTGTTTTATGAAATTCTTTGGTACATGGAAGATTGTAGACTGGCTCACCAAATTGTTCTTAGCGGTTTAATTTTTTAGGTAAATTTCTTTCCATGAAGAACCGTTGGATTTTTCTACTTTGGATAAGAAATGATTCGTAAACATGAGTAGATTGAAATTAGAACAAGAAAAATCATCCGTGCAACACTGTTCAAAATATTTAGAAATTTGATAGAAAATAGGGTAGTAATTTTCATGTCAGGGACATTGAATCCGATTTAGGGGAAAAATGGTTATGAAATTTCAAGTTTTAGACAAAAGTCAAAGAAATTCATGACTTCTCAGTGAGAGTGACATGGAAATTTTACAATTTGGTTGAATTTTCTATGGAACATGAAAATTCAGAAACAAAATGATTTGAATTTTCAATTTTTTGCTAAATTTTCCGATTTTTATGGAATAATTGAACTGAAAAATTGAGTATTTTATTGATTTTCTGCTAAAATTTTTTCCTAAAATTTCAGTGGAAATTAAACATGATAAAAATTTCCGGGATTCGACACGGAAAATTCAGCCGAAAATTTTTAACAGTGAAGATTGAGAATGTTCTCTATTTGAGGACGCGGATGTTCTTAATTCAAGAACCCCAAGGTTCTTATGCTCAGAAGTCAAAAGTTCTGAATTCCATAACCAAGATTTCTTTACGATAAGAAGGAGTCTCCCTCAAATTAAGGATAATTATCCTGCATTCATATTCAATTCAGTGAGAGTAAGAACTTTTTCCTCCGATTTGAAGGAAAATTTTCTTGAAATATGTGAAAATTTCTGCTCTTGTCCAAGACACGGTTATGCAATTCATAGATTCTTACTAAAAACTAGAAACTCTATTCCTCTGTTATTCTTTCTGCACCTAATCAAAAACTTTTTTTTATGCCGTAGGCTGCAGGGTTTCGTAAGTAGAGAATAAATTTTTTGTGTTTACGATAGTGAAGACGGGAGACATTGATATATTTTCGAGAATATTCTAATTGGAATATTTCAATTGGTGAATGCCACTCAAATAGCCCGAGGTTACACCTCATTTTCGTACCAAGGGCGCAACTCCCTTTCCCCATATATATAACTCCAGTAATAACTATCCCAATATAAAGGTCATTATGGTCTCGATTCCTCACCTCACATCCGGTCTAAAAGCAGTGCCAATTGCACACGAGAATGGAATGGCTGAAGAGATATTTTTGTTATTTCATTTGTGCCAAGAATTTTCAACGACAACTCGCAGGATGTTATTCATTCTGGAAAAATGTAACGTACGCCTGTATCTCTATCCTCGAACACAAAAGTTGTATTAACCCTGGAGTTATGGAGTGGTTTTAGACCCGAGAGAAAGCTGCGCCTTCGGTCACTGCAGAATGCACCCTATCGTGAAAAAAGAGATGATAAAAAAACGACTGTTGCTAGTGTGCCTGACCAGTTCTTTTCTTTTTGTCATGATTTGCAGAGCAACAGCATTTGTACAAAGGTGAGAGGAGATGGTATCGAGAAGAAAAATTCTATCCCGTTCGAGGGACAACCTCGCAGACGCTCAGTACGAGGATCAGGAAGAGGAGGATGTCTGGTATAATTTGGACAAGTTGTACAAGGTGAGCATCAATCTACGTCCTCCAAACGTCTTTTATTTTCGAGTTCTCTCACTCGAAGAGTTGTTCCCATGTTAATCCTTATTCGAGACAATACGTTAATTTCAATATCAATTATGAGAAAAAATTAATTGCTACCGAAGTGATTTTTTGGCCTCGGGGGAAAAAAATTTAACGATAAGAAAGGAAAGTTAATGATATGTTGTTCTCGAAATTCCAGGACCACATACAAGAGGTGTTGGACAAGTGGAATCAGATAGACGATGAGATCTGGGCAAAGGTGATCGTCTTCGAGCGAAACAGAAGAGTGGCAAAGGCGTACGCGCGGGCACCGGTTCTCACTGTCAATGGTTCCAATGATGGCTTCGATGGGTTTAGGTAAGTACTAGACTCGAAAGCTATGACCCAATTCTTTTTCACTTTATTTTTCTTATTACCAGTCACGTCTCACTTGTCGTGCGGGGAATCATATTGAACATTAGTCGGTCACATATGCTCGGAATTAATTATACTCAGGAGTATTTCGGAATTTCCGCTGTCTCGGAGCGAAATGGTGACCCGTACTGTGCCGAATTCAATATTTTTTTGGGGAGAAGGAATTTTCAACAGGATATGTGTCGTGACGTTTTTCAATATTCAAGAGGTTTCATCCAAAATCACGAACACCCAGAAAATTTTTCTGTATTTTTTATTTTCAAATGATAGACAGGGTTATCTTTTTCATGTTGATCAAATTTTCAATCTATCAATCAGAGTTACACGCACAAAAAAATTTAATAGAAAAACCTATCGAATTCGTTAGAAAATTCTATTGAATTTCTATCAAACTTTCTATTAGTTTTTGGCTGATTCTATTGACATTGTTCAGTAGGAAATATTTAATAGAAAAAGTCAACAGAAGTTTTTTTCATTCTATTTTTCTTTTTTTCTCATCAAGAAAATCAAACGAAAAAACTTAGAAAATTTGAGTCGAGGAAATTCTATAGAAAATATATCAATAGAATAAGTTGTATAGAAAAATTGAATTCTATTGACTTTTTCTACTGAATGTTTTCTATTGAACATTTCAATAGAATCGGCCAAAAACTAATAGAAATTCAATAGAATTTGCTAACGAATTCGATAGGTTTTTCTATTAAATTTTTTCGTCCGTGGAATCATTCAAAAATAAAAAGTTTAAGGGGAGACCGCAGGGAAATTTGAAAGTCTCTGGGTATTATGGAGACGCTTGGAAAAGTTTATAATATGTGTTGGAGGTGAAAAAAAAGACGGAAACAATCGAACTCTCTAATCTAAGGTTCGAAAGGGTCAAAACGGGTAAAAATGGGTCAAAATATACAAAAACGTCCAAGTGCCTCAATTTTCGACCGATTGAGCTGAAATTTGGGTTACCATAGTTGAGATATTATTATATTAAAAATATTAAAAATATATAATAGGAATAAAAATGGATAAAATTAAATTAAGCTAATAGTGAAGGCAGAAAATAAAATAAAACGGTATAAATTAATCTAGCCAGTCTTAATGAATTACAAATCCAAATTTCACCCCGGTCACCTCTTAAGATAGTAGGACTTGAATTATTCGGCCATTTTATATTATAATAAATTGGGGCATACCACTGGGGAGAAAAAATATAAAAATATGTAAAGAATTAATATTTTCAAAATCTGTCTTTGTTTTTTTGTGATTATTTCAACTGTGTGTAACTCAAATTCCAGCTCAATCGATTGAAAGATGAAGTACCCGGACGATTTTGTACATTTTGACCCATTTTAAGTCGTTCTGACCCTTGAGATGCTTCCGAAAATTTTGGAATTCGATTTTTTTCCACTTTTCATTCACCTACAACTCATATTATAAGCTTTTACAATCGTCTCTATAATACGCAGAGACTTTCAAATTTCACCGTGGTCTCCCCTTAATTAGGAGCATGGGCCATGGATGTGGATCATGGTTTTTGGATGAAATGACTATACAATTCTATTCCATGCACAGAGAGAAATAATCAAAATTACGTATCTTTTCCGTAATTCCGGAGTGAAATGTAGTTGTAGGAAATTTAACGGAATTGGAGCGTTCCGTATTTTTTACCTGAATCTCCTGTGAGAAATTACGATACCGTCGCTTAAATTTTCTGAGTCGATTCCGTAATCAGTGAGCGAACTGTGAGTTCCGTAATTTTTACTGAACATTTCTCTCCGTGTAATCAATTCGCAAATTTTTCACTTGAAATTTCCCAGTAGGCGAATTATTAAATTGAACATAAATCTCATAAGAGCCCGTTTATACTAGATTCGTTTATTCCATTTTCTCGAAGCTACACTGTTAAAAAATTTTGTCTGAAATTTCCGGTACACTTTTTGGAAATTTTCATCGAATTTAATTACCACTGGAATTTCAAGGAATTTCGTCGTTAAAAATTTAGAATTGTGTGGGAAAATCAAAGAGAACTCCAAATTTCAGTTCCATTGTCCCCTGAAAATAAATAGAAAAACAGGAAATTCCGGTAAATATATTCTTGAATTTTCAGGACAGTGACACTGAATGCGATTTAGGGGTAAAAAAATCATGAAATTTCAGATTTCACTGAAAATTCAATGTAATTTGGCAAAGTAGCTCTACCCTTCGGCCGGGCCTCTTCTTTTGGATATTTTCAGTTTAAAAATTTTTCAACTAAATTGCATGGAAAAAATTTGAAAAAATTCATACCCAGTCAGTATTATCTAAGTTAAATTTCGCAAAATATGGATATTTTTTCAAACATTTCCCTCTTATAAATAAATAATAAAACTTGTTTGCAAAATGGTAGTTTATTTTTTATGAGATGTCAAAAAAATTCTTGATTTTTTCACATCTAATGAAACAAAATTCAGATTTTAATCTTTGATTGCAATGGAAATGTTGATTTTCACATAACACACTGGTTAAATCCTGATTTTTAAACATTTCTTCTTTGAAAAACCAAAATGATAATTAAATTGAGAAAAAAAATTGAATTCCGAATCTAATCGAGTTTTCTGCAATTTTTTTGCAGTTTTCAATAATCTTTGAATTTACCGTAAGGGTAGAGCTACTTTAGAGTTCTAGAAATTTCAGTGAATCTGAACTTTCATAATTTTTTTCCCCTAAATTGCATTCAGCGTCACTGTCCTGAAAACTAGTAGTCAACTATCCATGAAATTTCATTTTTTTTTAACAGTGTACTGCAACACTTTTTTTGAATCATTCGAAATCTTGGCTTTGTATGTCTTTCCAATTTTCCTGGAACATGAAAAGAATCGATGTTCGGAAAATAAATAAACATCTAGTTTATTTATTTTCCGTATTATTTTAACAATATGTGGAAAATATTGATTTCCTAACATCAGTGAATTTTGATTGCATTTTTATTTGAAATGATGATGTCTTTTCAGTATTACTTTGGAATAATTATGTGACAATGTTGTTAAATTTCGATCTACAGGATAGGATTATGTGGATTTGATAATCCAATGAGAGACCCAAAAACAGAGGAAGCCAAAAGACATATAAATCAAGGAGTAAAGATCAAAATGGACGATCAAGGAAATATACTCATCAAGAGACTGTGTAAGAGTAATGTTTACATTAAAACAACACACCCAGAGGATAATGCCGTGGGTGCTGAGATACTGAGGAATTCACAGGGTGCCTTGGAGCACGAGAAACCGGGAAAAATATTTGACATGAACAAATACCAAACGAATTTGTCGAGAGAAACGAGGCGAGCTTATCCAGACAGAAAGAGATTAGAGAAACAGTGTCTAAGTGCTATTGTCTTTGTACGCACTGAGGCAGATTTATTACAGTGCCCTGTTTGGGTACTCATTGTCAATGTCGTGGGTTTGGATATGCTGAAATCAAAGTTGCCACCAAGTAAGTGTCACAAAATTACACCCAGAAAAAATAATCCTTATTTTGAGTTTTCAAAGGTGTCGAATGGAGACTTTCGGAAGTCTCAATTTGAGACTTTCGGAAGGATCAAATAAAGATTTTCGAGCGTCAATTTCAGACCTGAAAATCTCGATTTGATGTTTTTGAGTCTCAAGTTGAGAATTTCCAAAGTCCCAATTTGAGACTTCAAAATGTTAATTTTAACCTTCTGAAAGTCGTAACTTGCGTCTTTCAAATCTCAACTTGAGACTTTCTAAAGTCTCAATATCACATATTCAGAGAATTTAAATTCAGATTTTCAAGTCTCAAATTACGATTTCAAGTCTTAACTTGAGACATACGAAAGTTTCAACTTGAGACGTTTGAAAGTCTCAACTTGAGACGTTCGAAAGTCTCAAGTTAAGACTTGAGACTTTCGAAAATCTCCAGTCGAGACTTTCAGAACTCAATTTAGGATTTTCGAAAGTCTCAATTTGAGATCGTAAGTCTCAAATTGAAATTCTTTTTTTTGTATATTGTATCAATGGATGTAGTGATGAAATGGAGAACGTTATCAGTGGAATGATCTCAGTGACGAGTGATTTTAGACGGAAATATGGATAGACCATTTGTGGCTGAAGAAATTTTCAATTAACAATCTCTTTTGATATTTTCCCCTAGAATCATACATCAAGAGAACTAGATGATCGTTAACTAGATTAGAGCTGCGCAAAAATGTTCTGACACCCACATGGACCAGTCCAAATATGACAATTTTGGTCACATGATCAATTTATGATGACATGACCGTATAAATCGATGGTTTGCGATGAAATTCGCGTCACATGATCAAATTATGGACCGATCGCCACATTCCACCTAAATAGTGACGCACGAAAAAATATAATAGAAAAACCTATCAAATTCGTCAGAAAATTCTATTGAATTTCTATTGAACTTTCTATTAGTTTTTGGCTAATTCTATGGACCTGTTTAATAGAAAAAATCCAATAGAAAAAGTTAACAGAATTCGATTTTTCTATGTAACTTATTCTTTTCATATATTTTCTATAGAATTTGCTCGACTCAAATTTTCTGGGTTTTTTTCATTCTATTTTCCTTTGCTTCTCATCAAGAAAATCAAACGAAAAAACTTAGAAAATTTGAGCCGAGGAAATTCCATAGAAAATACCTGAATAGAATAAGTTATAAGCATTAATTTAGCTAAAATATTTAGCGAAACGTCGCAATTATGATAAATGAACAGACAGTGGTTATTTTTTTTCTCCAATAACCCTTGATTTTAGTCCTTCCAACTTACTAGCATAGGAGGGAATATTAAAATACTGTGTTATATAAATTCTACATAACCATCGTATTCGATTTAAATAACAATAACATCGTCAAACTATTCAAATTATTTCAAATCGTAAAAATATTACGTTACATGCTCGTAAATGTATCATATAACAAACAAGTGGACCATTGCATTTTTTTATTAATGGGCAATTTGCCTCCGAATGGGTCCTCTTTTTTGTAAGTCTTATTTCACTATTCCATTCTTCCAAGGAAAAATGAAGACAAAAGACCACATACATACATCCACCACCTAAAAATCACATATTCGGGCTTTTTAGACCATATTTACACGAAGAGAAATGTTCAGTAAAAATTACGAAACTCACAGTTCGCTCACCGATTACGGAATCGACTCAGAAAATTAAGTGACGGTATCGTAATTGTTCACAGTAGATTCACTACAAAAACCAGGTGTCTGACAGCTACACGGAGAGAAATATTCAATAAAAATTACGTATCTTTTCCGTAATTCCGGAGCGAAATGTGGTTGTAGGAAATTTTACGGAACTGTCACGGAATTTTTCCAGAACGTTCCGTAATTTTTATCTGAATCTCCTGTGAAAAATTACGGTACCGTCACTTAAATTTTCTGAGTCGATTCCGTAATCGATGAGCGAACTGTGAGTTGCGTAATTTTTACTGAACATTTCTCTCCGTGTATCTGAATTTAATATGTCAGATGGTAAAAAACGTCTGAATCTTCAAAAGTGTCTGAAAATTTGACTAATGTCTGAAACTTTCAACCACCATTTCTGTCTAAAAATGATGGTAGACATTTTTTGTGTCTGAAATTCAGTTATTTATGAGTGATTCAAACATTTCACTATTAAGATATTTCACCTGATTCAAACGGCAAAGTCCATTCAAACATTAATTTTTAAGATATTTCTCATGTCTGAAAAGTTGACTCATCCACTGCAAAAACTAGGTGCCTAACCACCATCTGAATTTAAGATGGCAGATGGCAAAAAACGTCTGAATCTTTAAAAGTGTCTGAAAATCTAAGTGATGTCTGAAAATTTCAAACACCGCTTGGGTCCGAAACTGAATCTTGATGTCTGAAATTGAAATACCTCCATTAATTCAGACACATTTTAATGTCTCAAAAGTGTCTACAAAATCGTCCCAAAAGTGTTTGAAAAGTGTATTCAGACATTAGTTTTCGTCGTGTTCAAATAAAAATTGCGCAAATAAAAATTGGTCTGGAAAAATTCCGTGATTTTAGGTAATAATTACGTGACAGCTCCGTAAAATTTCCTACAACCACATTGCGCTTCGGAATTACGGAAGAGATACGTAATTTTTATTGAATACTTCTCTCCGTGTAGCTACCCTACACCCTAGCACAAAAAATTGTAAACTTAAATTTCTACGATTACAAAGCTTCCATTCTGTGTCAAAAAGCGGTCATATTAACACCTCTTAACGGAATGATCAACAAGATGTAGAAAATTGACTCGTTACGTCTCATCGGGCATCACTGCATTCACATCGAATCGTTTGAAACATTGAACAATGTTAATCAATTTTTGTACATCAGTTTTAGCTCTTCAAAGGCCCGTTGACATTAAAAACCGCCCGCGAATTCCAATCCCCGATGAGGATCCCTACAGCGTCGCAGGTGTTTCCTCGTCTTCCGGTCCCAGTGACGGGAGAGACATGAGCAGAGATCCAAGACAGGAATCGATATATGGGCACTCGTCAAGTTACCATCAACGCCGAGCGGAAAGACCGCCGAAACTTCCGCCAAGGGAGAACCTTTATGGCCATGGCATTCCTAAGGTACTTATCATCAATCATACGCATCATTACCACAATGCTCATTGCTGGTCAATAACTGAGGATGGCCTGGATTACCTTTCGGCATTAAATTTTTATCGAGTACACTTTGTTCGGAATTGAAAGTGGAAGTGAAATTTTTTATGTTCTTTCGTGTGTAGATCACCCGTGGGAGGGGAGGGGGGGGGGGGAANATCGCTGAGCAAAAAATTTTCCAGTTTTCAAGTAACTATTCAAGTGTGCATTTGAACATTTTTTGAATATTGATTTTATTTATCAGATTGATTTTTTTCTCATCACCTACGGGTGTCAAATAATTTTTATTGGATGTTTTTCTAAGTATTGAAATAATATTAAAATGCGTCTCGAGTTGCTAAACCTGTCGAGTGTTTTCTCTCCTTCAGTTTCATGGTTCAACCGATATCTTTCCCATGATGCTCACTGACATTCGAATCATGCCCCTGCGCGTGAGGGCGTAATTACCCCGAAACTCACAATTTTTCGAATCATTTGTTCAAATAACTTTCTTATGAAATCTGAAAAAAATCTGAAACTTATACGTGTTTTCAAGAAAGATTTGATTGATCACCGACTAGTTTTTCCTCAATAGTTCATTATTTTTTTGGGTGCCATGGAAATTTCCCTAATTGAGAGTGGGGTAACCTCCCCAGGGAACAATTTTTACGGATGCTATCTAAGTCCCTAGCAAGACCGGTAAATATCCGGAAATTTATCGGTAAATTATTAGCTGGGTCGGACGTTGTAGCTGGGAATTACAAAAACATCCAAATTTCATTTTTTTTTCTTGAAACTGAGATCTGAAAAAAATGTGCAAGAATTCTCAATAACGCAACATACTCAGACATTTCTCCCCTCAGTTTCCCAATTCTTTTTCATTATTTTGACTTTTTACACGAAACACCTCCAAATAGTACGGATTGCAGTGATGAGAATTCATTTGAGAAAACGGGATTGTCCGGTAGATTATTCCTCCTAATAATGTTGGCCAAGGAAGTGTCATTAGTTACGTTGAATTATGCATCTGTAATCCCGCCCTAATTGGATTTATCCGTTATTCCCATCTTAGTTATTCTTATTTCTCATTCAAGCTTTTCGGATACCGTAGAGTATAAACATAAAATTTGAAAATTTACTCAAGCAATTAGTTGGAAAATCGTTGTCACCGTTCTGGAAGATAATCCAAGGGCCTTAATCCCGAAACTTTACGTCATGTCTAAAAATAATTGGACTTTAATTCTTCTTCCACTCGTGTTCAGCCCGATTACGATGATATCGAAGACGACTATGGTACAAGCAACGGTCGACCTACAGTCTTAGTTGCCGACGAGAAAAAGAGTAAAAAGAATGACAGTAAAAAGTACGATGATCCTTACTACTGTGGATTGCGTGCACGAGTACCAAATTTCGTAAAGATGGCAAAAAACAGTCAACATCAACCGAAGATGCATCCGTCGTACGGCCACGTAAGACCGTCATACGCCGGCCCAACCGGATACACTAGTAGTCAATCGTCACAAATTTATGCAAGTCATGCACCGATTAAAAGACCCCCTATCATGTACCACGCTAGAAGCTTTGAGAGTGGACTAGGTGAGTATTTGACCAGACGTATGATGAAATTCTCATTTTTTTCGCCGCATTGTGTACAGAGTATCCCAAAACGATTGAATGTGATTCTAAAAAAAAGGATGAAAGAGGATGCAATTTTCAGTCCAAAGTCCCCTTTCGACTTTTGGCTCTGAACGTTGGTTAACGAGTTGCAAATGGCGCGATTGCGATTCCTTTAGCGCCACGATTTAACATATGTTTTCCGTACCATTTTTCACCAGGATTACGGGGAAAATGATGAAGAAAATTCCATCTCCATTATTTCTCAAACACAAGGACAAACGCAAAGTTTTCAACATTTCTCGCGCAAGCGTTCGGAATTTTTTAACCTGCAAAACTCGACACCTTCATTTGTTTGGAACGAAATTATCGCGAAATACCCGATAATTTTGAAGCTCTCGTGGTATTACATATCGCGTGCAAATGGAAAAAGGTCGTATGCGCCAAAAAAAAAATCCTCAAAAGTTGGCTTTACAATGATTCTAAAGAGCCCAAATCGTCCAGATTTCATGTTGCCTAGATTAGGTTCATACGATCTTTTTCCATTTAGCACGCGATATGAAAATTTCAAGAAAACGGTGGCCTTCTGTTACCCCTTAAGGATTGACGTAAGCTATTTTCGCGCCATTTTTTTACAAGAGTAAATTTTTTTATGGTCAAATGTCATGAAACTTCGGCAAATCGTTCTTCGAACAATTATAAGATGATCGATCTATCGCTCAGCTCTTCATTATATTGTCGATATCAACTTTTCAACTTTTTCAACAAAAAGTTGATATCGACAATATGAACAACTCTTTTTTGTTGAAAAAATTGAAAAGTTGATATCGACAATATGACGCAGAGCTAAACTATAGATCGATCATCTTATAATTGTTCGAAGAACGATTTGCCGAAGTTTCATGACATTTGACCATAAAAAAAATTTACTCTTGTAAAAAAATGGCGCGAAAATAGCTTACGTCAATCCTTAATCCTAGTTGGTCACCACATGCGACCCGACGATTGGTCACCTCCGCAAGGATTCGCCTCCATGTTATTTTGGTTCAAGCATTGCCGAATTCGCACAACAAACGATTGCATTCAACGTGGAAAAAACTTCTTTGTTTGTCAGAAGTAATGCATGTTCTTTGAGAATTCCGCATGCTATCTAATTTTAAAAAATACTATGATTTTCTAGAGACTTTAATTGATAAATTAATTTTTTTATTATTCGGCTCAGCTAATCGATGGTAAAAAAGGCGCGCTCTGGCGCTTCCTTAGGTGACTAATCGGGGTTAATATGGGAGGTCCCGCGTTGGGAGGTCCCGCGAACACAAGGATTAAATACTCTCGTAAACCCTTTAGGGGCAAACCCAACCTTCACTTTAAATCATCGAGAGAATCTCTATTTGATATAGAAATTAAGTTATGAAAATAATAATCATTATAACGATGAATTAAATTAACAAGCTGATGAATTTCTCAAGAAATGATCAACTGATTTCTGTTATAGTAATGCCAGCTCGACAACGTTGCCATTCGTCAACTTTATTAATCAATGAAAAGCGTTAGTTAGGTAAGGAATAACCGGTTTTGCGGTCAGGGGAGACAAAAAAGAAACTAAATTTAAACTCTGATGACAATGAGGCCGACGTTTGGACCCATCTGCGGGTCCTCTTCTTGGAAAGCAAAATACAGAGAAAAGCCTTTCATAACAATGACCCAAATCGTTGCAAAACAAATTGCAAAAATTAATGAAACTCATTCCGTCGTTATGCTGTCAAAAATGAACACATAACGGCGAGTAAAATAAAAGAGAACAGAATACAGTGGATACTCCCTATGATTTCGCTTCTCTAACATTTCAATTGGGGAAGTTGACTCCCCCCACCATTAGCAATTTAAGCGTGTGTAAGTAGTGTGTGGGCTCCTCTGCGCGATAAGAATGCGCAATAGGACCACTAGTGGGATGAGAGGATTGGAACAGACAGATTCTCTTTCTCTATTCCTCTTTCTACTCAGTCAAATCATCGACGTATGACGGAAGCAGGGGCTTCCCAATGATTTAAATTTGTCGAATTCGTTCCCCTGAAGCTGAAATCTTAGGGAATATCACTGTTAGAAATTTTTTTTGAAGAAATTGTTGCTTGAATTTGCAAAATATTTAATAATTTGGATTGTCATGTGTCAAATAGAAATTCCATTAAATACTCAAAAATTCAACTGATTGTTAAAAATTTTACGATTTTTTAACTTGAAATTTTAGAAGTAATTTTCAAACAATGTATCCATGATGCAAATGAACCGAAATTAATCAAATGTCGGGTTTCACCTTTGTGGAGTCAGCCAATTTGATTCCACCAAGAAAGCCGATTATTTCAATAGCGAAGTGGTAAAACGGTATAAGTCAATTTTGACTATTGACCAGTTTTCAATAAATATCTCGGAATGTAAGGGAGATAGCAAAATTGTTGTTATAACCTTTTTTGTAGAGCCGATTGAGAACTATAACAAATTTCATTACAAAATTTCGCTACCTCCGTTAGATTCGGAAATATTCCTCAAAAACTCAACTGGGAGATAAGTCGACATAAACCGGTTTACCACTTCGCTACTGATTTTTTTCCCAATCGATTTATGAATTAGCAATTGGTTAACAATCACCTGGAGCCAAAAGCCTAAGAGCAACTTTTTTGACTCAGAATTTCACCCCCTTTAATCAGAATTTCACCCCCTCTAATTTCGATCGAGTTTTGGGACACTCTGTACTTGATCCTCCAGTCGATTGTGTTCACAATAATCAAAGGAAGCCTTTCGTTTGTAGATTCCGATGATCGAGTAGATTCACCGTACAACCACATTTATGGAAGATTACCAATACCCACGAGAGGCGTCATCCCGCCCACACCACGTGCTATGTACATCGGAGAATGGGATTAACAATTGACACGTTTAATCTCCTATTTTGTATGTACCTATAAACTGTATATTGTTAATATACCACATAAATACTCATATTTTTTATGACACTTTAATGGACTTTGTTTATTCCCGGCATTCCTTTTTGTAATAAAATGTGTATGTTCATATGAAAAGAGCCTCAGTTCGTCGCATCGTCGAGATAATCATGTTTCTGGATTACTTACTCCCATCTGAGGAGAGATCATTCTAGGGATTTAACAAGATGTGAGGGTCAAAATATAGCTGTCAAAATCTAAGTGTCAAACTACATGGGTCAAAATCTAAGGCTCATGAGGGTCAAAATACAAAGGTCTAAATATAAGGGTCACAAGCGTCAAAATGTACGGATCATACGTGTCAAAAAATAGGAGTCTGGATATAAGGGTCAAAATCTAAGAATCAAAATCCAAGGGTCACATGGGTCAAAATATAAGAGTTAAAATTGAAACGTCAAAATCTAAGGGTCACATAACGGGTAGAATTAACCAACGATCTAATGCAATGGGTAAAAGGGTCGCCTCACATGCGAGAGATTTCGGGTTCGATTCCCGATCGGGTAGGATGAAGATGATCGAACCATTCAGTCTTGATCAAGCGACCGCTACAATAGATCTTGATAGATTTAGGTGGCATAGGGCGCTTCGCGCGCCTAGTCGCTCCATTCTAGAGTTATATGAGTGAAGTCAGGGCGTGACGTACGCCTAGCCATCTTACTCTAGAATGCCTCTTTAACTTGTAACCTTAATCGGTAGAATTGAGTTTTCATGTGCTATCTATTAATTCCATACATGGAAAATACCAGACCTCATAAGGAAAATAGGACTTGTTGGCCGCTCGTCTTTGTCTTCTAGAAACATACATTTTTTTCAACTGATAAACAGAGTTATCTTCTTCATGTTGATAAAAATTTCAATCCATCAAGGCGATTTGATTGTTTTGAAATGAAGTCGATAATATATACTGAATGTATTTTTTAATCCCAAGTTTGGGTTTTAAATGATAAATTTTTGTCTTCATCGTCAAATATGTCTTCAAAAACGATTCAGGACGACTCTAGAGGTCATAAATGATCATTTCGGTTTACCAAAACCTCTGCACCGAATTTTTCTCAATCATAAGAAATGTTGGTTTTACACGTTCCTCTATCAGTCTAAAAAATTGCAGAAGATAGCATAAAAAATAGATTTTCAGAAAATGGTTAAATATCCGTAATCCAACCATTTGCATTCATTTCTTGTAATTCCAAACTCCTCAGCCATTGACGATGATTTATGCAGTTTTACTTTGATGCCTTATGAAAACTCATGGTGAGTTTGGAACTCCTCGAGTCATTGTACCTTTTCGTTGCTGGAATGATAAAAAAAAAGAAAGAAGAAAAGTTTACACAGAAATTAGGGGAGAGTGGGGCAAAATAAAATAGTCAAAAAACGACTATTTGACGCAATTCAAGTAAAAAAATTGTTTTTATCAACTTTTTTTAATTCTTGGAAGTACTGCTGAGAATAATAATTTTCCATTCAGTGGAATGGAAAATTATTGAGAACTCTTGACGGAAGAAGATTTTGTCAGTGGATTAATTGAAACGAAAATGAAACAGTAAAATGCAAAGTCCATAGTAAGGCCCAGGGGGAGACCCGGTGGGAAAAAACGGAAAATGTGATGCTAAATTTCAATCGAATGAAAAAAGAAAAGTGTAATTGGTCTAATCTAATCAATTGAATTATAAGACGAATAGAAAATTTTTATTTTCGTCAGTACTCTCAACAATATAAAAAGTTGACAAAACTAAAGTTGATAAAAAAAATTTTTGTTTACGTGAATTGCGTCAAACAGTAGTTTTTCTGCTGTTTTATTTTGCCCCAGTCTCCCCTACTTAAAAAACATTGAAACATGGACTGAGCAATGTATTGAGACTATTGTATTTGTGCTTCGACATATCCGATTATTCACCAATCTCAATTATCCTTCCTGTTTCATATAAAAACTTCGCTGTATGTAAAATATTACAGAAAATACGTAGCATGTATCAGTACTCCGTACCACTTAAATTAATTCAATTAAAAAACGAAAAGTAGAGAGGAGTAGATTCGTAATGCCATCACTTTTATGTGATAATTCGAGGGAGAGACATGTGGAAGTGACAAAAACTCGGAGTGTCCCCGAGAATGAAAGATTCCTTTCCTAATTTCCCCTGTTCTTCAAGTCTTTAACTTTGTAAATGCGCACGAGCCAGTGTTCAGTGGTGTAGGCCTCTTCTAACGTTTCCAACTCAAAGTCCTTGTTTCCGATTTCCATGTTGCGAACCCTATCGTAGCCAGATGGTTTACCACCCTCTGTGTACACCTGTCCAAATCTGTAGTAACACATTTTGTACATGAGGCAGTTGAGAAGAATCGGCGAGCCATCTTTGTCTACTCTGAATTCACCGGAGGGATTATAATAATCCCATTCGGTGATCGTTTTCCCTTCCTCTGTGCTGCCACCGATTCTGACCATCCAGAGGAATTTATTGATATCTGAAAGTATTAACCGCTCATGAATGGATGGAAATATTATCAGAACTATCTGTAAATGAACAAAAAGGATATTGTTCGCGTGTAGATCACGGGGGGAGGTAAACGGAAGAGGAGTCTTATTGTTCTCGAGCCCTAATGCTCTAATTCAATCGCTGAGCACGAAATTTTCCAATTTTCAAGTAATTATTTAAGTGTGCATTTGAACATTTTTTGAATATTGATTTTATTCATCAGATTGATTGATTTTTTTCTCATCAGCGACGGGTGTCAAATAATTTTTATTGAATGTTTTTCTAATTATTGAAATAATATTAAAATTCGTCTCGAGTTGGTGAACCTGTCGAGTGTTTTCTCTCTCTCAAATATTCGAATCATGCGCTTGCGCGTGAAAGCGTAATTGCCCCGAAACTCATAATTTTTCGAATCATTTGTTCAAATAACTTTCTTATGAAATCTGAACAAAATCTGAAACTTATCCGTGTTCTCAAGAAAGATTTGATTCATCATCCACTAGTTTTTCCTCAATAGTTTATTATTTTTTTGGGTGCCATGTAAATTGCCCTAATTGAGAGAGAGGTAACCACGGAGGTTATAGCTGGAGGGGTTACAAAAACATCCAAACTTCATTATTTTTTGTAGAAAATGTAGAAAAATTCTCAATGGTGCAGCGTACACAGCCATTTCTCCCATGAATTTTTCAATTGTTTTTCATTATTTTGAATTCTCACACGAAACACCTTAATACTGAATTAATGAGAAGCCAAAAGATCTCATTCGTAGCTGTCTGAATCTTCAACAAAAAAAATTTTTGTAGCGCCTCGCTGTATACTATCTGAGGGACGACTATAGTACTGCCCTCACACACACTCAGAGGACACACGCGCACCTCCCTTTCTATTCCAAATGGCTTTATCCCCAACTCAGATAGGGGCAAGTGCCAAACACGCGCACCTCTGAGGTTCCGAAGTCACGACTACCCGAATTCAGTCAGTCGGAGACTGTCGACCTATTCGACTCGCATTACTCCGCAATTCATAATTAGCAACTTGTATACATTTCTCTCTAACGCTTCGGCGAATAAATTAGTTATATAGTTAATTCGCTTGAGTAGTGATTTCGTATTCCCGAACCAACAACCACGAGTCCTACATGTTGACATTTTCCCCTAAAAGCACTCATCAGGAAGATAATTCGATATTTAAAGTAGCTCTACCCTTCGGACGGGCTACGCTGTACTTTTGGATATTTTCCGTTTTAAAATTTTTCAACTAAATTCTATGGAAAAAAATTTGAAAAAATTCATACCCAGTCAATATTATCTAAATTAACTTTCGCAAAATATTGATATCTTTTCAAACATTTCCCTCTTATAAATAAATAATAAAACTTGTTTGCAAAACGGTGGATAATTTTTTATGAGGCGTCAAAAAATTCTCGATTTTTTCGCATCTAATGAAAAAAAATTCAGATTTTAATCTTTGATTACAATGGAAATGTTGATTTTCACATAAAACGCTGGGTTAAATCCTGATTTTTAAAAATTTCTTTTTTAACCAAAACGATAATTAAATTGAAAAAAAAATTAGAATCCCGAATCTAATCGAGTTTTCTGCAATTTTTTTTTGCAGTTTTCAATAATCTTTGAATTTACCGTAAGGGTAGAGTGACTTTAATAATAGAAAAATCTACATTTTGTAAAACAGAACCACTAAATTATGCATTTGTCTCAAGAGAGAAGCGAGTGCCTCTTGATATATTCCGTTGAAAGGGCGTTTTGTTGAGATAATTTCATAGTCAATAAATTGCCATGATTGAAAAACAATTACCGTCAGAGGAATAACCAGTCAATCCTCCAAAGATGACAAGCACATAGTTAACATCCAGCTCCCTCATGATCTCATAAGCCTTCTCCTCAGAGCTAGCCATAGCCTGTCCCACTCGCGATATATGCGTATTATTCCAGGTATTATTATCCACTAGGATCGTGCGATTAGCCATGGCAGTTATCTGATACCCATAATCCCACCACGACATAACTTTCGAGTCCTCAGGTGTATTCATACGTAACCAGTAGTAGGCTTCCCTGAAGTCATCGAATATCATTCTTCCGCCGTCAGGCGATCTAGCTGACAGTACTATACTCGGTGAGCTGTACGCCTCGGCAGTTACCCATGTGCAATGAAGTGTATACGAGAAAAATAGAATGCACATTACAGCTATGAATAACATGGAAATTTCACTTCTGAGGACGTAATTGTTTTCAAATTTCCGGGATTTTTTGTCGACCACTTTGCTACTCTCCAATTGCTTCATGTAGGTTAATAATAAGGAAGATGCTCCAATTCCTCCTAGGATGCACATTACTGGCGCAAGTACTAGCATCAGACGCACCATAACACCCTGGAACACATTTGAACGGTGAAAAGTTGTTCTATATCTGTAGTGAAGTGGTAAAAAGTGCTAAATTTATTCAACTGAAAGTTGATTTTCCTCTTTTTCTTTTTATGTATAAGAATAAATTTGTTGCCTTTTTTCCTTCGCGATTCACGTAAAAACGAATAAATCAATTTCGATGGGATTTTAAGTCTATTAGTTTACGGTCAGTAATCTAATGTGGGCTATAAAGTGTGAAATTTCGCTAGATTTTCTAAAAAATGATGGACGGTTGATGTTAAACCCAGTTTTTAAATGAATATCTCAAATTCAGAAAGAGAACTATTTATTTATGGATAACTTGATCGCAGCTATCTTTTATATTTTCAGACAAGGTCCTTAGAAAATTTTTCCTAATTCACCAAACGAGTGATGGACTGTTGATGTTAAAACTAGTTTTTAAATAAGTATCTCAGATTCAAAACGAAACGACAATTTATTTATAGAAAACTTAATCGTAGCTATATTTTATCTTTTTAGAAAAGATCCTCAGAAAATGTTTCATAATTCTCCAACCGAGTTGAGTTGAATTTCTCGAACTGTTTTATGAGCTCCTGATTGAATTCTGTATTGATCTCAGAAAAGTGTCGTTTTAAGAATTGTTGAATTAAGTTTACACGCACGAAAAAATTTAATAGAAAAAACGTACCGAATTCGTTAGAAAATTCTATTGAATTTTTATCAAAGTTTCTGTTAGTTTTTGGCTGATTCTATTGACATGTTCAGTAGAAAACATTCAATAGAAAAAGTCAACAGAATTCGATTTTTCTATATAACTTATTCTTTTCATATATTTTCAATAAAATTTGCTCGATTCAAATTTTCTAAGTTTTTTTCATTCTATTTTTATTTTCTTCTCATCAAGAAAATCAAACAAAAAAAATTAGAAAATTTGAGCCGAGGAAGTTCTATAGAAAATATCTCAATAGAATGAGTTGTATAGAAAAATTGAATTCTATTGACTTTTTCTACTGATTAGTTTCTATTGAACATTTCAATAGAATCGGCCAAAAACTAATAGACCAGTTCAATAGGAATTCAATAGAATTTTCTGACGAATTCAATAGGTTTTTCTATTGAATTTTTTCGTCCGTGTATCTATTTGAGAGCATAATGGCGGAGTTACTGTGCTCTAAAAAATGGAATTCGATGAAACTCGAAACCCCAGGGGAATCCCAAGCCTTTCCATCGTAATAAAAAATTTCAAAATCTTAATTTGGTCATAACAATTTTTAATTAATTAATTAACAAAATTTGGCACCCTATTTTTTAAATCTTATAATGTATTCATATGATATTGAAAAATCATAGTTTAAAAAGTTTTAAGCTTCCCTCTGCTTTTTTGTGGAAAATCCACATTTTTCCATAATTTCCATTTTAAATTAAAAAAGTTCTCTTTATTTTTCAGTATTCTCTAGACATTTTTGGCACTCCGCTATAATACACTCAATTGCATCCTTTCCCTACTGAACTGTGTGTTTATATAAAAAATAAATAATTTCAGAAACAAACAACAGAGAAACTTATTTTTATCTGAAACAATTCCCCACAAAAGGTGTTCTTTTGACGTTATTTGTGGACGTCCGCCTAAAAAGGGACCACTTTGTCAATAGGGAGTTATGCATACTCTGATAATATTGATAACATCCCTCACATTTTGATCTAAAAATGATTCTGATAGGGTAAAAAATGACGTCGTCAGGGAAGTTGAAAAAACAATTTAACATGGGAGTAAAAGGGAGTTGCTGAGACAAAAACGTGAATATCTTAAAAACTAAAATCGACAAAGTTGTTCCGTTTCATGCGGACGTCCACATTTGTTATCACTCATCATGAAGATAATTTTATGATTAACGAGATGTAAAAAAATACAGCTGTTATCCTTCATCATTCGAATATTCGCATGCAATTAGAGAAAAAATACTTACAGCAAAGTAGAGACTCGTAACTCCATAAAGAATAAGAAAAATATTGGAATCTGTGAGTTTCGAGAAGCAGAAATACAGTCCAACCGGAAACAGGAACACCAGAATTTGTAGATCGAAGTAGAACGAACTCCATGAGGTAGGTTGATGCTCAGAGACTGAAGCAATTATTGGAATATGATTTTTCGCGTAGGATGGATCGAGCAGTGAGTAAAATCGTCCTGTCCAGGGCGATATTTTCCCGGTGATTGTTAGTACTCCACCCACGACGCATGATATTGTTAACATAGAGGCGATCAGTCCCCGGAATAAGAGATCAAAATCGTTTTCTGTAAGTTTACTGCGAAGATAGTCGACTAGAGCATGAATTTGACACAGTCCAAAGACTCCGAGGGCCTGAAATAAAAATAATTAATTTGAAACATAACAACGACGGCACTGGCTGTGTGATTAGAGTGTGAGATTGACCCGGCTTAGGCGCCAAATTTGTGACATTCTAAATCCGAGCGTTTCAGTGTCAAGTGGGAGTCTCGCAAGAGACGATTTTCTCTTGTCTTTTGGCGACTGCCGTGCAGTGGGTTGGAGGTGAAAAGGAAACACATCGTAAAAACCCGAACGAAAAAAAAAATGAATTAAAAAATTTTAAAAATACTCGAAAGGATATTTCACACGATTCCACGTCAAATCAGCAGTCGAAAAAAGTCGATGTGTTCGATTATGTTCGTAATATTTTCTTGGATTCTATATCCAAGAATATGTTGTATGAAAGATCAACTAATTCTGTTGAATTTTATAATTTCTCAGTTGTCGAACATTTCAAAACGTTGGTCAGTCAACCCCTTGAAATCTCCACAGTAAAAGATTTTTGAGAATACCTACAAGCATATGTTCAGAGCTCTGCACAGGCTGGAATCCCACAAACGAGATCTGCATTGACAGAATGGTACCAATACAGTAGAGTATACTGTAAGCGGTATAAATTCTATGTGAAAAGCGTCCAGTAACCATCAACGTTAGGACGTGAAGAGGAATCAAATTGATGAGGAACACGTAGCCACCCCAGGAGGAGACCATGTAGAAGTATGCGAGAGCAGCGCACGTGGACCAAAAAATAGCACCAGTTTTTACAGCTTTTATCCACATGTAGTAGGTGAAGAGCATACAGAATATAGCAATACCCTCATTGTCGTAGGATCCAGCCACTGATCTCGAGATATATCCGGGGACTATGGCAATCATCGATGCTGCGAAGAGACCTGATGCCGAGTCTTTCAGCTCTTTTGTCAGGTGATAGGTCACAATTGTTGTGAAACTAGAAAATAATGGCGCGAGGAATACACAGACGTTGCGAATATCTATGGGAATGTTGAGCATCTGGAGTAATCGGTAGATTGTAGCTGATGTTATCATCAATCCTGGGTAGATGGTACCTGTAAGTTTATAAGAGGTCATTTTATAAGAGGGGAATTAGATGGTCAAACTAAAGGAGAAAGCCTTTGTCAAGTAATTTTCATAACTTTTTTATAATTAAGGATATCCAAGTATCTTTTGCAGTTTGGTACAGACCACACTATGAATTCAACCATTTTCAATTATTAGATGTTTGAAAACAATCATTAATATTCAGCGCCATTCAAATTATATTTTGCACAAAATTATTATTTTTTAAATATTCGTTGTTTATAAATAAATAATTGAAATTATTTAAACTTTAAATTGTTTTCTGGTAAAATTCTGAATATGAATAACTTTGTTACGATTCCGAACAAATGATTTTTAAAGTGGAAAATTGATTGTTTACAAATTATTTGTACAAAGGGGTTGTAATTTAAAAAATTGCAATTTTTTAATTATTTCATCAACCTTTCTGCAAAATAAACTATCTAATTTTTTTCAAATTTCAAAATGTTTTCTAACGGTTGAAAATCGAGATTCAAATTCAGTCGAAAATTGATTATTTTTAAATTACCTGTAGACAGGAGTCGTAATTTTAAAGAATTGCAAGTTTTAAAAGATTCTTGATATTTCCTCACGAAGGCCTTTCCTCTTATCCAGATAAATCGGCAATTGCCAAATTTGGATTTTTCTACTTTTAAAACTTTGCAAATGATTTTCATTTTCGACTTTCCATTTCTGAAATTGAATAACATACCTCCGATGATCCTGCCCAGTGGATACCATACTCTGTCGTCGAACCAATTATGAAAAGCATAAAAACCCTCTTCAGCGAGGAATTTCGTGGTTCTATAATTGAAGTAAGGGTCAAATTCGTGGATGACACTCTCGTATCGTAGAACCGAAAATAGACGGGTTGCAAATGCTGAAATGATGAACACAGATTTTCAATTGTACTTCATAAAGCATGTAACAACGTAAAATTTTGGAATGTTCGCACAAAAACAGGATGGTAAATAATTCAAAATTTTGAAATACGTACATAAAACAGCAGCCAGTGAAAGCACTGTCAGTTTCAAAAGAGTCTCTTGTTTCTGTGAAGACATCCGAAGACCCTTGACCCTCAACAACGAAACCATCTTTCTAATTTTATGCCTTTATCTGGAATGAACAAAAATAAGTATAAAAATTGGGTACATATGAATGAGTAAATGGGTGAATGGATAACATGTTCATTCATCTGCTAAAATTCTAAAAGGGAAATTCACGGCCATATGACCGCATACAGACATGATGGCCGAACTTTGTATTTTTACATTTCAGGTCATTCTACATCATTTTCAATAAAAATTAGAGAAATTAGACAAATTTTGACAATTACAATGCTTCCATTCTAAGGAAAAGCAACTAGAAATCAAGTTTATGTTTTGATAAAAACTGGATTACGAGCTATTCAAATAAACCCATTAATTTGAGTAAAATAAAGTTGGTTTAATTAAAGTAAACAATTTTTGCCGGGTGTATGTTTCAAGGAATGAGTGGTTTATTCTGGAGCAAAGTTGATCAGTTATCGGTCCCTGTCCCAAAAAATAAATTGTAACAAGATTCCTGGTTCTCAAAGAGGTTAGAATGGATCGATTCTGTGAGCTGGAATAACCCGTAGAATTTTCCTACAAGTTCTTTGGTCCATAATTTTTTATAAATATGCCTGTCGGTATTTTAGTTGTTGATTTGAAATTGTTTAGAGTGGATTAACACATTAGGAGGGACACGTACACACAAAGTGTCACCGGCCGGCACGTTTTGGAATAATTTGAAAAACACTGTGGGATTTTAGGGATCGGATAACTTGATTTGAACGCTGATTTCACTCACCCTTAAGAATTGTGAATTAAAATGGAATGAGAAAAGTCGTGAATTAGGAAATATCTAGCAAAATTAGTTGAATAATGGGAACGATCACAATCCTTGTACCAGTGAGCGCGACATTTTTTACTACACTGCGCTGTGAAATCTCGCTCTGACCGACGCTCGATTTTAAGCGGGAATTTGAATGCGATCCAGCTGTCCCGTGGAACGTATTAAGGATGTTCGACACCCTTTTAGCCAAAATTGACGTTGTTTTCATTTTTCTGGCAAATTATCGATGGGAGTGACGTGAAAAAATATAACGATTTTGTGGTTTGTCATTCTTTAATGGCTCACGAAGTTGCGTAGTGGTGCGATAATTTTCATGCGTTTTTTCTACAGTTTTGTGATTCTTTTTAAAAGTTTAGAGAAAACGCAGGAAAATGTTCGCACCACNTAAAAAAACGTGAATTTTGGGGGGTAACAGAATGCTCTTAATTTTCAAAATTTTTGAACAAATTTCCTGCTGAAAGTGATCAATATTTTAAAAACCCGAAGCACATTAATCTTCAGGAGATGATGATGAAGATCAATGTGCTTTGGGTTGGAAACTATTAATAATTTTGAGCAGGAAATTTGTTTAAAAATTTCGAGAAATCGATGGCCTTCTATGACCCCTTAAGGGGATACGTCTATGAAATTTAAAAGTCTTCACTGGCCTTTGGGACCTAGTGAACAGTTTGTGATATGAGGGAGAGTGGGGTAAAACGGCCCCTTTTGACTTTTTTTGTGATATTCATAACTCAGAAACAAATTCATTAATTGAGATCAGTTCAAGTTCATTCTAAAGGGGAAGAAGTGTAGTTTCCATGGAAAAAAAATTATTTCATTTTATTTAAAATCGAATGAGCTGTTAACATTTTTGAAAAAATCAAAAGGGGCCGTTTTACCCCACTCGCCCCTATGATGGAATATGGAAATAACTAGGGAAAATCGCAGACCCGATCGATTTCGCTCCGTATAACCACGAAAAACTTCACTTTTTTTTCCTGTTTTTCCTGTTTTTTTATCGTCGGTAATAGCGAGCGCTCGTCGGCGAAGCTCAGTGTTTTTAGAACCAATGCAAGCGCTCCGGTGACGTTCGAGCTTGAGCACTGGTTGCGCTACAGCGCACCCGCACGCGACAGAAACTCAAAATTTTGGTCCGCATTCGTTCTTCCTTTTTAACAATATTTGAAGTTTATCGACGAGTCCAAATCACTAAATAATTAGTTCCATTTATACTAAGTGAAAACATAATATGTCGGGTGATGTGCAACCAAGAAAACGAAAAGAGAAGAGACGTAAAAGAGGTGAGCGATGACAAAACTTTCGTAACGCGAGTTACACGGTGGGTAGGATTATTTTTAGCATAATATCCATCGTCTTTATTTTCGTCGTCGAAATGAGCATCCAAACAACTTCTCATCATTCCCAGAAATTACCGAAAATTTTAGCAATCTTCAATAACCATCACGAAAATGTAGAAATGAAAAATAAAAAAATTTAATTTAATATCTAAAAATCATTATCCGATGAAGTGTGTCGTCGGTATTTCACGGGTACGATCATCCCATCACAGATACTATAAATAGTTCTGCATTCCAAGTTTTTCATTAAAATTTTTGGTAACACACAAAACCTGATTTTTAGCCGATCACGAGTACCATATACAGAGGATACAGTGTCTTGGTATGACTCCTTATTTTTTCTTCACATTATTATTTGACATTTCCAAAATCTCTACATCCGAACAATTCTGTGGCATGAGAATAAATGCCCTTTTGAATTTCCTAGAAGACGAAGATGCTGGAACCCCTCCACCAACGCTCATTGGATCCTCGGATCATGGGGAAAACGTCACGATACATGTTCATAAAGAGGGTGGAACTGGGGGCCATTGGTGTGCCAAGATAATCTTCTTCGTACTTTTGTCAGTTCTCGTAGGACTCGTTGGTGTAATTATTTTTGAATCCAGAGGATCAACAGATGGTAAGCTTTGTAAATAGGGAACTTGCATGATTTTTTTTTCATTTTCAATCTCAAGTTTCGATCTTAAATGATTCATTTTTCACTTATAAAAAATACCAATATTGCTGGTTAATTGATAATTGATTGTCGAAAGTTGGGGATTTCAAACGCTTTGAAATCGTTAATGACGTCACAAGGGTGGTCGAACGCTGGACCAATTACAGAATAGCTCCAGCCGAACCTAACCCAACCTTCGCGTGCGCCTTATCCAATGGATGACGGTAACTCCCCTCTCTCCTCACTTTCCACCAACAGAGCGCTATCCAGCATTACTTCCCTAGTAGAAATTTCATAGCGCAAAAACCTCGCGGCGGGAGTTGGCGCGCGACATTCAATGTTATAGGTACAGGCACTTTGGGTCAATGTCGCAGAATTTCGATCAATTTCTACTAGAGTTGTATCACTTTGAGACGTCATGACCGAAATAATGGGCTTCAAAAACGTGTGATTTTCAATCACCTATTATAAAATATTTAGGCAATATCTGTCTATATTATAAACATCCAAATCGACTTCTGGTGATGGAAATTTGGTACTCGAAATTAAGACGCCGAAATTAAGGGTCACAAAGGTCATAAGGATCAGAATAAGGGTCACGAGGATCAGATTAAGGGCCACGAGTATCAGATTAAGGGTCGCAAGGGGCAGTCTAATGATCCAAATAAGGGCCACAGGGGTCAGATTAAGGGTTATGTGGATCAGTTTAAGGCTCGCGAGATTAAAGGTCACAAGATTAAGGGGATCACAACGGTCAGACTAAGGGTCCAAACAAGGGTAACAAGGGTCAGATTAAGGGTCTAAATAAGGGTCACAGAGGTGGGAAATGAAGGGTCAAAATAAGGGTCACAACGGGTTCAATGAGGGTCAGAATGAGTCACGAGAATCAGAATAAGGATCATGGGGGTCATATGGGAGTTGGAGAGCGGAGTAAACAGGGGACGTAGCCCCCTAATTTCTCCATAATTCTTTTTGTTTAGCTATCTATTGGTTTCGAAGAATGAATGAATAGGGAAATTGGGGAAAACTGAATTCCATGCAAGTTCTCTATTGCCTTTATCTTCAATATCTAACTGTAAAGTATTTCCACTAGAAAATCGCTTCCACTGAAAATTGACAATAAAATGGAACTATCCAGGGGAAGGGATTATTCAAGGTTATCAAATATTCGTGTTCTACAGGATGTCCCAATATTGATTATGAATTTAATGAAATATTGATTCATTGATAATGAACAACGAAATGATTTTTGATTTTCAGTTGATACTCCGGTAGCTTCTTCCCGATGGGCAATGATATTTGAAGGCTGGGTAGATGATTCGTTATCTTTGCATGATGAACATGATGAATCACACGATAAGGGCAGTCATGAAGCTTTAAGTCACGAGGCGGATGAGGAACACGAGGAGGAACAGGATGAGCACGAAGAAACTGATGAAGAAGCTGAGACAGCAGGTTCAGAGGAAGCTGCAGCCTCTGAAGAACACGAGGATGAGGGGGAAGGAGACGATGAAGAACAAGAAGAAGAAGACGGTACTGGCGAAGAGGGAGACCCAGCTGATCAAGAGGAAGACGATGAGACTGGACCCGATGGTGTTAGTGGAGAAAATGATGATGATGTTAACGATGATGAAAAAGATGAACCAAATGATTCTGGAACATTAGAAGAAGTTGATGAAGAAGAAGTAGATAATAAAAACGCTGAAGATGATGAGAACGAGAATGATGATGTAGAAGACTCGAAAGAAGAAACAGACGCAGAACTTCTGGATATCAGCATTGAAGGCGTGAGTCCCTCGCCGCTATTGAATGAGGAAGATGAGGAAGGAGATAATGAGGATGACCTGTCATATGAATTCGTGGGCATTCCTGGAGTCAATGACATTGATGACGATAGCGATGAGCCCTTGGAAGAAGTAGGTTATTATGTACTTTATATTTACTTTTCTTCCATTTACTCCACGGAGAAAAAAATCTAAAAAAAATTCCGTGTTAGCATCCTGAACCGAGCGGAATTTACGCTCTCGGAAAAATTATCGTCCAGACCGTCTTTTTTTGCTTCCGAATGGAAGCTTTGTAATCGTTCAAATTTAAGTTTTGGATTTTTTGGATTATATTGACCCAGTATGATCCAAAAAGTTCAAAAATGCAATTTTTAGATCTCGTTCGTACGTGTGTGCGTACGTATGTAACAAAGTTTTTCTTCAATTATTCGCTAATGAATGTGTTGTGGACACTTCGTTATTTGATGACATAGAATAATAAGGAAAAATTAACTCTTCGAATCGATCTGACCGTCACTATTTACAACAGAAGTGACCGAGAAAGTGAAACGAATTATCCAAATATAATAGGTTGGGATCTGATTGCGTGGGATTAAACACTAAAGTATACAATGGTTATCATACAGAGGAGTTGATTCACTGATGGATTAAAAAATTTATTTGAATGTACTTTTGCGATAGCAATAATCGTTATTTTGCTTTATTTGAAAATTTGCAAAAATTTCATATCTTTTGAAAATAAGAATTCCGGGGATATCTTTAAATATCATGCATCAAATGAATTCAATCATAGCTTAAAATGTTTGCTTTAATGCCATTAAGTCGAAGTTGAAAGTTGATTACGATAGCTATATTGGTTGAGATTTAATTTCTATGATGATTGTTGAAAATTTTGAATTTGACATGAATTTCCCGGAAAGTGAACTTTCTGATGATTTCTTCAAATGTGATGTTTCAAATTCATTCAAGTATATGTAAATAAAAATTTTCTATTAACATTTTATCGCAGGGCTGAGGGGAGAGATAGAACTATATAAGAAAGACAATCGGTGGTATAGAAGAAAGAGATAATAAGAGTAAGGATGATGATAACATTCAACTACGTTGAAAATCTGACAAAATTAATTGAAAAGAAATCTTATTCAATTTAATAACGTAAAATAAACAATGAATTATATATCATAGAAGAAAATTATGTGCAAAATAACCATTCGGAAGCATATTGCTAATTTAGTAGCAAAAATACTATATCCAATACAAGAGCAATTACTCACTTGTTCTAGTATTACCATGAAATTAACCAAACAAACAGCTATTGTGAGGATTCTACAAAGTGAAATTTCCGGTTCTGCACGATTATTTTTTTTCTGTGTAAATTGGGTCTGATTCATGGTGCTGCCAGGGATAGCTATATCCATTAATTATAATTACTGTTAAATTATTAAGTAGTCAATTCGTTAATATCACTCTTAAATTTTAATTATTGAAGTTGTCATCAATTTAAATATTCAAATTCCGAATTATTTATTATTCTGTAATTCAGTTAGGAACATTGACCCTTATTTGGGTAATCGGAAATCCCTTATAAAAAATTTAGTATTATTGACTTGATAGAAAATTGACAGATCCATATTGTTAAAGATTCAATTCACCATCAATTGAAAATTTAGATTATCAATTATATTAGTATTTTTTAACCCTAGTCTGGTCACCAAACGCGACCCTGCGACTTTGGTTACCTTCGCGGGGATTCGCCGCCGTGTTATCTAGGCTTTCGCGTTGCCGAATTCACTCTACACACTGGTCGGGCGCGTTTTGAGAATGTCCGGCAACGTCGCGTCATGGGCAATTCCATTTAACATGGGAAAAAATAAGTCGTCTGTCCGAAATAATGTGTTTTCTTTAGGAATTTTAGGAAATATGTTGTTCTAAAAACTACTACAATTTTTTAGACACTTCAATTGACAAAGTCTATTTTATTTTTTTTATTTTTCCAGTTAACCAGTCAATTGTAATTAAAGAAAAACGACGCGCAGCGGGTTTTTCCCATAGGGTGACCAATCTACGGTTAAAAAAATAGGATGCTGGCCACTACCCGTGGGACCAAACAGGAGTCCCCAAATAAATCGCATGATCCGCCCAAAAATTTCAATGTGGCACTCCAATTTTTGCAAAACTTACGCTTCTTTTCCATGAAAAGCCCTTACAAATTCGGGTGTCACATCCGAATCTTACGGTGATCTTGGTTTAGTCCCATGGATTGGTGAATACCCCACTAATTTTTAATAGAATTTTCTATCCGTAAGGCACACTCTATTTCCAAGGATTTTTTTCTCCGTAACAATCATATTATTTGTTCTGTTGGAATCCACTGTGGATCTAGATAGAAGATGATCCTGAAATTGAGGAAGTCACGAACAACGATCCAGTGGATTTAGAGTCGGAAAAAGAAGACGAGATAGAGGAAGAATCTTCGAGCGGTAAGTCGCCCACTTCTTTCGCTCAATGTTGCTACTAGAATAAATTGAAAGGACCTCCATGCTCTTAATTATACAATAATCTATATGAAAAACAGTTCGAAAGAATAACAAATGAGAAGCAGTATATTTTGATCTCGATAAATAAAAGTGTAAAAAATGGAATAATCTAAATGCGAAAAATGAAAAAATGTGATGATTGCAGTGGCAGTCAAGTTTGGTGTTGGCGTGGCACTTGTCGTTGCTGCGCATTTTGTTCTCGTTAGAAGGTGGAGTAACGGTAAATGTTTTTTATATTTAAAAAAAACAACAGCAAAGCGGTTAAAAATATTTAGATGGTGATTAATTTCTAGCGCTTAGTTAATCATGCAAATCTATCAATGTTAGCATGGTGTATGTGATTCTCGTTGTCCTTTGTTAGAAACTAACAATGAACGAGCAAGTGAGTATGATTGACAAAGTGATGCATATTGATAATAGTTACCGAGCAAATAAATTCCTTGGAGAGGTGGTAAATCGTAATTCATTGAATTTTATGATTTTGATAAGTGATTATTCATCCCAGAAAAATTGAAAAGAAAATGTTAGCCCATTCGCAAGTGAATTCTATCCGGAATTTCATCAACGTTATCTAAATAGACTTTTTTGTTCGATTTTTATCTCGAAATTTCAACTCGATGCCCCGTCACTCAGAGATACCTGAAAATTCTGAATTTAGATTGAAAAAAAAGTAAAAAAATTTCTAAACATTTTGAAAGGGCGTTTTTAATTAATATTGATGAATTATTTCAATAGAGGAGATTGGAATTATGTATAATTACCGTGGCAAATGGCGGTCTGTCAGTCGCCACCATGGGGGAGGAAAGACGAAATATAATAAATCTTTTGGCACAGCGCGACCAGACTATTGTACGAAAAATGGCTCTTTAAAAAAATTTGTAATATTTTTAAGAATTTGTTAATCACACTTTTACGATAAATTATTAATCACTTATGCCAATCTCTTCCATTGATAATTGTACTGACGATCAGTTGTCAGTTTTGTCGGGAATCGAAAACAGGAAAATCGCTTTCTTTCTTTTTTGCGCCTCTGACAAACGTGACAGTTGATGGACAGTACAATTTTCAATTGAAGACATTGGTATAAGTGATAAGTATTTCATCGTAAAAGTGTGATAAAAAAACTCTTAAAAATATCACAAACTTTTTCAAAGAGCTTCTTTTCGTACAATCGATTTATTATTTCATCTTTCCTCTTTCCATAGAGACGACTGACAGGCCGCCATTTGCCAAGGTAATTATGCATTATTCATATCTCCTCAATTCATTCCTCAATATTAATTGAAAACGCTCTTTCAAAATGTTCGGAATTTTTTTTACTTTTTTGTTTCAATCCAAATTCATAATTTTCAGGGGTTTCACAGTGACGCGGCATCGAGTTGAAATTTTGAGATAAAAATCGAGCAAACAAGCTATCTAGATAACTTTCAATAGATAATAGAACCGTGCCTTAATATGAATAAAAAAATTGGAGACAAAAAGGTTCATATTTAATTTCGATTTTTAATTTTCAAGAGACCCCATTCTGTTGAGATTTTTCCCGTAGAAGTTCGGCGGCACATTTTCACGTTTTTCATAGTTTTCAATGAGAATGATGAAAACATCAGTACTGCAAAGTAAAAAAAAATGGATGTATTTCCGTAGAAAAAACATAATTCATATTCAATTTTTGGAATTGGCGGAAAACTGGTAAATTCACTATTAGAATATGCATGTCTCATGCAATTGAGAATTGTTCATGCTCACAATAACCTGCTATTTAGCAAGATGTAAAAAATCGTTCTCTTACTATCTGCCACATCACTACGGAATTTGAAAAAGTTCGAAAAAAATTGTAACAAACAGAATTGAAATTACAGTTGACGTCGAATTGGCGGCGTACAATGGGGAAGGTCCTCCGGACCTTTCCAGACGAGATACTCTCATATCACCAACCCCCCTCATTCCCAAAGTACTAGCAAAGGAACCAGTGCAACAGGGAAGCAAAGTTGATAGTTCGAATTTAACCAGTCGACCTCCAAAGGGTATAACTCTGTTATTATTCATGATAAGAGAAACTAGAGATTGAATCACAAGGCTAACAATACGACCAATTAACAATAAAGAATGATAGCTTATAAAACTCCCCAAAACTTTTTCTGTAGATCCTGAGCCACAAATTAGTTCAATTCCAAAGCGAATGGAAATAGAAATAGACACATCAGAAAGCGAGCTCCATTCCGGAACCGAAGAAGATGTGAATTACGAAGAAGATTCTGAAGAGGAAGAAGAAGAGGAGGAGGAGGAAGAGGATGACATTGTAGCAATGGATGATACAGAATTGGTAGCAAAATTAGAGGCAAAATACGGAAAAATTCCAACGCCGAGTCAGAGTGAAAACGAAGACGACGAAGAGCTTGATGATGAAGAATTGGACGAAGAAGAAGAGGAAGAGGAGGAAGAAGACGAATCCGAAGAGGATGATGAAGAGGAAGGAGAAAGTGAAAAACATTACGACTGGAAACGTAAATAATTTTCTAGGCATCTAACGAATCTTCCCGATTTTTTTATTTTTTTCATTTTTACATTTTTGAATTTAGAAAAAGAGCACGGAGGATCCTATCATCATGCTAGGATTAAAAATATCGTTATGTTTGTCAGAATCAATGATTTTACTCGAAGTAATCCGATAAAGCATTGGAGTATAACGAATGAATGAATGAATGAATGCCCAACTAGCTAGCATATCATCGTAACTATCAGTTTAAGGTATATCCCTAGAACACATTTTTCTTGAGATTGTCCCCATGTTTTTCATAGATAATGTTTATAATAGTCCCCAGCTATTGAAAAAAATTCTAACTAACTGTACTACACAGTTGAGGAGATAATAAATAATGAAATGTGGGCTTCTAACACGGGAGGCCGAAAACGGTTCTTACGATGTTCTTAAAAAACTAATCCGCGATAAATTGATAAATCCCGAATACGGTGAATTTATTGTAAAATGTTGTACGACATAGTTTCTGCGTTGTAGGACATAGTTTCTGCGATATTGAACTCTAAAAAATGGAGATTTTGTGAAACCAATCCTCATTTGATTCAAGAAATTGATTAACAAATAATTTCTTATTTGATTCAAACAGTTATTGTTGCCTACATCAACACATGAGTATAGAAAAACTCAACAACTTATGAGAATGCAATGAATTATGTCATTTAGAATTATTTCCGGATATTCATAAGGACTAACTTTTGGGTCCAATGATTTTGGGATATACCTTAACCCTAGATTGGTCACCATATGAGGGAAGTGCCGCAGCGCGTTGTTTTTCTTGAATTGCCATTGATTAACTGATCGGAAAAATTAAAAAAAATTTGACTTTTCCAATCAAAGTGTCTAAAAAACTTTAATAGTTATAGAACAATATAATTCTCAAAATTCCTAAAAAAAAATTATTTCTAACAGAGGATTTTTTTTCCCATGTTAAATCAAAGTGCCTGTTACGCGACGTTGCCGGAAATACGCTAAACGCGCCTGGGCAGTGTACAGTGAATTTGGCAACGTTCAGGCCTAAATAACACGGCGGCATTTCCCCGCGGACGTGACCAAGTCGCTGGGTCGCGTAGGGTGACCAATTAGGGTTAAAATAGTATATTTTTAACCTAGGGAGGTAAAATAAAGGAGTCGTACGTGGTCACGTTCATTTTACCTCCTTAATTTCTACGATTATTTAAAGTGTAGGTAGTTCTTTTACTTCACTTGTGTCTCCATCAACTATACTTTCTGATAAGAGGAGAATAATATGCTGAGAATACATTCGATTTGTTTTTTTTTGGCCTCAGATGTTAACGCTCCAAAAGCACATTCCGGTCCGGAACCAAAAGAAAAGGCGACCAGATCAACAGGAGCAAAAGGAGATCAAGGCAAGAGTGCACCTGGCGGTCGACAAGATTTCACTTCCAACAATGCGTCGGATTTCGATGAATTGCTCATTCAAGAAGAGCTTGAAAATTGGCTCATGAGAGTGAGTTATCGTCTTCATTTATCTTTTCTCTTCTTCAATCATGGATAATTTATAACATTCATTTGTTTTCAGGATTTTGACAACTGATCAGAAAACTCATCACCTAGTTTTAGGACACTTTAATGTGAACTTCGAATTTATTAAATGAGTGCCTCAAACCTGTTTTAATTCGCAATTGTTCTTTTGTGAAAAAAAAACTTACACTAGCGCTAGTTTTCAATTTAATTTATTCGCTTCCGATTCCCTTCATTTGAGATGAGAGTGTTTAATTATGGAATAGAAAAGAATGATAGTGGTGTCTTCAAAGTTAAGTGTAATTTCATAGCTGGAAAGTTAACGATAATTATCCTATGTGTATTTACTACGTGAAGATTCCTGAACAACAGTAAAAGTAAAGAATTATATAAAAAATAAATAAAAAATAAGAAATATTGTTTGGACACAGTGTTTTTTTTCCATCAACATACTTGAATGGCAAATACCTATTGCAACGAAGCAGGATCTGGCATGCTTTGCAAGGTTCTACCGTCGAAAGGATCAAAATTCGCAAGACTCAATCGATCGCAGGGGTCCACACAACAGAGGCAGGTAGGACAATCCCACGGGTTGAAGGATCATGAATCGATAGAAATAATCAGAAGTTTCTCCGATTTGGTCACCTTACTCGGCCCTGCGACTTTGGTCATGTCGTGAGGGTCGTGAGGCATTCCCCGCAATGTTAACGGGGCTGCGACGTTGCCAAACCCTTGGTTTTTTTTTATTTAAGCATCCAAACCATGTGGTTTATTTTGCTATAAAAAAATTAGAAAAATACAAATGTGTTTAGAAAATAATTCTTTAGGTACTATTCGCAACAATTTACATCACTTCTTCAAATATTCAATCCTGAGGAGTTCAAGAAGGAATCAATATGTTTGAGAACAGTTCTATTCAATTTCTTTAAGAAGACTTTGATTTCATAGGGTGGGAGGAAGCCTTCCCTTCGTATCCCTGTCAAAAGCCTGACGGTGTGGCTCATAGATAGGACATTGCCAAAGCACATGGCCGAGGTCTTTATTCGGATCACCACAGTCACAAGATGAAGACTCGATGAAGCCAACTCTTTTCAAAGAGCTGGCGAGATTGTGTAATGATTCGCTCTAGCCCTGTTAACCCATACTATGGTTCTCCGTGAAAGTTTACTGTGACGTTTGTACCAGGTTGTTCTGTTCTTTTTATAATATAAGTTGAAGTATTCTGTACCAGTCTCCAGACTCATTCCAGGGATTTTTTCTTCTGTTTCATTAAATGATTCCCTCTTGAATCCCTCGGTAAAATCAGAGAAGGGAAGCACAACTTCAACATCATATGGACGAGCTGTAGCCTCCCCTGTCAAACGGACTGTTTACTCATTACCGTCAATGCCCGTGTGGGATGGGACTCAAGTAAACTTAGACGATTCCGATCTATTATTAAGCTCTATGAAACTATAGAATTTTTCTTTGACATTAAAATTTAATTTATTGGCTCTCATTATTGGTTTACACAAGGATTGAAGCAAATCCTTGGTTCTTACCGAGTCTCTCATTCAGTACCGACTAGGTCCGTAAGGAGTGGGTGAACGCACTGGAGAGGGGCTGGCGACGCTGCGCGACGAAAACCTCCAGCGATTCTAGTCACGTAGTGAGGAGATCCCCGCTTCTGCGGGTTCTCTCTTCCATTATTATTCTCTCTGAGACTAATTATTGAATTGATAGAAGTGACAAAAAAACTATTAAATTCTACACATTCTGATTATCAAAGTCGAATTTTTTCAGAATTTTCCAAACTATCGTTTACTTGTAAAAAAAAAATACGGAAAAAGGCGGGGAATCAAAAGAGCAAATCTGCCGAAATGCGGACAAATTTTAGCTCCATAAACTCTCTTCGTTCGTTGAATTCTGAGACTCAATAATTATCACGACGAAATCCTTAACACCACGAGAGCGTTATAGAACATGTTGAAGGTGTTCTGAGGAGGATAAATAACAGCAGGTAGTAACCAAGGGAAGGGAGGATTACCGGAATGCGAAATTCCGCACTTAGGGACGAATGCTTTATTTTACCTGACTAGGTTAGAAATATACCATTATCAATGAAAAAATGGATGTCAGAATGTCACACATCTGTTGTAGACAACTTTAACTCCTATATAGTTGTTAAACCTATAGGTTATAGGTGTTAAACCTATAGGTTATAGGTGTTTAACACATATATAGGTGTCTGAATCCCTAAACATCTGAATGTAGTGATACCAAGAATTAAGTGACCCACCCTAATATATTATGATGATTTGGTGATCATCCCGGATTCTTAGATTCTTGGATTATATCCAGAATTTTTTCAACGAAATTTCAGCCAACAGCCATATCACGTTGAAAACGCCAGTTCTCGTCCGATCACTGAAGCTAAGCAGCGTTGAGCGTGGTTAGTACTTGGATGGGTGACCGCTTGGGAACACCACGTGCCGTTGGCTCTTTCTTTTGAATTTTCTCCTTTTCAATATCGCAGATAAGCAATGAAACATCAATGCAATGAAATATCATTGATAAGCAATTAGATTTCGCTAATTTCCATTCACTTCGCGACTAAGCAATTGCATTGCGCAGACAAGCAATGAAATGTCATTGATAAGCAATTAGATTTTCCTAATTTCTATTCACTTGGCGACTAATTGATTATTTGTTTTCATTTTTGGGAACTAGAAAATTCGATTGCGGGATCGACGAGTTCAGCAAGTTTCTTGAGTTGAAATTTATGGAGCTTTTTTCAGCCGTATTTAGGAATGCGGTAGACTCTACCGCACAATGATAATCAATGACATTTCATTGCTTATCTGTGCTATTGAAAAGGAAAAAATTCTAAAGAAAGAGCCAACGGCACGTGGTGTTCCCAAGCGGTCACCCATCCAAGTACTAACCACGCTCAACGCTGCTTAGCTTCAGTGATCGGACGAGAACTGGCGTTTTCAGCGTGATATGGCTGTTGGCTGGAATCCTGTTGGAAAAAAATCCGAACTTATACTAAGAATTGATAATTCAATCGAAAACAGAAATGAGGAACTAAATAGCTTTGAAAATAGTGGCAATTTCGTATTAGGATTTTGTTCCTCCTGACCTAATCGTCCTAAGTGATCATTCAGGTCTGGGGCGAACAGTAGATTCAAACGGATGATGAAAAACAATAGTTTTTATGACTATAAATAATGCTTGTAGGGAAGCGTTGCTCTTATACATTTTATTAAAAGCTTATCCCTATCTCGTAGTGGGAAGGGATTCGTTTCGTAAAATTTAAGTAGTTTGGTTTGAGAAAGCTTTAATTATGAAAGTTTTACAGAGGAATCTAGCTCTTATAGTGGAATCTAGCGATGGTGCATCTGTACCAAGGGTCAAACGGACCGCGGTATTTTGGATCTGTTCGAGTTTATTTATCATAATTTGAGAATTCAAAATTAAATTCAACAGCGCATGGCGAGGTATTAATTTCAAGTCTCACCAGTACTTAACAGTACCCAGGGTTAGCGACGGGGATGCAGCCGATATGAACCCCAAAAAGTCCCAATATCACCAAATCATCATAATATATTTGGGTGGGTCACTTAATTCTTTATATCACTACATCAACGTCAATATAGGACACGTCATCTGCGTCAATATAGGTGTCTGAATCCCTAAACATTTGAATGTAGTGATCCGGGTGTTTATATAGGTGTTTGAATCCCTAAACATCTGAATGTAGTGATACCAAGAATTAAGTGACCCACCCTAATATATTGTTACGTGTCCCCCCTTCGAATCATAATTCAATTGTCCATCATCTTGAAGATGACACGGAACCCCCTTGACAACGACTGTCTTTTGAAATAACTTGGATAGATTCATTCTCTTTGGAGATCTCTTCGACGACTCATCTTCTGTACCTAACTAATTAATAAACCGCCCCAACCATTTGAATATTGTATCGTCTTCCTTTTTCACCGGTTACAACAATATTATGATGATTTGGTGATATTGGGATTTTTTGGGGTTCATACCGGCTGCATCCTCTGGGTAATGTTAAGTACTGGTGAGGCTTGATATTAATACCTCGCCATGCGCTGTTGAATTTAATTTTGAATTCTCAAATTATGATAAATAAACTCCAACAGGTCCAAAATACCGCGGTCCGTTTTACCATTGGTATAGATGCACCATCCCTAGATTCCACTATAAGAGCTAGATTCTCTGTAAAACTTTCATAATTAAAGCTTTCTCAAACGAAGCTACTTAAATTTTACGAAACGAATCCCTTCCCACTACGAGATAGGGATAAGCTTTTAATAAAATGTATAAGAACAACGCTTCCCTACAAGCATTATTTATAGTCATAAAAACTATTATGTTTTTCATCATCCGTTTGAATCTACTGTTCGCCCCAGACCTGAATGATCACTTAGGACGATTAGCTCAGGAGGAACAAAATCCTAATACGAAATTACCACTATTTTCAAAGCTGTTTAGTTCCTCATTTCTATTTTCGATTGGATTATCAATTCTTAGTATAAGTTCTGATTTTTTTCCACCAGAATTTCAGCCAACAGCCATATCACGCTGAAAACGCCAGTTCTCGTCCGATCACTGAAGCTAAGCAGCGTTGAGCGTGGTTAGTACTTGGATGGGTGACCGCTTGGGAACACCACGTGCCGTTGGCTCTTTCTTTTGAATTTTTTCCTTTTCAAAAGCGCAGATAAGTAATGGAATGACACTGATAAACAATAGATTTGACTAATTTCTATTCAGTTCACGTCTAACTAATTATTCGTTTTCATTTTTGGGAATTAAAAAATTTGATTGCGGGATTAATGAGTTCGCGAAGTTTATGGAGCTCTTTTCAGCCGTATTTACGAGTGTGGTAGTCTCTATTTGGCATTACTCGGCTAAAACCCATCTTCTGGTTTCACATCATGAAATTTTGTTCAGATCACGGATTCTTGAGCTATATTCAAAATTTTTTTCAACAAAATTTCAGCCAACAGCCATATCACGCTGAATACGCCAGTTCTCGTCCGATCACTGAAGCTAAGCAGCGTTGAGCGTGGTTAGTACTTGGATGGGTGACCGCTTGGGAACACCACGTGCCGTTGGCTCTTTCTTTTGAATTTTTCCTTTTCAATAGCACTGATAAGCAATGAAATGTCATTGATTATCATTGTGCGGTAGAGTCTACCACATTCCGAAATACGACTGAAAAAAGCTCCATAAATTTCAACTCAAGAAACTTCCTGAATTCGTCGATCCCGGAATCGAATTTTCTAGTTCTGAAAAATGAAAACAAATAATCAATTACTCGCGAAGTGAATAAAAATTAGGAAAATCTAATTGCTTATCAATGACATTTCATTGCTTGTCTGCGCAATGCAATTGCTTAGTCGCGAAGTGAATGGGAATTAGCGAAATCTAATTGCTTATCAATCATATTTCATTGCTTATTTACGATATTGAAAAAGAGAAAATTCAAAAGAAAGAGCCAACGGCACGTGGTGTTCCCAAGCGGTCACCCATCCAAGTACTAACCACGCTCAACGCTGCTTAGCTTCAGTGATCGGACGAGAACTGGCGTATTCAGCGTGATATGGCTGTTGGCTGAAATTTTGTTGAAAAAAATTTCGAATATAGGAAGAATCTGCGATCTGATCGAAAATCGAAATGAGGAACTAAATACCGTTAAAAATAATATAGATTACATGAAGTGAAACCAGGAGATACGGCAGCGACTTTGGCCGAGTGAGCGCTAAATGGAGTCTATCGACTAACTGACGAGTCCATTCCCTTCGTAGCTACCCCCACTTTGGCTAATCCCCACGCACATCCACATCTCCCACCTCTGAAAACGAAGGAAACGGACTCGTCAGTCCGACAATACCATACTCCTATATACGGTTAAAAAGAACTCCGTAAACAAGGGGCTGGTCACTTGGAAAATTACTGGATCACTCGATTGGAAATCAAGAAAGGCATTCCTTGATTGGATCAGGAAATCATCAGAAATGAATGGAAATCAAGTGATTTCCATTTCAGGCAGTAATTTCTAATGACTTCCGGAAATCCTCGGAAATCAGTAGAAATCATAAAGAAATCAGCTGATTTCATAAATAATTAGAAATCATCGATGAATGTGAACCTAAAATCTTTTATTCGAGCTCACTCACACTATTCCATCTGACCCTCATGATCCTCTTATGCAGATGTCATTTGATTCTTACGACCACATCCATAAGATCCTTCTAAACTCTTTGGTTCCCCCGAATCATACCTATTATACAATATTGTACCATTATACAATATGTGGCGTATGACCGTCGCGAGGCTTTGAGGTTCATGATGGGATATGACGTTGAGATTTGTGACCTGTTTTGTCATCATTACGTATCACATCGTCATGTAGAAAACTGCCATTATTGACAGATGCTCTACTTCAGCCGCGTAATCGTGATTTTTCCAGTGATTTCTTGAAATCAAGAAATCATCAAAATCTACTGAAAATCATGGAAATCACGAGAAACAAAAAAATCATGATTTCTCATTTTTATTGAGAAATCATTACACGGAAATCATTCAAGAAATGACAGAAACTCATCCCATTCTGGAAATCACTGATCCACTCAATTAAGAAGTGACTAGCTCCGCAAATATAATTCTCTGATGTGCCAGAGCGGTTTTCAGCTAGCCCATAAGGATATAAGCAAAACATTTCTATTCAATTTATATTTCCAGAATGCAATAAACATAAAATTTATTGAAACTTTTGATGCAAAATATCAACTATTTCCTGGGGTTGCAATGTATGGGTTTTCTTTCCTCGGACAAGGAAAGAACGATTCATCGAACGATGCTGTTGATTTCTCCTTCGAAGCTTCGAACAAATTGGCCCATAGTCCGAGTGCAACTATTGGCAAAAAATAGATATAATTAATAATTGATAGAGAGAATTTTGAATATTTACTTGCACAGAAGTGGCAGAAAGGGTATTGCCGTCGAGTATTCTACACTCTAGATTATAATTTAGTATCGGACTGGTAGAACGGTATAAGTCAATTTTGACTATTGACCAGTTTTCAATAAATATCTCAGAATCTAACGGAGATGGCAAAATTTTTTTTATAACCTTTTTTGTAGAGCTGATTAAGAGCTATAACAAATGTGATTACGAAAATTTCGCTATCTCCGTTAGATTCGGAAATATTCCTCAAAAATTGAATTGGGGATAAGTCGACTTAACCGGTTTACCACTTCGCTACTGAATTATAATTCGCAAGGGTCAATGGATCACGAGGGCTAAAAGACAGGGAAACAAGACAATATAAAATGTATAATGACGACAAGGGTCAACCGGTAGCGACAGGCGGGATAATTACAAGGGTTGATCGATCATAGATCAAGTGAAATCATCTCCCGTTTGACCCTTGTTATTGTTTGATTTTGAGATTGTCCCGTCTTCTCCTCCAGATTGAGCCTGTCAATTGTGCCATGTCCTCCGAGTTGATATATGTGATCGTTTAACTTTGACAGTATTCTGTTTCCCTCTGGTGTTTGACCCTACCGAGTTATGATCCCTGCGATTTTTTACTTTCGCAAGGTATGACCCTTGAGATATTTGAGCCTCGCGAAATTTGCTACGAAGATTTTTCAAATTTGATAATTAAAAAAAAACGTCTTCATCTTTCTTCCTGCACGACCGCATCCGGAATTTCCTGTTCTGCCGACCCTGCATTCGGATGAAGAAGATTTACCTCTAGCATTCAGACGCTGACTGAAGTGAAAACAATCGGCTGATAGATAACGTAAATCCACATCCCCGTCGGGGATCACTGTTGGTAGATTCGTCTGAAGCATAAATGTTTGAGCTACAACACTGAAATCTTCTTTCTGAAATTCAGGATAAGATGGTATCTCTTTATCCAACTGTTGCCATCTAAAATAGAAATTATGTATTTTGAAATGGATTCTTGTTATCAATATGGAGAGGAGAGTAATACAATGTTAAAAATTCTGAGATGCGCAGGATATTTCCTTGTGATTTTGCCTTTACAGAATATCAAATCCCGCGAATCAATTTGCGGAAATTCCCGTAGGATGAATAATAGGAGTTTTTTTTGTCGTTTGCAAAGTCCTACCCGGATTTTAAATTGCTATATTATATTGCAGAAAATTTGATTGATTTCTAGAGTATTGAGGTAATCCAAGTGCACGGAGAGAAAAATTCAATAAAAATTACCAGAAAAAAACGTAAAAATTACGTTTCGAAAGGTAATCCGCGAGCGAAGTAGATTCAATAAAAAGTGTGAGTCGGAACTGAAATTGCACGAATCGCCGCGTAAATTCTACGATTTGTTCCGTAAAAATTAACCACCCATCTGATGACTCACCGCTGTGGGGACAACAAGTCGTTCCGTAATTTTTCCCCAACGACTGACAAATTTTACGGAACGGAACGTAGAAATATCTCACCAGCTTCGTAAAAATTGTTGAACGTTCATAATAAGTCGGGAAGTTTCTGTACGATTTTACTTTTTCGGAAAAAATTACGTGACAATTGCGTATTTTGTTCGGTGATGAACCTGAGTATTCACTGAACATTTCAGATTTCTTCTCCTCCATTCCTATAAAAATTGCCGGAAAGCGATTTCCCATTGCAGATTACATGAATTGTTCCGTATTTTTTGGTGAAGGTTTCTCTCCGTGTGCGATTCGCGGCCTGAGTCACCAACTTTGCCAAGGAAATTGTGTGGAAAAAGTTTGACAAATTCGCATATAATCAACATGATCCAGATTACATTCTGACAAGTAGCACTATGTTATTTAACATTTCTCCTTTGTAAATCAATATTGAAAATTGTTTGAATTGACAGAAATCTCCTGTTTCATCATGGAATAAATTTTCCGAAAAATTCTCAATTCCAATAAATTAGTCACCAATTTTAAATAATCATGTCTAGAATATTTTTTAGTTATCACTCATCTATGAAAAAAAGGTCTGATTTTCAATAACAGCAGCTCCCAAGATTTTTTTCGATTTGTTTTTCGAACGTAATGGTTCCTGAGAGAAAATGAAATTCAGGCATCGAAGCGTTTAAATCCCTAGTAGAAATTTCATGGCGCAACCATGTCGCGGCGTGAGTTGGGGCGCGACATTCAATGTCATAGGTATAGGCACTTTGGCTCAACGCCGCAGAATTTCGATCAATTCGTCTGCTAGGAATATGCCTGAATGGAAGCTCAATTATGCATTTGCAAAAAAAAAATTGTGATTAGACATTTTGCAAAATTTGATTGTAGCGAAAGATGAATACTTGTCGAAGTACTTGGATTGGCCTTCTTATTGTTAATTTTCTATCAAAATCTGAATTTTGCCCGACACCTTAACAACTGAGAAACTATAATCGAATACCGTCAGTGACCTAGTCATGGAACCCTTAAGAAATAAGGTATGGAACCACACTCCTATATACGGCTAAAAGGAGCTGCATAAACTTCAACTCATGAAACTTCATGAACTCGTCGATCCCGCAATTAAATTTTCCAGTTCCCACGACTGAAAAAGAATGATCAACTACTCGAGAAGTGAATGAAAATTAGAAAAAAATGAATTGTTTCTCAGTGAAATTTTATTGCTTATCAGTTATTCTGAAAAAGAAAAAACTTCAAAAGAAAGAGCCAACGGCACGTGGTGTTCCCAAGCGGTCACCCATCCAAGTACTAACCACGCTCAACGCTGCTTAGCTTCAGTGATCGGACGAGAACTGGCGGTTTCAGCGTGATATGGCTGTTGGCTGAAATTTGGTTGAAAAAAATTCTGCATATAACCTAAGAATCCGTGGTGTGATCGAAAATAGGAATGAGGAACTGAACTCCGTTGAAAATAATGTAAATTTCATGAAGTGGAATTAGTAGATGCGTCTTTGGCCGCGTGAGTGCCAAATAGGTCTACCACATATATACGGTGATATCAGTGATCGGACGAGAACTAGCGTTTTCAGCGTGATATGGCTGTTAGCTGAAATTTTGTTGCAAGCGGTATTGTTTTGAATAACTCAGAACTTGAAAGCTTGCCCTCTATCATCTAGTAACATTGCCAATACAGTATCTACCTTCACGTCACTTGTCTCTCTTCACAACCCGATGCGCTATTGTCACCTCTACTCCCGTATCCAACCACTCTATCGCCGCAAAATACTCGCTCTCAATTGCTCGTTATTACACTGAGAGAAATATTGTCATATCACAAAACTAATTTCTTGCGCCAAATATCTCATCTCTTGAGGATAAATTTCTTGGGATAAGAATTCCGGATAATGTGTCGGACAATGTCAGATTTCGGTAGAGTGTTCATAACGAACATGAATATTTCATGATAAAGTGGAAAATTTTTTGCCACAAGAAATCAGTTTTTTCGTATCAGAAGATGAGAAGATGACTAAAAACATTAAAAGCTTTGATTTAGTGGATCATGAATCAGGGACTTTGTTATTGAATGAATAGAGTTTATGCGCAGGAAAAGCTCCAGATTTTAAAAAAATATAACTGTCGCATACGCTCAATCATCAAACTATTCTTGTCTTTGAAGGAATATCTCATTTCGAAAGAAGCCATCATCTTTTCATTCAGTAACTTCCTCCTTATCCCGAAAACCCCTGATTTTTTTTCTAAAACTTACCATAAATTGATCAAATATGTATGCGATGTTTTTCGCTCAAAAAATGATTTTTGTGATATATCGATTTTTCGCTAAGTGTAAACATTAATAATTTAAAAACTATTGAAATTATCATTTTTTTCGCATTTTTCTAGTATTCAGGAGATTTAAATTTATCCCTGGACGTGAACTCTATTAGTAGTTCAAAAACACCATGTATATAGGGTCATATGGATTTTCGTCAACGCTGATTCCATAACCGGGTCACTGACGGTACAATAGTCAGAAATTTTCTCCCATGCAACAGTAAATCATGCTAAACTTTACTTTATAAGGATCTGTTCAAATTCTGCCCGCTGCTTCCGATATGGAGATCCAACTAAACATGAACAGCCTATCTGGACAAAAAGATTACATATCGCAGGTCTGCCCTTCCACTCAAGGACATTCATGAGATTTGGCAAGGGCAAAAGCGATATTATGGTCCTGGGCAAGTTGTCTCTTAATATTCGAAGCGTTTCGATGAGATCATTCTTGTGGTTTACAAAAGCTTTCGAGGGAGGATGTGTCCAACATATATCAGAGCAGATGTCATTCGCTCCCATGAAGATAGTTATCATCTGCAAAAGAATGATGTTCAGTCTTTGAAAGTTATCCTGCACTTCTCATCCCATACACGGAGAGAAATATTTAGTAAAAATTACGGAACAATTCACGTAATCCGCAATGGAGAACGGGTTTCCGGCAATTTTTATAGGGATGGGGGAGAAGAAATCTGAAACGGTCAGTGAATTCTCAGCTTCATCACCGAACAAAGTACGAAATTGACACGTACTTTTTCCCGAAGAAGTAAAATCTTACAGAAACTTCTCGACTTATTATGCCTTCAAAATCAGAAATTCTTGAACGGTCAACAATTTCTATGAAGCTGGTGAGTTATTTCTACGTTCCGTTCCGTAAACTTTCTCAATCGTTGGGGAATAATTACGGAACGACTTGGCCTCACAGCGGTGAGTCATCAGACGGGTGGTTAATTTTTACGAAACAAATCGTAGAATTTACGTGACGATTCAAACAATTTCAGTTCCGACTCCCACTTTTTATTGAATTTTACTTCGCTCGCGGATTAGATTTCGAAACGAAATTTTTACGTTTTTTTCTAGTAATTTTTATTGAATTTTTCTCTCCGCGTAGTAATTTACCTTCCAATGTTTTTCAACATCAACCCGAGGATCACTCTTCATTCTTTGGACAAGATTATTAGCCATGTACGGGAGGTCTCTAGACATGGCCAGGTTTTCCCCGACATTGAAATGTGATTCTGGTTGATGAGTAAATGAATCTTCAGTTGAATATCCATATAAATTTGGATTATATTCCTAATATTGATTCATTCAGTAATTATTAGTATAGCAGCATTTCAATTATATTGAAAGTATATAATTTCGTATAAAAACCTTGAGAATGTTGGGTAACGTTATGAAATCTCGCCACGTTCCTTGTCCTCCGCCAATGGCAGAAACACCTCGATTCTCTATGAAAATATTAAAGAGATTGGTTGCGAAAATCCCAAATCCTGCAGTCAGAGAATCCCCCATCGCTCCAATTATGTCAATGTCACCTGGCCTTAATTTGTGTACAGAAGTTGGTACATATTCCGATCTACCACCTATCATACACAGTGAAAGAAATTTCGGTGATAATGTTTCCAGTATGAGGGGTTGAATATTTCGGAGCTAAAATCAATTCTTTTTGGAAGAATTGATTTTAATTCACCCTCAGCCCTAAGTCAAATTTTTCCGAGTAGAAATTTTGCCAGGCAGGCCTTTTGGCAGAGGAAGGCCCTGCTCCGGTATCAATTCCTTTATTTTCTCTACCCGCCTATTCTGGGACCACTATTTATTCATTTATTATTCATTTTTCGCCTAATTTATTAATCCAGTTAGCAATTTATTGCTTAGTAATAAAGTCTATGAACCAGGCAAGGGCGAAACAAGGCCGCTTGTCGTGGCCCGTATCAGGTTTGGAAATCAGATCCTGATCATGCTTTGAGTTACAGTTCCTATCAGGCCCTGATGTGGTAACCTTAACAGGGCCGAATCTTTTTTACGGCACAGCGGACCTGGGCCTGACCAGTCAAGTACTAAAATTTCTACTCGGGTTGATACGGAGTGGATTTTTATTTTTCATATCAAACTGGGTTGATTATCATGTTCATGTTGACACTATAGCGATGTCAATTTTCACTCCATTTATATCTCAACTTCGGAATTAATATATACTCCGTCCATCCACACCAAAATTTGTTTTTACTCTTTTTGGTGTGGACTAGAATCGAAATTCAGAGCTATACAGAAGCAAATCGTCCTGACAAACAGAATTCCATATACGGACTTCAAAGAACAATTTAAAGCGTCTTCCAAAAGAAATACCACTGAATTATTAAGAGAGCAAGGGGAAACGAAGGGCAGATGATATTTCGAATACTTGTTCGATGATTCCTCAAAGCCATGGTTGCACAACCGTAAAAAACTTCATCGACACACACTTTTGTGGGTCAATCGCATTAGGGCCGACCACTACAATTTGAAATTCTCACTAGCCAGAATCGGTATCATTAAACGATCCTGCATGCGAATGCGGATATTCCGAAGAAGACATCAATCACATCGTGTGGAAATGCCCACGTTTTGAATAACAGAGAAAAAAACTATATCGAAAGTTCTGAAATTCAGTAACCTACCTTGTAGAATGCTTAAGAATAATCGGGCGAGCCTGGAGGGTTAGAAAAAAAGCAGCCATTTTTTCTTTTTTTTAACGTATTCTTCAAATGATGGAAAAGGCGTGTGAAAAGTTGCAGACTCCTGGGAAGCATGGTTAATTTATTATGAATTTTTGAAAAAGTGGTCATTTAACCCGTGATCTTATGGAAATCACCAAAAAAACTGCAAAACCAAAGGAAAAAATGCAGCCAAAGTCATGAAACTTTAGAGACATTTAGAACATGTGATCAATGATGTTTTGAGTGAAAAAGATTGTCGCCTAGAAGCATTGTTTATTAATAATAGCGAAAAAAGTACTGAAAAATGAAATTTCTGCGCACGCAGCCCAAACGAGCAGCAACGTGTCCCAAGTACCGATCGGGTGGGGGTAGCGCGGTCAATTTAAACATCTCTTGAGAGAGAGCGATGAAGCGTTGTGATTGGAGCTCCCTCGAGCCAGTGGTACCAGCTCCTGGTGAAAAAAAAAAATACCGACGATGTTGCCACTTTTTCGCATGGATTAATATTTTTTCATTTATTGAAAAAAACAATCTGAAAACTATTCAATGCGTGGAACAGATATAAATAAATTTGATTAGCTCCAAAAATAATTTTTAACCGGAGATACTCCCTAATATTGCCTGAATTTTGAATCCAAATGGGAAAAATTTTTTGTTCAACGATTGGTTTTCTGCAGGAAAACAATAGAAACCCCTCCGCCTCACCTCCTAGATTTCCTCCGCGCCCGATTGTCTTTAATATTGTATGCGAGTCGAATCCCATTATTATCGATGATATTGATAAGTTTTTTAAAGAATGTGGTGTGAAAATCTGAGGAATGCGGCCCAATGATGTACAATAAAATATATTTCATATTATATTTAATTTATAGCTAATAAGCCTCGTAAATGGGTTTCTAATGGTTAATAGAATAAAAACTATCATTTTGCATACTACATTGACACACAGACTACAAACACCTTGAATTCATTATGACGAGGACAAATGTGGACGTACACATGACAAGTAGGGTCTACTTTGTCGATCCTAGTCTCCAAGATATTCACAATTCTATCTCGGCAACACGTTTTGAAACTAATGTTAAATAATTTTTTCATCACGCGAGTAAAATCATATTTTAGACACGCTCTGCGTGCACAAGGCCCGCTTCTAGTGATGCCGCGAGACGAGATAAGACGAAAAATGGCATTTTTCGTACTGACCTTCACTTTTCCTCATCCGGGGATTGATAGTGGCCCTTCCCCAAACTCGTAAAAGTGAAAATCATTACGGAAAAATATCGTTCACGACTAGTGCTATGGTTGGCATCTGAGCCGAAGACGAGGACTGGCCAACCACGTGAGTAAAAAAACCCCGCGGCAACGACAAAAAACACTTTTCTGCACTCGTATCAAAATACACTATTCAAAATGTGCGGAATTTTCTCAACATTATCGGAGTTCACATAACTCTATGTCAACAAAGTAGCCCTTTTTCATATGGACGACCACAAATATCAAACACTCTAGTAGTTTAAGAAAAATGAAACTGAAAAAAAAGGGATGATCTAAAAGTCAACATTCAGATAGAATTACCAGATACATCGCACGGGAATGAAGTCTCGTTGGACACTTGTTTCTGGACATGCTGCATCTTCACCGCTTCTTTGAATACCGGATTACCTGGTGTTCCAGTTTTACCTAAACCCGTTATTATAATATTTATGTCATTAGGCCCGATAAACCGCGATCTAACCGAGCAAAGCGAGGTTTTCGGGCCCAACGACATAATAGTATATTTCGTCATTAGGCCGAAAAAAACTTTTTTGGCGAATATAAGGTTTGCAGCACGAGCCGAAGGCGAGGGCTGCAATCATATTCGTCAGAAGTTTTTTTTAGCCCTATGACGAACTAGTATTTTTCCGGCCTGTTGCATAGTTTTTTACTCGTGTGACGTTGGCCTCCGAGCCGTAGGCGAGGACTGGCCAACCACACGAGTAAAAAAACCCCATCGCAACAGCCCAGGAACAATATTTTTCTGTAGTGATTTTCAAGTTTTCGAGTTTGGGAAGTATGTAATACCAATTCCCAGACGAGAAATCGTGAGAAGCAGTNACGAGCTCTAACTCATCCCAATCGGATTATTGAATCGGAAAATATTGACGATTGAAGGGGGGCCGTTTTGCCCCATCCTCCCCTACTGAACAAAATTTTATGTCACGAAGCCTGAAACCGGCTGAATTAGACACGAGACGCGAAGCGTCGAGTGTGTAATCCAGCCGGTTTCAGGCATGAGTGGCATAAAATATGTTTTGTCATAACGGCCGCAGGAGATTCCGAAACGCTGCCTTACGGCCGGAATGACAAAAAAGCATTATCTGGCGAATGTGGCTTTATAATCCGAGCCGAAGACCCGGATTATAATCACATTCGCCAGATAATACTTTTATCGCCTGATGACATAATATACTATTGTCTAATTGTTTCGAATCATACAATCATGTCTTGTCTAGATTTGAACCATTCTACAAGACGAAATTGAATTGAACTCACCAAATACATTCACAAAGAATTCTTTAACATTCCTCAGGAATTGAATATTTTCAGGACTATCTAAAACAGTTTTCTGGCCATAGAGCACTGAGGGGTACGCCAATAATATGAATATGCACAGCAATTTCAAGTGATCCATGCCAATTGAGTAGTAAAAAATTGGCGTCTTTGATATCGACAATGTATCCGGACGAACACGAAGGAGTTTGTGATGCTAGTATCAATATTAAATTGGAATACCATGTTAGCAGAGTATCGATGGAAAAAATCAGGAGCAAAAACTTTTAAAGAATAATTAATCCGATGAAGAAGATAGAAACGAATAAAGATGATTTAACCGCGAATCGCATAAAAAATCCCGTCCTCATTCATCGGCTGATTGTATACAGTTATCCTCCTGTCCTACGTGAGTATTGTGTACAAGGTTCCAATGTGAGTGGGAATCTTGCACACAGATGGAAAACAGTCATTAGATGCAATACAAATAAATTAACCAAATGTTTTGCATGACGCTTGTATTTCATTCTCGGACATAAAATTTTCAAGTTTTTATCATCACTGCTAATGATCGAAACATTGACCTCTCATGTGACATTGCTAATCATGATTATCGATCTCTATTTATCATCACTCCTGATGATCGAAACGTTGGCTTCTCATCTGAAATTGCCTATGAATTTTGGGATCGATAATCATGATTATAATCAACAAGTCCAATATGGAAACATGTACAACAAAGTGATTATTATATACAATTCCATTGTAGTATTCATATAAAAATAGAAATCTTATGAAAAATTCAGTCGGAAAATACTAAATGTCGACGGGGTGAATCATCTGGAGATCAAACCACTTGACATATAATATATTCTGACAGAGACAGTTACATGAAACAAAGGAAACGGTGGAAGTCCTGAGATCGCAGGATTCTCGCTCGAAATTTCTATTAGCGGAAAAATTTCTGGGTGGAAATTCGTATAACGCGTCTCGAATGTCCTATATCGGTCACATTCGAAACACATCAATCAATCAATCTATTCTCGTCTCTCACGATCCTTCTAGACAATTCCCGAATCCTCCGTAATAAAAGGTATGGTTTCAGTACACAACAGCAGTCACAAATATTACGATATCCTTTTATTTTATTTCCGAATGGAAGCAAAAACCAAAATTGAAAGTCATTTGTGGTTTGAGGTGATTAGCAAATCTCATCAAATTGTGGTTTAATGACACTTGTTGTCTATAAAACCCCTGTGACAGTTATGATCCTGAAACTCACTTTTAATTCAACACATTTAGTGTTTCTGATTTGAAGGAACGAAAAAAAAACAAAAATTACCCATTTTCTGTCAGTGGTCCGTTTTGCCATGCGGTCCATTTGCCTGCCTGGTCCATTTGACCCTACCCTCCCTTAATAGTACAAAAAATGATTATTTTTTTGTCGACAAATTCCCGATTTTTCGGAAAAAATATGCATAATTTTTTTGTGAAATTAGAATTGAAGTCATCATTTAATTTTACAAACTTTAAAAAAAAACTCAAAGTTTTTCTTCTATTAATATACTTACGAGGCTAGAATTTTAGGACAAAACTCTCCTGAACATGTATAGCAAAGAATGAAACTTGCAGCCCAATTCAAAATTTGACCCGGAACACTGTTAATTACCGATCATGGCTATTCCGATAATAGCCGATAATGGTCGATAACTGGGAGAATATGGCACATCTCAAATCCATCTAACGCCAGTATTTTTCTGTTAACCCCTCACGGACGGGGCCCTTTTGTTTCCAAGCGTGGAGTACGCTCGATACCACTAGAATGTAATGACTTCTAATCAACGCAAAATTATGAAACTGATATGTAATTGAAGCTATAGTATTCCTTTTTTCGTTATTTGTTTGGTTGAGTTAAATTCCATAGTTTTGGAAATAATCAATTTTAACGAGAGTCATTCCTATTTTCATGGGTCGATGCATGGCATCGACTCGGTACGTGAGGAGTTAAGGACTGACAGCCACTTTACACCCGGAATTGTCATAAAAATATGACAGTTGGATTTGTTAAAAATTTTCAACGCCGTTCGCGCCATCTTCTGACTCATAAAAGTCCTTCCCTCTTACAATTGGTGCTCTGTAAATTATCATAAACAAGTTTTTACGAAAATTACGCAACAAAAGTACGTTTTTGTACTCAAAATTCCTGTATTGGACCTCGCTCGATCGCTCTCTTCTCATGAAAATAGCCATCGGCTAAGAAAAATCTACAAAAAATCGGGTGTTCTACCATGACTTGGCAGATTCCTACAAATAAAATCGCGTCGGCCTTGCCCTGAGCCTTGCCGTTCAATAATTTGCAATTTTTTTTGCATAAATAAGAAAAGCATGAGAAGAGAGCGATGCGTTCCGCTACTCTCAATACGGGGAAAAAGTTTCATTGATTCTCATTGCATAGAATCCAAGAAAACTTGTTTTTGGTAAACGTCTTTTTGTGGTCGGTTCCGTTACCCCTTAAAACGCTCTGCTCGCGTGGATCTCAGGCAAATCCTTGTAATCTTAGGTTGTCCATCTTTCCTTTTTTCTCGTGTAACTTGATCAAATTGAAATTCATGTTTCTCTAAGAAACAATATAATTTTCATAGAAACATAAGAGCCTATGAAAATGTGCAATATTCAAGACAGTATTGATATTTATCAATATCAAAATCAACAAAAAACATTTGTCGTAAGGAAAGAAAGATGAAACATATTTGATACATTTCATCAGGTTGACCAATTAGAGATCTCTATAATTCAATCTTGAAATTTAATTTCCGTTTTTTCGATCCAAATCCCTTCAATCTTTTACAATGATCCATGTAATCATTGTATGCCAAAATTGCAACATTTCTTCCTCCGATTGCGCTCATTTCCATGGCGCTAGCAGCCCATTCTATAGCATTCTCATGATATAAAGCGTTATGTAGCTTGAAGTCTCCTGGTTTGTCGTTTATAGAATATTTTGGATAAGCCTTCCATTCATGTTCAATTGGACCAGACTTCTCATTGACCTAAAAAAAAAAGTAGACAAGTCACGAAATTTCTGTTCATTGAAAGAGGATTCGGCAAAATGAACCTTTTTCAATCGTCAGTAATTTCTAAATAGACAACAGGAATTTTTTCAAAATTAAGAACACATTATTCTTCTAATTTAAAACAAATTGAAAATTGACACGAAAGGAGACAAGCAGCGTCGGTGAAAAGGCAATGAAATTTCACCCAAACTTGCGTGACGCGTATGCTTCAATACGCGTTTTATAATACATCATTTTAGTATGTTCATTTCAGTATCAGAGACCGAGTTTTTATGCAAAATGCTGGAGAAGCACACGGAGAGAAATATTCAAGAAAAATTATGGAACATTTCACGTAATCCGCAAGCGAGAATCGTTTTCAGCGAACTTCTATAGGAATATAAGAAAATAAATCTGAAACGTTCGGTAAATTTTCGGGTCTGTCACCGAAAAAATACGAAAAAGTCACGTAATTTCTCAGGAAGCTGTAAAATCTAACAGAAACTTGAACATGAAAATTCTTGGATGTTTAAGAATTTTTACGAAAAGTTCCGGAAAAATTACGGAACGTGTTGTTAAAATCTTCCCCTTACGATGATTCATGGCTAGCCGTGAAGCGTCGGACGGATGAGTAATCTTTACGGAACAGATCGTAGAATTTACGTGACGATTGACACTTTTTATTGAATTTTACTTCGCTCCCAGATTACGTTTCGAAACGTCTTTTTTCTGGTAATTTTTATTGAATATTTCTCTCCGTGCAGTCTCACAGTGACACGGGAGTCCAACTTCCTTTTGGAAGTCGTTTGACTGTGTAGGAGCATTATCAATGACTATGCTAATACAATATTGGTGGCGAAAATAGTGATGTCGTCGGGACCAGTCGAGAATTATTTTGAAATGATCATCACGGTCTGGAAAAACATCGAAAGTTTTGGAATCGTCGCAATTTCGAAAGACATTGGATCGGTGCATCTCGTCACAATTCCGGGAGGATTTATCTTGCCTGGATCTCGAGATTTTCGGTTTTTTAAGTTTACGAGACGAGACGAGACAGATATCGAGACAAACATTTGAAAAACAGAAAATACTGAAACTCAGACGTGATGGATTCTTCCAAGTTCGTGACGAGATGCACCGATCCAATGTCTTTCCAGATACGACGATTCCTAAACTTTCGATGTTTTTTTAGACCGTGATGATCTTTCCAAAATAATTTTCGTCTAGTCTCGAAGGCATCACGAGGCGAAAGACGGGAGAACGCTTGTGTTAGCATTTTCGGGGCTGAAGCCTCTCTGATGCCCCTTGGTTCGGCAGAGTACGGTCGGGAGCCGAAGTGTACAGTCGAATCCAAAGAGATCGATCCCAATTTAGCACCGCGAATCCGAACCTACGTTTCGCACCTATTTTATACAATCATCTTAATATCTTAATTATAACCCAGTTAAACATCGACCGGCGTAATCATTCGAAGACCCAAATCAAGATTCTATTCCAATCCTTGGACCTGGAAAGGACATGACTGAGCGGACTCCCCGTAAGCTCGCGAGCAATTGGGAACAAGAAATATCGTTGAGGGCGCTGTTTTTTGCCAATATGGCCGTCAAAGAGGTATACACACACGCGCTCACACAAGCCCCCATTTGCTTGTGTATCGTAGATGTGCACCCTTAACGCAGCCATTCGTAGAGGGCGTCTTGTCATTAAGCGTCCCCAATAGCCGAGATTATCATCATGGGTTGCGACTGAAGGTGTCAGACGTCAATAAACTAATAAATAAAAATAGAGCAATTTTCCCGTGCGAAAGATAATCCACCCGGGCCTTAATGGTTATTTTAAAGAGTGTAGGGCCGAAACCCGTCACTTTTTCTGCCTTTCCAATGACACCATTTGTATTTTTTCATGCCGCCATATTCGGGAGTGGGAAGATTTGCTTTCTTCAAACAAATGTTTGAAGAAAGCAGGTATTAATTAAGTTTCCACTTGACGAAATTTAATTGTTCTATAAATGCAAATAATGTAAACTCGGTTATGTATTGAAACCGACGCAAAGTGAATTTATAGTCAGTTGGCTCCAAATTACGGATAAGTAAAAAATACTGTTTATTTTGCCGCGCTCTTCCTTATCTGTCTTGCTACATTGTACATGTACCTTGGAAAACATTCTTCCTATTATTTCTGAGCTCAATGATTTCCGCGTAAATATCTTCCAAACATTAGATTCGTGGCCTTCAACCGAACTCAATTTTCCCACGGAACTTATGACCGTTTTTTCAGGGTTGCAGCTTAAAATCCCTTGGATAGATCCATCGAGACCAAAATATGTGGCATTCAATTGGCCTTCAATGAAAGTGGCGTATGTTGTCTGGTAATTTCCCGAGAGCATGAAATCCTCATTATTCGGAAAATTTTCAAAGCGGATGGGCATGCGCTGATCGGATGTCAGAGGCGTTGTGACGATTACTATATCATATTTGTCCGTCTGTACATGGGGTTCTTCTGCAATTGGAAAAATAAGGAATCATATGGTGAGCCATGGAAAGGATTCAGGTCAATCAAACTTCATGTACAATGTTGAAAAAAAATTGAATTTTCCAGGAAAAGACCTTGAATTCCATTTAAGGCTCGGGTGGATTATTTTTCGGAACGTTATCTCGATTGTTTTTCCATCTTCATAATGTAAAATACGTCACAATTTCCAATGGATTTTACATCACGCAGGAGTCCCTAAACATTATGATTCTACAAAAAAAAAAGAAGAAAAAAAACTGAACATGTTCAAAGAGCGTTTTTAATAAAGATTAAGAAATAAGTCCGATAGAGAGGAAATAGTGAATGGATAATTTATCATGGTAACTAACCATCTGACAGCCATTGACTGCTGCGATAAATGACGACCTAGCAGCCATTGGATACATCAAATTATTAATTTGCAATTTTCTCCCTATTGGGTTTATTTCCCAATATTACTTAAAAACGCTCTTTGAAAATTTTCAACTTTTTTTCAACGTTTCTTTATTGTACAATCATAATTTTTGGAGGCTCCAGGACTATGTAAAACTAAATAGCAATAGGAGATCATTTCAGATTATCAAAATAAAACAACAACCAAGATTACGTTCGAAAGATAATCCACCCGGGCCTTAACGGGAAAAAGTTGATGGAATTTCGAGTTTCTCTGAAAAATCAAGGGAAGTCTCAATTTTTTAGCCGCAGGAAGACCTGAAAATGAATATTCAATGCCAAATTCCCTAGAATTTTGAGAGAATTCCTTTAAAATTCTCGGAATTCCAGGCATTTTTGGAGAATTACTTGAAAATTCAAATGAATCTGGAATTCAAGGAGAGATATCTCTGAAGTTTCCTCATTTTTCATCAATTTTTCCGCAATAATTAAACTGAAATTTACAGTTACCACGGATTTCTCTATGAAATTATGAATTTTCAATGAAAAAAATCCTTGAAATTTCAGTGTAAATGTCACTTGTTAGAAATTTCCACAACTCTTACAGAACATTTCAGTGGAAAATTTTCAACAGTGTACACTGTTGGAAATTTTTCGAAATTTCATAGAAAATATGGTAGTAATTCTCATGAGACTGATATTGAATCCGATTTAGGGAAAAATGGTTATGAAATTTCAAGTTTTAGGTAGAATTCAAGGAAATTCATGAGTTTTCAGTGGGAGGGAGATGGATATTATAACGTAATTGAATTTTTATTGAAACATGAATAATCAGAAGCAAAATGACATAAATTTTCAATTTTTTCCTGAAATTTCCTGATTTTTCCGAAGTTTCATGGAACAATTAAATTGAAAAATTTGGCATTTTATTGATTTTCAGATTATTTGAACAGAAAATCACTGAAGTATTTGATCTTTAAATTTTTCAATGACAAGATTTCCTGAAACTTCAGTCGAAATTAAACATGATAAAAGCACGGAAAATTCAGACGAAAATTTTGAACAGTGTACGAACCTTTCGCTTTATACGTGAGAGTATACGGATAATCCTCAGATGATAACATTCCATTAGACCAGTCATACTTCTGATTATAACTGACCTTCTCAACTACATAAGGCCTCGTCCGTATGTGTTTATGCCTGTTAATGAGTCCTTCAACCACCTAAAACGCATCACTCATTAATTTATTGTCAGGAGATGTGGGCATCATTGTAAGAAGATAATGCACCCCCTTGTTTCCGCCTTTAACAGACCACAGAGAGGATCCTACTCCCGCGACAGACACACACCCGACGAAACTCTGAACATCAGTTTCTTGGCCATAATTGACCACCAGGGTTGCTTGCACTAATTCATCAATAAGTCGAGCTGAATATCCCAGATTTTTCAAGTGATCTTTCATCGATACTTGCAGCATGCTCGGAAACCTAGGATTCATGGCCGCTAGTAGGTCGGTTACATTTCGAAATCCACGTCCATTATCTTGAAGTTCATATATTTTATCAAAGTCATCTAAGACGGAATTGACGAATCTGTAGAGATACACTGGATCCATGCCGTAACGATAAATTAATTTCGCTAGAGTAATCATTTCATAATTGCTCTCTTGGAAAATAAATTCGTCCCCATTCCATATGCCATAGAGTTCGTTAGTAGAGCTGGGTCTTGGTTGCAATCCTGAATTGATGTAAATAGAGCAAATTATTTTGGAGAAATCTTTTTCCGCAATTTACTCGAGATGCCGTCGAGGAGACTAGACGAGAATTAGTTTGGAAAGATCATCACGGTCTAAAAAAACATCGAAAGTTTAGGAATCGTCGTAATCTCGAAAGACATTGGATCGGTGCATCTCGTCATGAACTTGGAAGAATCCATCACGTCTGAGTTTCAGTATTTTCTGTGTTTCAAATGTTTGCTCGATATGACTCGTCTCGTCCTGTGAACTTAAAAAACCGAAAATCTCGAGATTCAGGCAAGATAAATCCTCCCGGAATTGTGACGAGATGCACCGATCCAAGGTCTTTCGAGATTGCGACAATTGCAAAACTTTCGATGTTTTTCCAGACCGTGATGATATTTTCAAAATAATTCTCGACTAGTCTCGACGGCATCACTATCCGTAATGACCCAAGTATAGTTAAAAAATGAGATATAATAAGATCTGGTGCGTTCGACAGGAAGGCCTGTTGGTTTACTTTTTAGATTTCCATGTATAATTTCGTAGCATTCGCGTACGTTTTTTTAACCCTAGCAGGAATGGCCAAAATCGTCCGATTCTTCAATATTCAAAGAATTTCTGACTGACATGAAAAAAAGTTTAAATTTACCAATCAAAATTTGAAAATAGTAAAATAATTGATAATCTTAATTTCCAATTGATGATGAATTAAATATTTAAAAATATGGAACTATAAGTTTTTGTGGGATTCGGTGAAGGATAGAAGGGTTTTGTAAGGTAAAACACTCGGAATTAACGTATATATCGAATTGAATTTATTCACAGCGAAAGTAACTTTGGTTTACACCATGAGAGCTGGAACGAGAGTGAGCTCCCCGACAACGGTATTAGATCGTCCGATCGAGGATGTCCGAATTATTACGAATCGTCGCGAGGATGTCTTGCGACATGGACAGCGATATATCGGCGACACGTGTCACGGTAGGAAATTCGGTTGCTAAGCCGAGCTTGAAACAATACATTGAAACGGTGTGAAATAAATATAAAAGTAGCTTTGCTACAATTTTCTATTAAGTAGAGAATGCTAAATTTCTTATAAGAGATTTTTTCATGAAAAACGAAAAAACGGCAATATCTCCAAACTGTGTATTAAAGAGTCTATATATTCTGACTGACTTACATAGAGGCCATCGGGACGAGTATTTTGGAAAAAAATTGAAATCGGTGCAGTAGTTTTTGAGATATTGAGGAAAAACGAAATTTAAACATGTTGTTATATCTCAGGAACTACTGGACCGATCGGGCTGAAATGGCGCACCAAAGTTGGTAGCTCAATAGTGCACTACAAAAACCAGGTGTCTGACAACTATCTGAATTTAAGATGTTCGATGGTAAAAAACGTCTGAATCTTCAAGTGTCTGAAAATCTGACTAATGTCTGAAAATTTCAACCAGCGTTTCTGTCTGAAAATGATGGTAAACATTTTTTGTGCCTGAAAAATTTCAATTCTACATCATTTCCAATCAAAATCAGAGAAGAATGTGAAAATCGAAGGATTGCAATGCTTCGATTTGGAAGCAAAAAATCAAAAATTCTCTCCAAACATTGTAGTCAATTTTCATCACGATCTGTTCAATTCTGAACAAAGAGGCCAGAAAGCAGTTGTCCATTGGTACGACGTTTTTTCAAGGTCAACAATTAGTTTTTATAGTTTTTCAAGAATGCACGGAGAGAAATATTCAATAAAAATTAGCAGAAAAAAAACATAAAAATTACGTTTTGAAACGTAATCCGCGAGCGAAGTAAAATTCAATAAAAAGTGTGAGTCGAAACTAAAATTGTATGAATCGCCACGTAAATTCTACGATTTGTTCCGTAAAAGATAAATACCTACCTGATGACCCACCGCCACGCACGAAAAAATTTAATAGAAAAACCTATCGACTTCGTTAGAATTCTATTGAATTTCTATTAAACTTTCTATTAGTCTTTGGCTGATTCTGTTGACATGTTCAATAGAAAACATTCAATAGAAAAATTTAACAGAATTCGATTTTTATATATAACTTATTCTTTTCATATATTTTCTATAGAATTTGCTCGACTCAAATTTTCCAAGTTTTTTTCATTCTACTTTTCTTTTTTTCTCATCAAGAAAATCAAAGAAAAAAACTTGGAAAATTTGAGCCGAGGAAATTCTATAGAAAATATCTCAATAGAATAAGTTATACATATAGAAAAATTGAAGTCTATTGACTTTTTCTACTAAATATTTTCTATTGAACATTTCAATAGAATCGGCCAAAAAATAATAGAACAGTTCAATGGAAATTCAGTAGAATTTTCTAACGAATTCGATAGGTTTTTCTATTAAATTTTTTCGTCCGTGGCTGTGGGGGCAACAAGTGGTTCCGTAATTTTTCCCCAACGATTGAGAAAGTTTACGGAACGGAACGTACAAATAACTCACCAGCTTCATAAAAATTGCTGAACGTTCTAGAATTTTTGATTTTAGAGGCATAATACGCCGGGAAGTTTCTGTAAGATTTTACTTCTTCGGGAAAAATTACGTGACAATTTCGTACTTTGTTCGGTGATGAACCTGAAAATTCACTGAACGTTTCAAATTTCTTCTCTTCCGTTCCTATAAAATCGCCGGAAACCAACTCCCCATTGCGGATTACGTGAATTGTTCCGTAATTTTTACTGAATATTTCTCTCCGTGTGCCCGCTAGAATTGATTATCTCTCGTGGCTTATTCAATATTTTCTTGAGTAGACATTAGAATTGGAATTGATTTCATTTTTGATATAGATGAAATTGATTTCATTATTCGCAGAATTTTTTATACTCATCAGTGGATAGAAGTATGAGAAGATGATGGGCGATAAAGATCACCTAAAAGTTCTGCGAAACGTTTCATCAGTTGATTCCGATTATGAATGACAGATCCTCCGGCTTCAAATTGATCATCTTGCAGTGTCACCGTCGCTAATCGTCCACCTATCTTATTGGCTTCGAATAAGTCAATGTCGACAACATTCTCAAATAACTCGCTGATGAAATGAGCGGCTGAAGCACCGCCAATTCCTCCTCCGATTACAGCTACGAAAGGAACAGTCATAGAAAAAATGATTATTTTCATCGACAGTGCAATTTCTCAATTATGTTTCCGAGTTTATAACTATCGGTTCAGGATATCTTACCAACTTTAGGTTTGCATTCTTCTGATGATCCATTGCAAAATGCAATTATATTCACAAATATGAAAACTATTTTCTGACCTCCTTTCATTGTGATAGGAAACTTTCAAAGTGGAATGATCATCTCTTACTTTAGAGGCTAGAGATCTTTGTGCAATTTGCCCTTGTGGAGATATATTGACTAATTCGGTTTATCGCGAAAGTTCCATTCGTTGTGTTTTAGTGAGAGTTCAAAAGATGGCAACACCATAGTCTTCTCGTTCTGAATTCGACCAAATGATCGAGCTATTCATGCCCGATAATTCATTCGTGCAAAATCGATAGCGTTCAACTTCCTCACAACCAGGGTTGGGCATGGTTCGCAGATGGTCGTTCTCGACGTGACATAGTCAAATACCGATAATTTACCTCTGGAGCATCATAAATGTCAAAAAGTGTCATAAACCTACTCACCAAAAGGTTCAACTGAAATATCACGACGTTCAAATGTTACCCGGAACGGTGTCCCGGGTTCAAATCCCGGTCTGGACTATCCAATTGTTTTTTCAGTAAAAATTTTCTGGTTATTCATATTGAGAATAATCCCGGTTCCCCTCCTACCTCATCCAAATCCCATCCAATCATTTCCTATGACGTCACAACGATGTGGAACGCTATATGAATTCCCTTCGTTAATGTAAAAATGTAGAGCCAAGCAGGCCGGATGATCACAAGGATGATACGGTCACAAGGGTTATGACCCGCGAAGGCCAAACGTCGCAAGAAGCATATCTCGCAAGAATTATGCTTCCCGTGAGTCAGAAGTCGCAAGGGTTAAATCACACAGACAAGGTAATCTGAAGGGTGGAACTACCAAAAGGGTCGACCGAGGGACGCAGGCAGCGCAATGACAAGAAGGGTCCAACAATCATGAATACCAAAAAAAAGAAGCACGAAGGATCATCATAAGGGTCAAATAAGAGAAGAAGTTCCGATAATCCTTCGTGATTGTCCTGTTTGCCTGCCTCTCATTCTTGATCCTCGTGATTTTTAGACTTGCCTCTTCTTCAAGCACCCGCAGTCAGCGTTGGGCATCTGTCGATGACCGCAGTTTTTTACATGACATCATAAAAAATGCGTAATTTACGTAATAAATGTAATAAATGTAAAAAACCAGCCGACGTTACTTTTCATCGTAAATCGTGAAGCTTCGCGAAGATTATACCTCACAAGGGTGATAAATCACGAGGGTCATACCGTGTAAGGGATGAATTTTACAAGGGTCAATCTCATTATTTATTGATCTCTATTGAATTCGTGGCGTCATCACCTTGTGTCTTGACATTAACTTGTCTGATTCAACATTCTTAAATGACAAAACTAATTCAATTGTGTTTGGTGGCTTTGTTGAACTCTTCAGTACAAAATGATTCTTTTCAGGTCCAACTGGGTTTTTCCCGGGCTACAGATAATAAAGCGGAAAATTCAATAAAGTTCAGTTGATAATGAGATTGACTTTCTCACAACGGAGATGACTTGTGACATTGGTCTTTTACAACGTTTGACGCTCGTGAAATTTACTCTTTACGAGGTATGAGGTCATGTTTTTGTGTTTCTTAAAATGCCGCGATTCGTGGATTTTAATCATACGAGTCAGGAAATGGTTTTATCGCCGTGTGGCATACGATATTTTATGTCTCTGGGCCCGAAAACCGCAATTCAATCGAGGAAATCGATGTTAGAATCGCGGTTTTACAATCCTAGGGACATAAAAAATGGAAATAACTCGTCGAGGTAATTTACGTAAATTACGTCGGTAAAAAACGGTGTAATTTACCAACGTAATTTCCACACTCAACCCTGCCGCCAGTATCCGATACGATTTAAATTTTGATCCGGAACTGCCACATTATCGTATTATTAACCCTGCCCCGATTTTGAGGCAACATGAATCTGGACTTTCGCTTCGTGAAAAAAATTAACAAAAATTGTAAATTCAATGGGATTAAGGAAAATGAAATATCACCACTTCAGTGCGTTGAATCCATCAATGAACACAGCTGTTCTACGTAGTCATAAACGCTCACGTAAATTTCAGCGCAGTGACTTACGAACGTGTGATTGACCCAAGAAGCTCAATCAAACTGACATGCCACTTCAGCACCCAAGACGAAACAGACTAAAATATTGTAGAAAATAGTATATTTCGTAACGAGTGCAAAAAAAAACATTTTTTCACGAGTTACGAACAATATTTTTCATCACAATGTGGCGGAAATTGGACTTTTAGGCACGCGGAGCGTGCCGAAAAGTTCACTTTTCGTCACAGCGTGATGAAAATCAAATTATTGTCCAAAGACAATGCAGTTACACCCAGGTAGGAGATGAGAAAAGGCCAATCGGCCCTTTAAGGGAAAAGACCAATTAGCCCCTTAAGGATAGGCCGAGGATGGTCCGGTCCTGGCCAACATTGGGCCACCTTCAGCCAATTTTGGCCCATTCCTCATCTCCTACTAGGGTCGCTGCATTCGCATATTTGGGAATTTCAGAGACGCACGTGACGCGTTTGCCAGGTAAATTGAGCTGCATCAACATCATTTCAATGTCCAGTGGGCACCGAATAAGTCGGAGCTATTCAAAGAATTAATTACTAAATGAAATTAATTTTTGAAATAACTCCAAAGATGACAAATACTATGAAACGACAGTGAAAACGCCGAACGTGACTAAATCAGGTATTCATGATTAAAACAGAACAAACGAAACATAAAATTTAGTATTCCTCTTCGCGGAAGTAATTCCCTTGGTCAAAATACCATTAAGATTCAAGTGAGTATTCGAGTTTTATGAAAAATCGAAAACCTGTAAAAATATTGCAATGGGATGCTTGAATATTTCATTTGATTTGAGCCATAATTATCCGCAAGTGACACCCCAAGTCGAGGATTTGGTTCTGATTGGACGTACACAGGTCTTTCAAGATCTCTCCAGACCTAGATGGAACTGGTGAGTCCTAATCAGTTCTGCGACGTACTTTTCCAGAGACCTTTCGAATCCTCAGTTCTTTTCGGTCCTGAGAAGTCCTCCTCGATGCTTCCGAGAACGCGTGATTTTACGAGCGGGCGAAGGGGAAGGCATGTATGCGGAGGGTTGAAATTTGTAGCCAACGAGGAGACGGGGTTGCAGGATATATTTTAGCCACCCTCATCTCCCCGTTTGCCGGCGGTTTTTAATTAAATGAAAAATAGTGAACGTTGATTCTGTATTTATTGACCTCCTGATGCCATGGAAACCGTCGGAGGTGACAGAAAAGGGGAAAAAAAATTTTTCATTTTCACGTGGGTCAAGGGTGAAAGTCGATTTTCGCCAAAATTGAATTTTTTTTTCTTTCGACTTTTGTTGCGTCTTTGGGGGTTTCATTGGCATCAGAATTGTTAGAAAATACAGTATCAACTTTCACTTGGCGTTTGGCCTCCGGTGAAAAATTTTTTTTTTCATTTTTCACTTTTTCCACATACTTTTGATAGTTCTGAATAGCCCGTCGCTTAAATAGTTGGAATCAACGTTCACCCGGCTAAAAAATTCGATTTTGGCGAAAATCCACTTGCCCCGGAAAACCCGAAAATCTGACCCTTTGGCTGGGGCCAAAAAAAACGGTTTCTCAGTTTTCACTTTTTCCACATACTTTTGACAGTTCTGACTAGCCCGGCGCTTAAATAGTTGGAATCAACGTTCACCCGGCTAAAAAATTCGATTTTGGCGAAAAATCCAAGATCTGACACTTTGACCCTTGTGACCCTTGGACCGACTTTCCCCCCGGAAAAATCCAAGATCCGACACTTTGGCCTCCGGTGAAAAATTTTTTTTTTCATTTTTCACTTTTTCCACATACTTTTGATAGTTCTGAATAGCCCGTCGCTTAAATAGTTGGAATCAACGTTCACCCGGCTAAAAAATTCGATTTTGGCGAAAATCCACTTGCCCCGGAAAACCCGAAAATCTGACCCTTTGGCTGGGGCAAAAAAAAACGGTTTCTCAGTTTTCACTTTTTCCACATACTTTTGACAGTTCTGACTAGCCCGGCGCTTAAATAGTTGGAATCAACGTTCACCCGGCTAAAAAATTTGATTTTGGCGAAAAATCCAACAAGACAATAATTGCAAAAAACAATAATTGCATTTTTTATTTCAATAACGCATGAGTAAACAGGGCTATGAATGCAGATTTAATATAGGCTCATAGAATTACGGTGACCGGCAAGGATTTGGAAAGTCTGAATACAAGTCCTGCTTACACCTAACAAGTGCTGAAATGGGACATAACCAGAGGTAGAAAGGTCTCAGAAGCACTTGGGAAGAGGCTTCCCAAGACCTATCCAGTTCTGAACGGAAAGACCTAAGTCGAACTTGTTAGGTCCAATTATTCGACTCGGGACGCTCTCGTAATATTCGCCACAGAAATTTCCTTCCATTTCAGTTTGTGTTCAACATCAGAACTTATTCGTAGCACCAATCGTGGAATCTGTCAGCAATAACATCAGTACTATCTTTGACCTCAAAGCAGTGATTAGTAATGTTCATCACGAAGACGTTTCTCGTCATCTTCTTCATCACATTTCTCTCGAATGAGTTTCAAATTACTAAATGAAATTAATTTTTGAAATAATTCCAAAGATGATAAATACTATGAAACGACAGTGGAAACTCCGAACGTGACACTTGCGCTTCAATTTCCTTTCGATCATCTACAGGTATTTATGATTGAAACAGAACAAATGAAACATAAAATTTAGTATTCCTTTTCTCGGAAGTAATTCCCTTGGTCGAAATACCATTGGGATTCAAGTGAGTATTCGAGTTTTATGAAAAATCGAAAACCTGTAAAAATATTGCAACGGGATGCTTGAATATTTCATTTGATTTGAGCCATAATTCTCCGCAAGTGACACGCTCTCGTAATATTCGCCACAGAAATTTCCATCCATTTCAGTTTATGTTCAAGATCGGAACATGTTCGCAGTAGCAATCGTGGAATCTGTCACCAATAACATCAGTACCATCATTGACCTCAAAGCAGTGATTAGTCATGTTCATCACGAAGACGTTTCTCGTCATCTTCTTCATCACAATTCTCTCGAATGAGTTTCAAAGTCGACCGGAAATTGACTGGTTTGAAAGTGCATACCCGCACCTATCTGATTCAGATAGCCCCCATACAGCTTTGATTATCCATTACAAGGGTGCACATGACGCTGACGCAATCAGAGACGAATTATTTGAAAAAATTATACAAACTATGCCAAGTGCATCCATTGAAATGAACGATGAAGGTATTGCGCTGAAGGAATTTGATTTTGGTAACGTATCAAAATTATCCACTTCTCTGCTCTTCATCTTCCATACTGAATATTCTGGGGACAATGTTCAAATATCCCGAGTCATGCATTCGCTAAACAAATTGGCTGACTTTTCCGTGAACTGCTATCTTCTTATCATATTGAGAACATCATCAAATTTGAACAGAAGACTGGAAGACATTCTCCACAAGGCTTGGAAGAAGACTATAATGAACATTGCGATCGTCGAGATTCGTGGGATAAATTGCAATAGGTTGACCAAATTATCCACCGACAATCAACAGTTTCATGATTGTGAAGGCAAAAAGTACAGTGCTTTCAGTAGAATTTATGACGACAGTCCAAAGCGAGTGATAATTCACCAGTTCAATCCTTTTATTAACACATTCTATCACAAGAAGTTTTCGACCAGAAGGAAACTATTTCCAAATTTTGCAAACAATATGCATGGACATGACCTGAAAGTACGTATTATTAATCAACCACCATTTGCTGCCGTCACATGGAACGAAAATAATGAAATGAAGAAAATGTCAGGGCCGAATATTGTTCTGATGCAGACTATTACTGCGAAGTTGAACGCCACTCCTGTCATTCTACCAAACCCTAAAAGTATGGAATTCTGGCTGAGCAACTTCACGGTTGAAGACTTGATTAATGAGAGTCTTAATTCGGATCTCACTGCGCATTTATGCGTTCGTTTTACTGGGCATATACTAGAGGAATCTGTGAGATCGCGGCACATCATAACTCATGAGCTGGGTGTACTGATGCCGAAAGAACGTGGGATCAACAAAATCACTCTCTATTACGCTATCGAAAGTACTGCTCTTATATTGGTCATCATGCTCACAATTTGGTTCGCGGCAATACTCCTGAAGTTTGATAAGAAATTTTTCGAGTTATCCCGCATTTTTCGCTTGATACTCTCAATTGGAGTGGATTACCAGCCGACAAGAAGCTCTCAAAGAGTCTTATTTCTCGTTGTCATCATGATAGGATTTATGTACTCGAATAATATTTACGCTTCATTAACGAATCTTGGTGTTGATCCTCTGGTAGAAAAGGAGTATAAAACATTTGAAGATATTGATAATTCAGGTTTGATACCAATTATCCGGGCTCCAGTATTCAGAAAGACGTTCAACGATGCTGTTGGGGCCAAACTGAATTTGAAAAAGAAAAGTATACAAGTGATAGATTCTTCAAACTGTCTACGAATGGCAATGGTGCATCGTAATGTTTGCTGTGTGCTGTTCAGGGCCGAGGCCGAGTTGTATGAGCGGTTGAGTCACAGGAAAGATAGTCAATACCAATTAAAATTATCAGAACCAATTTTTTGGGCTAGCGATGCAGCTTTCCGCTTCCGCCAGGGTTTGCCCGGCAAGAAGACTATCAATGAAGTTATCGACAGATGTAATGAAGCCGGTCTCATCAATAAATGGTATTGGAACATGGAAGGATCAGCGGATCCCAATAATAACACAAACGATGATTTACATGCGCAGGATAATGCAGTGCAAACTCAACTACTCATCCAACTGATTGTGGTCATTGCATTCGGACATTTACTCGCTACTCTTGTATTCATTGGGGAACTACTTGCTCATCGCTTCAAGAATTCTTCCAAGGGGAAGCGTAAGGTGCGGTTTTGTGTTTATTGAAGAAAAAAAATAAAATAAAATGATAATTTCGACTGGTAACCACTGGTTGGCTGAGGACTGCAGTGAACGGAAAATCAGCTTTCTCAGCACGTTATATCGCACGAACGTTGCAAACGATCAATTTTGTTCTTTTCGTTACTATCTTGAGACGTATTGGCCAAGAGGAATCTGACGTTTTTGTATGTGGGAGCTTTGACAATTCACTAAAATTCAAATATTGTATTGTGCAGAAAAACTTTTAGGGGAATAAAGTGTTGATGTATTATCTTATGTAGCTTTATTGAAATTAATGACCCATCTAAATAGAGAGAAATTTTTTAGGAAAATTCCACTAGTACGTGAGCTGATGTCCACACGGAGAGAACAATTCCATAAAAATTACCAGAAAAAAACCGTTGAACTTACGTTTCGAAATGTAATCCGCGAGCGAAGTAAAATTCAATAAAAAGTGTGAGTCGAAACTGAAATTGTACGAATTGCTACGTAAATTCTACGATTTGTTCCATACAAATTAACCACCCGTCTGATGACTCACCGCTGTGGGGACACGTCGTTCGGTAATTTTTCCCCAACGATTGAGAAAGTTTACGGAACGAAACGTAGAAATAACGTGCAAAAATTTTTGATTTTGGAGTGATAATAAGTCGGGAAATGTCTGTAAGATGTTACCTCTTCGGGACTAATTACGTGACAATTTTGTACTTTGTTCGGTGATGAACCTGAAAATTCACTGAAAGTTTCAGATTTCTTATCTTCCATTTCTGTAAAAATTTCCGGAAAATGATTCCCCATTGCGGATTACGTGAATTGTTCCGTAATTTTTACTGAATATTTCTCTCCGTGTGAGTGACTGGTCATGTCATGAATCTTTGTCGAGTAGTTTTTATACAATAACAAAAGTATTCCAACACCCTCCAAAGTATTATTGAGAACTCTAGCACTGAATGACGCGCTCTACCGGCCGTAGTGCGTGCTAGTGCGAGCAGGTAACTTGGAGCCACTGAATGGGTTCATGTATACAAAAGAGTTGTTTTTTGCCGGCTATTATAAAATTTTTCCTGATTTATATTATTTGTGCATGTTAACACAGTTCTAAAGTCATCCTAAGAGCAGAGAGAATACTATTTTTCAATAAAAAAATGGAGTTCGACATCAGAGTAACCAAAAACAATGAATTTTGCAGTGTACCTGGCTGCAAGAGTTCAGTCTATCGTAGTCCTACAATGCGATTCGTCCAATTTCCTTTTAAAAAACAACAGTTTCGTAAAATTGAAAACGAAATTCGGTGAAGAGGAAACAGTTGATCGTCTAATTGCTTGGAAAAAAATCTTGAGAATCGGAAAGCCAGTGACGAAATCAATGAACGTGTGTTCGTTACATTTTACCAAATACGACTTCTTCACTCAATGGAAGTTCAGCTGAGAATCTAATGAAATTATTCAATTTTCTATTACCAGTTGATTTTTCTGCGATCACTCGTGAAATAATTGGACTTTATACATTTCAATTGTAGGTGAAAATCATAAAGCTGTTCACTTAAAACTCATCAATGTCTCGTCTTGTAATTTGTCAAAGAGACAACAAATCGACACAATTCTTGCATAGACACTCTCATGATCAAACTACCTGTAGAATCCCAACGAAAACCTTACCATTTTTAATTACTCCAATTGATTTACTCCAATTGTGTGCAAGGGAGCTTATACGAACGTACGGACGATTACCTGCTCACGCTAGTTCGAATTTCGGCCGCAAGGAGGCCAAGGCATTGGCCACGCCCCCCTCATAATTCCCGATATCCTAAAGTCTCTCGCAGCATCACTAATTATATAACTTAGTAACATAATAGCATATTATGTCATCAGGCGATAAAAGTATTATCTGATTATAATCGCCTTCGGCTCGGATTATAAACCCACATTCGCCAGCTAATGCTTTTATCGCCGTGTGACGTACGATATTTTATGTTGTTGGGCCCGAAAACCGCGACCTAACCGAGCAAAGCGACGTTAGAATCGCGGTTTATCGGGCCTAATGACATAAATAGGTTTTTCTCAAGTCGTCTATTGCTCGCAGTTATAGAAGAACCCTAAGGCAGCAGAGGGAAACATCGATCCGCACAACGTTTCGGTCCAATTTTTTGTCTGTTATTTACAGTTATAGACAGTAAATACACTATTGAAAGCCAATTGATTATCGAAATTTTTATGGAAGGTCGAAGGCGTATGAATGCACAGTCATTCTCGAATATTGTATCAGTCATAACATTTGAATAACATTTTCCGACGCTCAAATTAGAGGGTATTTGCTTCGCATGACAGCTGTCGTTTTTAGTAAATAAAAATACTTTACGAGTCATAATAGGACAGTCGAGACTGTTCATCAGAGAGTCATTTACTGGGAAGAAGGCTCTTCGACAGATAGTTTTCATAAAATTTCTGACTCATTAAAACAATTGTGATTAAACAAATAATTGTGTTCGCCATAATAATGTTCACCATAAAGTATCTTGTGATTTTCTTCATCATAATTCTACCTGATGAACTCCAAAGTCGACCACAAGTGGACTGGTTTGAGAGTATAAATACACTATTTACTGCCCATAAAATACATACAGCTTTATTCATACATTCCAATAACACAGATGATTCTGATATAAAAGACGGATTGTTTGCAAAAATCATGGAGTCTATTCCCAGTGTATCATTCGAAATGGACCACGAAGGTATTGTGCCAAAAGACTTGGATATTGGTGTTTTATCAAAGCTATCAACTTCTTTGCTCTTCATACATTATGCTAAATATTCTGGAAACCCTGTTCAAATATACCGCGTAATGCATTCGATCAACAAGTTGGCAGACTTTTCTGTAAACTGCTATCTTCTTATCGTGTTGGAAACATCATCAAATTCCAGTGAAGAAATCGAAGATATCCTGCAACACGCTTGGAATAAAACTATATTGAACATGGCGATCGTAGAAATTCGTCTAGCAGCGAATTTCAATACATCTACCACAGTAATTGCTGAGATCTCAAAATTTTCTGATGAAGCTAACCGCGGACTTCACAAGAATATTGCAAGTCGAGTGATAATCCATCAGTTCAATCCATTCATCAAGAAATTTTACCACCTGGAATTTTCTTCCGGGAAGGAGTTATTCCCCAATTATGCGAAGAATATGCACGGGCATGGGCTGAAAGTGGTTATTGTCGATCAACCGCCATTTGCTTCCGTCACGTGGAAAGAAGATGGCGAAGTGGGGAAAATGTCGGGGCCGAATATTCTTCTGATGCAGACTATTACTGAAAAATTGAATGCCACTCCTGTCATTCTACCAAAACCTAAGAATATGAGGTTCTGGCTGAGCAACTTCACGGTTGAAGACTTAATTAATGAGAGTCTCAATTGGGATCTCACTGCGCATTTATGCGTTCGTTTTACTGAGCATATACTGGAGGAATCTGTGAGATCGCAGAACATTATAACTCATGAGCTGGGTGTACTGATGCCGAGGGGCTATGCGATTAACAATAAAATCATAAATAACATTCTTGAGAGCAGTGCGCTTACACTGGTGATGATGCTAGCCATTTGGCTCGCAGCGATCCTTCTGAAGTTCGATCGGAAATTTTGGAAGCTGAGCACTATTTTTCGCTGGATATTCTCAATTTCAGTACATCATCAGCCTTCCAGAAACTTCGAACGAATTTTCTTTTTCGTTGTCGTCATGCTGGGGTTCATATATGCGAATAATATTTATGCCTCATTGACCAATCTCGGTGTTGATCCTCTCGTAGAAAATGATTATGAAACACTGGAAGCCATTGATGATACAGGGTTGACTCCAATGATACGGAATCCACTATTCCGAAGAACATTTAAGAATGCGACTGGTGTTGAACTGAATTTGAAAAGAAGAAGTATCAGAGTAATGGAGATTACAGACTGTACTCAAATAGCAATATTGCATCGTAACGTTTGCTGTGTTCTATTTAAGAGCGAGGCTGAGTATCACAAACAGTGGAGTCGCACCAAAAACGGTGAAAACCAATTGAAATTTGCGGCACCAATTTTTTGGTCTCATCACGCAGCTTTCCTCTTTCGCCAGAGTTTGCCTGGAAGAAAGAATATAAATAAAGTTATTAAGCGATGTTCGGAAGCTGGCCTTCTCAGTAAATGGTACACACATATGACGAGAGGTTTCGGCGGCATCGCGGAAGATGTTGCGCACGTGACGGATGACTTGCATACTCTACGGGGACAACTTATTGTAGTCGCTGCACTTGGCCATTCGCTTGCTGCACTTGTATTGATTGGAGAACTGCTCACTCATCGTTTCAGAAATTCTTTCAAGAAGAAGTGCAGAAGAACTAAGAAATCACATTAGCTTGTAGCAAATTACAGCCTTAGGGGTGTCAATCGTGTTTCACAAAAAAAAGTGGGAAATTGCTTTCGTCACAACATAGTTAATATATTATTTTTATTACTCATATTTCTTTCCTACTACCATTACGGCTTTATAGGCTGCCTATTCGTCTGCCTTGCCTCTCTCACTTCTCTCTTCTGATTTTTATCTGCGTTACCATGGGCCGTCTTACTCTTAACTGTACCCCATTTGGGCTAGCATTGCACGGGAAACCATGGGAAAACCCCGGTCGAACAGCCGGCCGATTCTGCAGAGCCCTAATGTGCACACTGACTAGAGGACCACATTAGGCCACTACACCGTGTCTACCTTCCGAAATTTTTGGGCGAGGGTGTTCCTAAGTGGTCACCCATCCAAGTACTAACCGCGCTAGACGCAACGCGAGGGGCTGGTCACTCCTCAATCGAGTGACTCAGTGATTTCCCGAATCAGATGATTTCCTGTGATTTCCTATTGATTTCTGTGATTTCTCGAATGATTTTTGTGATTTTTCAATCAGCATTACAAATCATATTTTTTGTGATTTTCATGATTTCTAGTAAATTCTAATGATTTCTTGATTTCAAGAAATCATTAGAATCCAGTGATTTCGGGACCAAAGTGGGGCATCTGTCAATAATGGCAGTTTTCTACGTGACGTTACAATACGTAAAGATGTCAAAAACTTCATAGTGTCACATGTCGTGATTGGATGAATTCGAACACACCAATACCGTAACAAAAATTGTAGAGTTGAAACTGCAAAATCAATTTCGATTATACACTGCAAAATCAATTGCAAAATCATACAAAATCAAAAACAAAATCCAGCGGAAAAAACTTAGAAAATTTTGTGCCCAATAATTCTAAGAGAAAAATTCAAACAGAAATTCGAAATCTATTGACTTTATCTTATTGAATATCCAATAGAATCAGCGCAAAAAACAAATAGAATAGAAAACCCCCATAGAATTCCTATAGAATTCCGAATTTTCTAGCGAATTCGCAAGGTTTTCCATTGAATTTTTGCATGCGTGATGTGTTTGAGGAGCCTTGTTTGCCTCGACCTCGTTCACCTTTCAAGTTATCCATTCATTAACTATTAACGAATATTTATTTGGTCATATTCAACTCTACGATTCCTTAATAGTTAACGAATTTCGTTTGGCATAACTGAATAATTCTATCAGTGCACACTAAACCGTTTAGAAAAGTGCACTTTTGAAGCTGATATCACAACAACAAAATTATGGCATTATGATACCGAGGAATGCGATGAACTTGGCAAGTTATATAAGGCACGCTACCGGGCCAGTCACAAACTCGAGACTAATTTTCCTGAATCTGCCCCGTCTTCTATCAACTTACCATGTTTCACCTTGGCTAAATAAATTTCTTCAATTGCAAAAATAACTTTCAATTTTGAATTAATAAATTAATTTCAACACTGTCCACTTATTTTTTTTCCTTTATTCCTTACCAAATATCGGTACAATTTTAATTTAAAAAACGTTCCACTTGAATAACCCACACAACCTTCTTCTCTGCGAAAAAATGGGTAAATAGTAGAAAAAAGATCGCTCAACGATAATAAACAGAGGAGAAATAAACATTCAATTAAATACTACACGTGGAGGAGAGGTGAATGATACTTTCAAGTTCATAAAAATAACTTAAGCTAAATGTCACAAATGATACATCAGTTCTGCGCTCTACGCGTGTTAGAATGTGATTTTATATCTAAAATGAAGAAACAAATGATGATTCACCAATGCAAAAAAATGGGCATTCCATTCAATGTTCGTTGGCATTTTTCAAGGTTTCTGATATTTTTAGACCCTTTTGAACGCCTCTAGTCTATTCAATTCGACGATGAAGTTTCGCAATTGTACAAAACGTTCAGCAGGAACCTACGTAAGAATGTTTTAATCTGATAGTTTTCAAAAATGAAATAATTTAACGACGTCAACGTGTTCTGAAAGAAAAGGTATAACTTGGGTAATAGTTCAAGAAGGACCAACTCAGTCCTATTCACAATAGAAAACGATCTCAACTGAAATTTAACCCTAGTTTGGGCACCATACGCTACCCTGCGACTTAGGCCACCTTCACGGGAACTCTGATCCACCGCTGAGTTATTTTGGCTCCAGTACTACCGAACAGACCTTCTCATTCCGAGAGTCACTCAATTTTCAGACACTTTTCTCATGTTAATTCCCAGAGGAACTTCGGACACTTTTACTGAATTTACATATCAATCATTATTTTTCGTGTCACGGGACCTGAAAAACCCTATTTTCGTGACGCTGCGCGCCACGAAATTGGCGTTTTTCACGTCCCTCGACACGAAAATTAATATACACACCTCGCCATGGAAAACACATCACCCTCCCCCACGTGCTTGCCATCCTCGCCTTCGGCTCGGAAGGCAATCTTGCGCGTGGGGTACGGTGATCTGTTTTCCAAGGCTCGAGCATGTAATGTACTATTTGAGGGCTGAAATGTATATCAACTCAAGGGGGGGGGGGCAGATGGAATTTGAAAGTCTTCGATTAATGAAAATAACTGTCAAGGGACTTTTGATATATCATGGGGTACCTAAAATATACGAAAAATTTCAGGCGAAAAATTTCAGGATTTTCGTGCTTTTGGCTTTGAAATGCTCCTTGCACCACAATTTTCATCCAATTCAAACTTTTTTTTTTCAAAAAGCTCATCAGATTCCATAGAATAAAACTAGTTTTTTTCGATTATCTCAATTAGATCACAGAAAAATTCAATTTTTTCGGTTTACTTATTTTTTCCTTTTTTCAAACCGTATGAAAATGATTATTCTCAGTAGTTGAACATCAAAATAGTATATACAAGCTGATTTCAGGAGAAAAATTATACATATACGCTTTTGAAGTTAACAAAAATCTTTAGTTGACGAAACCGAAAAAATTTAATTTTTCTATGATCTAATTGAGATAATCGAAAAAAATTCCTAGTTTTATTGCATGGAAGGTAAACGAAAACAAGATTTTGAAAGAAAACAAGTTCAAATCGGATGAAAGTTGTGGTGCGAGGAGCATTTCACAGAAAAAAACAGAAAAAACGACATTTTCGTCTGACGTTTGGGGTAAAATGGGTTGGGTATGAAATTTTTCTTTTTTTTAGGTACCCATGATATCTCAAAGTCACTTCATAGTTATTTTTATCAACCAAAGACTTTCAAATTTCACCTGGGTCCCCCTTTAAATCTCAACATTCATCAAAACTTTTCACTACTAAACTAAATACTGCAGCTTGGACGTACCAGCCAGCTATCTGCATTCAACTTTTTAACTACCTCCCTATTCATTTTGTTCTTACTTAGAACTTGACCGTCAATGGGCTCTCAAACTTGTAAGTCCAGAATGGGCGAAATATTTCACGATGACTTGTACATGAATACATGTCTCAATAAATTCATTAAAACTGTAGGAATTTCTGTAATATATTACAAAGCATTATCACTTGAACGATATTTCATGAGAGTTCAATGAGTTCCTGAGTTAAATGAGTTAAATGAAATTATTCCTTTTCAAATTTCAACTGAGATACTGCTTCCTTGGCGGAGGAATTAAATTAACCTTTTTTAAGCCACAATACTGAGTTAGATCTATTTGAATTGAAATTTTAAGATAGATATTCTTGAATCATCCCTCTGAGTTACGCCTTTTCTTCTAGGACACGTGCTTCATGATTTCAAATTGCCTTAAAACTAAAAAAAAATATCAAAAAATCCTAGAAGAGTCGGATTAATGAATAGGAAAAAGATTCAACATTTCTTTGACCCGAAAAAAAAAGACGGAAAACCTTTAAATCCCAGTGATGGTTCAAAATTATCCACTCAATTTATCCAGTGTTGAATTACACAGCATTTCGATGGGATTTATCTCCAACAATGTTACATAAAAAAATATTTATGTTAAAGCCCGGCTCCATTATCTGCCGAACGTTATTTAAATTGATTTTTTTGTTTGATTTTTATCTCGAAATTGGAACTAGATGTCCCATCACTCACGGACACCCAAAAATTCTGAATTTAGATTTAAAAAAAAAAGGAAAAAAATCTGAACATTTTGAAAGAGCATTTTTCACTAATATTGAGGAATTATTTCAAGAGGAAATAGAAATAATATATAATTACCATGGGGGAGTACAGAGGAAATAAAAAAATTTCGGGGATTTCTGAGTGACGGGGCTCCGAGTTGAAATTTCGAGATAAAAATCGAAGAAAAAACGCAATCTAGATAACGTTCGGTAAATAATGGAGCCAGGCCTTAAGTCGGCAGAAATTTAAAGAAGCCTGAGGAAATTGAGTGCATATTGATCTTCATCATAATCGTAATCATCGTAAGGATTGAACATATTGAACTCATCGTCATCATAATCGTAATCGTAATCGTCGTCATCATCAAAATAATCATCAACGTCGAAGTCTGAATCACTGCCATCATCAAAGCCTTCGTCCTTCCCTTCGACACTCAAAAGAGGAGAGTAGTCCTCCTCACCCTCATCCCAATCGTCTTTAATAGAATTGCTGACCACGAGATGAAGCTCCAGATTGTTGGTCCTTTTTTTAGTGATTTTAGTGGCTTCATAGAGAACCCTCTCACCCACTCCAGTGTCTGCCACATTCAGGTACTCTAGTTTGGATGAATACTTTATCAATGATATGATCCCATCGTCGAACACAGAGTCACAACTCTCGCACTCCAATTTTTTAAGATTGTGCATTCCAGCGAGTGGTGCGTCTGTGATTTTGAATACGTCGTTGAGGATGAGTTCTTCGAGATGAGATAATTGTAGTAAATGTTTGATCCCAGTGTCTTCGACGTTGATGCATTTGCTGAGATTCAAATACTTCATGTTCTCGCAGTTTTCAGCAATTTGACGTAAGAAGTTGTTGTCCACTTCGATGACTTTGGTGAGGTTGAGATGCTCCAGCTTGGTGAGAACGTTCAGGTGTGGGGGTTCTCCTCTGATCGAACAGTTGGCGATGGAGAGGAAGGTGAGTTCAGGCTTTTGCCTTATGACTCTCATCATGTTTGGCTTCAGGCAGAAACCATTGAGGGTCAGGGCTGTAAGTTTGGTGAGACTCTGGAATGCCTGTGAAAAAAATTCAATGCATTAATTCTAATGTGCAGAACGAAAATAATTCGATTATTTTTTTTTAATCCATTCAGAAAATAGTGGAAAAACACAAGTAGAACTGATTTGGATAATTGCAGAATATCATTAGAAGAATGAAGTTTAAGCTCTAAACAGTAAACTTTAGTGTCATAAGGAAGAATAAATTCAAAAGGTAGAAAAAAAATTATTCATCATTGATCATTTTTCATGTGTAAGAAATTCATCCGTCAAATTCTTTCTGCAATTATTCTCTTAAATAATAGGCTTTCAGGGTTCCGCGTCTTATTTTCCCTGAAACTTTTTCCCCGTCATTTTTTCCCTACGACATTTATCCCCCAGCAAAGTCTCCCAAAAAAGACAGTCCAGCCCTTTTTTCCACCATTAAAACCTCTTCACAGAGAAATTTATACAACAAAAATGAATAAAGAAATAAATAAATACAGAAAAATGACTGAACTGATGAACATTTTTAATGGAATTAGCAAATACAATAACGGTCATACACGAAATTCGTCATGAACAAAGAAGACAACAATCAGTAATAAATAGAACAATTACAGAGTACAATATGGCTCACACGTGTAAGATAACCGATGTAGTCATTTTCACTAAACTCAGAGAAAATACGCTTCACTCGGGCGTCAAAATCACGGTATTTTTTCTTTCTCGGTGGAGCCTCACGTCCTGCTCCCAATTGAAAATCGATAACTCGAGCTATTGTTGTTCAGAAGAGTCTTGTGTCATTACTCATATACAAAAAAAAATATTATCCCCAAAATAAAAGGGAAAAATGTCGGGGAACGAGTGGGAGAGGAAAAAACGTCGTGAGAAAAAAATGTCAGGGAAAAAATGTCGGGGAGAAAATGTAGGGGAAAAAGTGTCGGGGAATATAAGACGCGATACCGCTCTCAGAGTTTTTCAACTCAATGTCTAGTATCAATCTAATCCTTCATCTTCTAATCCGCGCCAAAGACGTTTGTCCTTCTTCTACTACTTTTTGATTTCATAAAGAATTTTTTAAAATCATTATTCGATTTGAAATTATTTTTCTCAAAGAAATCTGATTGTCCATTCGTTTGAAATTCCTCACTTGGCTTTCTTTTCATTTCTTTGTATTTTTTGTAGAAAAATTTCTACTTCCCAGTAAGAACCAAACAAAACTTTTTCTTTGTTTCCTTCATTAGAGAACCTGGATGATCTTGATTCAAGAACCCAAAATTCCTCAATTCCAGAGCCAAGATTTAAAATAGGAGAAAATGTGCCTTAATTTAAGTTACAATTATATCGGATTGAGTAAACACTAGTAACAATTCGCATATGAAAAAATTCAATAGAAAACCTAGCGAATTCGCAAGAAAATTCTGTTGAAAATGTACAGGAATTCGCTGGGGTTTCTATGGGATTTCTATTGAAATTCTACTGAAACATTCTATTTGGTTTTCTGCGCTGATTCTATTGGATATTCAATAAGAAAAAGTCAATAGATTTCGAATTTCTGTTTGAATTTTTCTCGTAAGATTTTTTTACAATAATGCTTGGACTTTTCCAAATTTTTTCCACTCGGATTTTGTAATGCAAAACAAAACATAATCCAGCGGAAAAAACTTGTGCTCAATAATTCTAATAGAAAAAATCTCAAGAGAAAAATTCTAACAGAAATTCAAAATATATTGACTTTTTCCGTTCGAATATTCAATAAAATCAGCGCAAAAAAGTAGAATTTTCCAATAGAAATCCTATAGAAACCCCATTGAATTGCAATAGAATTTTCTAGCGAAATCGCTAGGTTTTCCATTGAATTTTCTCAGGCGTGTTCCAACTTCTTTATTTGATTTTTAGAGAAAGTGTTCTTAAAATAAGAGGAAATTTAATTCATTTCCAATAACTTTGCTCGCACGATTCCACTACGATAGAGCTCTAAAGTTTAGAGATTTTTACTGGAAACGATGAACTTTTTTCAGTGTCCTGGGGGAAAAATCAACTGACTCTATCACACAGTTTGCATAATTTACAATAAATCAATTGATGATTTATGTACCACACAATCGGGTTAAATGTATTCATTCGCATTTAAGACCTAAAACATTAATACTCACATTAGGAGCTACACGAGGTAGAAAAACATAAGTCGGAAGATGAGCATCAGCAAAATGAGCCCAGAGATGTATTTCAGTGAGCGTCTCATGGGGCAGAGCCAGAAAAAAATCTCCAGGAAAATGCTGTCTGATTCCCTTAATCTCCAAGTACTTCAACCTCTGCATTTGTGGAAAAAGTTTGGCACAGTTTTTGTCATAATGAACGAGCTCAATCTCCAGTCTCACTAGATTATGACAGTGTTGACCAACAAGTGGAAGAATTTTGGAATTGCAAGGGTCAGCAAGTTGAAGTCGGTTCAGATAACGGCCGCATTTCCTGATGATTCTTCCGATGCATTGATTTGTTCTGGTGGCTTCTGGTAATTTTAATAGATCACTCTTCTCAGGAAGAGCTGAAGCGAAGTCTAGGGTTTTAATATCGTCCCAGGCCAACTGAGCAACATCTTTCCATCGCTTGCAAACTGTCAATAATTAAAATAATGAATTTTGGTTATTTTATTCATATTCTAAATCATATTCGAACTCACATGCGAAAGGTTCCGAGTTTAAATCCCGGCCGGGTAGAATGGTGCGATCTAACCATTCAAAGTTTTGATCATCATCGCAGTATACCCTAACCGGGTCGAAACGATATAAAATAACGATAAAAAAAAATACTACCGTTACGGTTTCAGAGATGCCTCACTTCTTCAACCTGTTATGCCTCTTCTACTCTTCTCTTCTCCTCGATGCTTTGATAAATATTATCACAAGGAATATTTTGCCGTCAAGAAAATTCAATTCAGTCACGTAGTTTTCGAGATATTGAGGAACAAAGATTTTTGAGAAATTGCGGTATCTTGGAAACTACTTGACCGATTGAGCTGAAATTGCGCCCAGAAGTGGTCGAAAAAGATACCAATTATGTGACAAAATTTCAGATTTTTAGCTTCAATTTTAGTTCTTTTTCTGTGAAGATTTATAAAAATTTTCCGAAAAATTCGCACACACATCCGACCATACAAACACCCATTTTCGAAAAACATCATATCTTCACGTTTGCTGACATTCTCCGGCATTTCCAGGTAAAATTAGATAGTCAAAATCAACGATTATGAAGCTTCTATTCGGAAGCAAAAAAATTGAGACGACAGGAAAATATATTTCCTAAGAGCTCAAAAATTATTTACATTTTTAGAAAGTTGAAAATTCATTGAGTTGACTAATATTCCATTGGAATTGATTTAAAGTTTCAAGTTGAATTAACATGGGAAGATCATTGTCGAAATTTTCTTTCATTTCGCCCATTCAAACCGTTTGTCTTATTCTGCTACAAAAAAAACGTTAAAAAGACAATTACCGACGTTCCAACGGCAGAATTTATCACAGCCTATCAAAACTTTATTTTTGTATTGATAAAGAAAGAATACAAAAACAACATCAATCAAAATTTGGGTAAAAAAGGAAATAGAGTTGTACTATTGTTTCTCCTTCTTTCCTAGCAAGAACTATGATCGATTTTTTTTTCATTGCATTTCTTCTTTTCTAACAGAGAAGTAAATTTTTCATGGGTTTTTGTCCTGGATGAGCTCAGAATTCGAGATCGGAACGAAAATCGTTTCATCAAATTCATTCAGAGTAATTCTATTTTTTTAATGACCACAAGGCTCCTATCACAAGCATCTATTTCATTTTTTACCCAAATGAATTAGCGGAATTCACCCCTTCCCTACCACCTCACCCTGTTGTGCAATAAACACTATTTGAAAATTTTTAAAAATTCCTCTCTGTCCATCACAAACACAATGAAGAACAAATATTTAATTTTTATTAATTTTACCTGCTTCAATCGTAAGTCGTTCATCCAGGGAAAGGTACTTGAAAATCCTGGCTAAACAATCGTCATTCAGATTGTTGATTAAATCAGGACCACTTGGCTCCTCAGGAGGGAGAAGTAGAGGTTTCTCAGTCTTCTTCTTGGGTTTGCTAGTTGTTGCTTTCTCTGTAATCACACGAACGATTGAGGAGATATTGCGGAGAAATTTCAAAGGCCCTAATTTGGTAAACATGCACCTGAGAGTTCTTGACAATCGTTGGGAGCCGCAAAAAAGTGAAAAATAATGGGTTGAATTCATTGAATGATGGCTCAAAGAAATTATTTGGATTCTCTTCGACCGAGTTCGGAGATGAAGGTGATAGCTGTAATCGTTGTTTTGATTTCTCTCTATACTATAAAAAACCAAATCAACTTTTGGTGATAAAAATTTGGTACTCGAAATTGAGACTCCACAATCAAGGGTCACAAGGGTCAAAATAAGGATCACCAGTAGGGAAGTGAGCGACAAAAATGACCGGTAAAATGACGGTCAATTACCGCGGTCATGACGGGTAATTACCATGTCCATAAATCTGACGATTCGGTCAGGAATTCGAAAAATGACCAATTTAATTCTGACGGTCAATTCTCATCTATATGGATGACACCGAGAAATTTTTATTCGGTTACTCGGTGTCGACAAGGTTGCTGGCAGTCATAGGAACCCTACGTCGCCACTAGGGGTCTATGCGACACTACTGTCGGTGTCAAAAGTAGAGACCACTCGAAATAAACGTCTATAACTCGACGAAAAAAAATCGTAAAAATATGGGACCAACTGCACTGTGTAATATAAGTATTTCACTCGCCCAATACGAAGTTTCAAGTTTTCAATTTGATTAGTTTATTTATAATCGCTGTGAGAAGCCGAAAAACCCCCGATTTTCAGGGTTCGTAAAAGTCGGCAAACTTTGAACCGCTATCATACGTACGAAAAAACTTTTTTTTTAATCGTCAATTTTTCCAGAGATTCGTTGAACCCTTGGGAAGCCAACGAGAGAAGAAAAAACTCAATATTGTAATAATTATTTATTTAATTAATAGAAATGTCGATATCTCGTTGTAGAATTGCCGAACCGACCTCAAAAAAAAGATGCATTCTGAATTCAATGTAAAACACATTCGGTCAATATTTTTCTAATAAACAATCTCCGTTGATTAAAAAAAAATCGAGAAAATTGGTCAAAAAAAGTGCTGTTAAAATGATCATAGCTCATGGGGTTTATGGGCCCGCTCACCGTCGGTCCCTCAAAAATTGACAACACATTTGCGTCCCAAAGGCCCAAACCGAACTGAAAAATGACGGGCATTTCACATCGCTAGTCACGAGGGTCAGAATAAGGGTCACGAGGGTCGAATGAAGAGTCACAGGGCTCAAATTGAGGATCATACAAGTCAGAATAAGGGTCACGAGGGTCAGATTAAGAGTCACGAGGGCAGGATTAAGGGTCACAACGGTCAGATTAAAGGTCATAAGGGTCACGGGAGTCAGATTAAGGATTATGGACGTCATATGGGCGTTGGCGAGCGGAGCGAAATTAGAATAATTTTAAAAAAATTTAGATTTCATAAAAATTACAATTCCGACGATATCTTTGGATATCGTGCTCTGAATTCATTCAACGAAAGCTGAAGATGTTGGTTAGGAAGCTACTCCGTCGAAATTAAAAGATCGTTAGGATAGCTATATTCGTTGATTTGATTTCAATGATAATTTTTGTAAATTTCGAATTTTTCATAAATTGCTCCGAAAGTGAACTTTCTGATGGTTTCTTCAAATATGATGTTTCAAATTCATTCCATAATATAGATAGCATTATTCTTCTATTCGATTTATAAAAGAGTTTGGAAATTATTCTCATAGCATTCAAAAGTTTGTTGGTTTTCATCTTTCGGGAAATTTACTTCCACTGATTAACTGAATAAAAAAACGCAAGATCAAAAATGGTTCAATTATCACTTAAACGACCTACTTCGACTTTACTTTCATCGAATAAATGGATAGTACAGATATATGTTATTTCATATTTGAGATCTCATTAAATATTAAACTAAATTAAAAATATAACACAATTGATTAAAGAAGATATTTCATTGAATTTAATGAAATAATATGGAACGATGAATATATATTATAGAAGCAGATGGGTTAAATCACTATTTCAGGAAGGATATTGCTAATTTATTAGCACAAACACTATAATATATTAACATAAAGGAGTTTCCCACTTGTTTCTTTGATTTCCTTGGCAAAAAGAAAAGAATAATAGAATGAAAAAAAATTATAAAAATTGAGCCGAAAAAATTCTACAGAACCCTATTAACTTTTTCTATAGAATATTTTCTATTGAACATAGAATGGTCTAGGGAATTCGCTAGGTTTTCAATTGATTTATTCCATGCGTGACCCTTAGAAGTCTGCTTCGTTCACATTTAAAAAAGCAAAGAGAATTTTTCACTAGAATTCCAGTAAAAATTCTGTAGACACCTCATTCTTTTAGAATTCCGATGGAATTCCAATAGAATTTTTAGCGAATTCGCTAGGTTTTCTACTGATTTTTTTCATACATGATTCTTCGGAGTTTGCTTCTTTTCCATTTTAAAAAAACAAATAGAATTTTGCAATAGAATTTCAATAGAAATCCTATAGAATTCCTATAGAATTGCAATGAAATTTTCTAGTGAATTCCCTCGGTTTTCAATTGATTTATTTCATAGATGTCCCTTAGAAGTTTGCTTCGTTCACATTTAAAAAAGCAAATAGAATTTTTCACTAGAATTCCAATAAAAATTCTGTAGACACCTCATTCTTTTAGAATTCCGATGGAATTCCAAAAGAATTTTTAGCGAATTCGCTAGGTTTTCTACTGATTTTTTTCATAGATGATCCTTGGGAGTTTGCTTCGTGTCCATTTAAAAAGACAAATAGAATTTTGCAATAGAGTGTCAATAGAAATCCTATAGAATTCCTATAGAATTGCAATGAAATTTTCTAGTGAATTCCCTCGGTTTTCAATTGATTTATTTCATAGATGTCCCTTAGGTTTGCTTCGTTCACATTAAAAAAAGGAAATGGAATTTTTCAATAGAATTTTCTAGCGAATTCGCTGTTTTCTGCTGATTTCTTTCATACGTGACCACCCGTAGAATTCCTATAGAATTTTAATGGAATTTTCTAGCGAATTCGTTAGCTTTTCTATTGATTTTTTTCGTACGTGACCCTTAGGAGTTTGCTTCGTTGCTATTGCTTTGAGGATCCTGCATACCGAGAACTCTCAGCTTCATTGGGATGAAATCCAGGGACTTCAAATTTCCTGTCATTTATTCAAACAAGAACAAGAATTTTCGAATAATTGCAGAAAACATCCCGAGAATGCTAAGAATGTTCAGTAACCTGTCATCGATAACGACCGGCCAGGGAAGGAAGAATTTGTCGATAAATGGGGGTTAGAAATCAGATTACAGATGAAAAAATCATGTGAGATCATCATCCGAATGACATAATACCTCCGCAAAATTGTCGATTATTCAATATTGTTACGTATCTACTCACTTTTATGGTTTGGCACGTTGGAACGACGCTGAGGGGTAAATCTTTTCATGATGAAGCGATTAAATGTAGATTGGGCTGAATGAACTTCTACAGAGCAAAGCTAGACGGCCATGCAGTTACTCTGATGTTCAATCTAACTGAATTCAACTTGGTCCAACAGAATTCTAGACACAAAAGGCCCCTGTCCTCTACCTTTTCTTTGTTTATGCACTCGCACCTTATGTTTTGGTTTCAGTCCGTAACAGCAGCCATTTTGAGAGTGAATCGAGCCATATTCGCAGTCAAAGATATTCTGTCCGGTCAAAAAAGCGGTCAATTGTCCATTTTGAATTTGACATCAACGTCCGGAGAGAAAATCTACAGATATAATTTTTTATGTGAATTGACAATAGTCTAACGCATTATATTTCCCGTATGAAGTTTATTTTATCATAACGAATACTTGAAAAAATTCAAGGAGTTCGACAATTTTTTCTTTCCTTAAAATCATTTTCAACATTTCTAGTTGAATATCAAAGTACATTCGATTCAAATTTCAAACTACACTAATTGTGAGAGAAAAACAAATTCTTAAACAAGTATTGGTTGGGCCATCAAAATCGCTAGTTGACAATTACCAAGAATTTTTTTTCAAAACAATTTCTTTAAAACAATTGTTTTTTTTCCAAACAATTTCCTTGATTTAAATTTGAAAGTCTCAAACATGAATAATTCCTCGGCTTTCATTAACAACAAAATATTTGGTTAAAATATTTTATCCCTAAGTTACAACATTGCTATCACATAATTATTATTATTTTATTTAAGATGTATTTCTTATCTGTGAATAGCCGAAACGAAAAACTACTATCCCTTGTTTCGCAACAAACGAACATTTTTCGGAAGCTACACGTGTGAAAAAATTCAATAGAAAAACTTGGCGACAAGAGTTTTTCCAATACTATTTTATCGAAGTTTCATGATAATACAAATAGTATTCTTTCTTGGATTTATACAAGAACTCTCACACAAGGAATCTAATACAATTGATTGAGGGATAACAGAAAGCCGCTAACTTTTCAAATTTTTGAACAAATTTCCTGTTGAAAGTTACCGATCAAAACAGCACTTTTTTGACGAATTTTCTCGATTTTTTTTTAAATCAACGGAGATTGTTTATTAGAAAAATATTGACCGAAGGTGTTTTACATTGAATTCAGAATGCATCTTTTTTTTGAGGTCGGTTCGGCAATTTTACAAGATAGCCACAGTCGACATTGCTATTAATTAAACAAATAATTATTACAATATTGAGTTTTTTCTTCTCTCGTTGGCTTCCCAAGGGTTCAACGAATCTCTGGAAAAATTTACGATTTAAAAAAAAATTTTTTCGTACGTATGGTAGCGGTTCAAAGTTTGCCGACTTTTACGGACCCTGAAAATGGGGGGGTTTTTCGGCTTCTAACAGCGATTATAAATAAACTAATCAAATTAAAAACTTGAAACTTCGTATTGGGCGAGTGAAATACTTATATTACACAGTACAATTGGTCCCATATTTTTACGATTTTTTTTTCACAAGTTATGCGCATATAACCCCAGGGTCCTCTACTTCTGAAACGAATAGTAAGCGTTGTCGTCCATCTATTATTTTTTAGCATCAGCTGTGTCGTTAAGTTTTCTGCATTTTTTTTGCGAAAAATCTGAAAACTGATAGATAGAGGACAACACTTAGTCTCCCCTCAATACTTGGTGAAAATTTCAGCCATTTATATTGGACACAATCGGAGAAAAATGGATTGAAAAAACAAACTTTTCGCCTTCGGCTCGTGATATAAACCTCCCACTCGCCAAAAAACACTTTTAATCCCACGAGCTAAAAAACATTTTTTCACGAGTAACGAACAATATTTTTCATCACAATGTGGCGGAAATTGGACTTTTAGGCACGCGGAGCGTGCCGAAAAGTTCACTTTTCGTCACAGCGTGATGAAAAATAATATAAAATGATAAATGATATCCGATAAAAAGGAATGGTATGCACAATAACTATTAATAATTCTGTAGCGACATAGTAAAACGGTACAAGTTAATTTTGACTATTGACCAGTTTTCAATGAATATCTCGGAATCTAAGGGAGATAGCAAAATTTCTGTTATAACCTTTTTTGTAGAGCCCATTGAGAGCTACAACAAATGTAATTACAAAAATTTTGCTAGCTCCCTTAGATTCGGAAATATTCCTCAAAAACTCAATTGGGAGATGAGTCGACTTAAACCGTTTTACCATTTCGCTACTGAATTTATTAAAAATAATAATACAATAATAATAATTAATTAACAAAAATAACTGTGAGGCCATATAATCCAAATGTTGGGGGGGGGGGCGTCTGTAGTTTGTCAATGAAGGGGAGAGGGTCTCTGAAGTTGCAATGTCAAATCTTTTTTTTGCATTTTAATCGAGAAAATCGTAAATGCAATTTCTTTCTCACCCTCTTTTCTCCCGAAAAGGAGCAAATTTCACGAGTTCTCCATCCAGATATATATATTCTGTGAATTTTTGAGGCCAAACGTTCCCAAAGAACTTTGGAATGATGTGATGGTAGAAATTTAATGTTACGAAATGTTCAATGAGCATCGCAGAAAAATTTAATTATTCAGCTAATCCCTTGGCTTTCTTTCTTATTCTCATTCTTCAAATAGGCAACAAACGGCCAAAGTGGAACGTTTTGTGATCTTCTGTAATTACCTAAATTTTTTTTTCTCTATTCGACTTTTGGAATTTTCATATTTCTCGAAGATTTTTGTTGATTTTTGCAGCGGAAAAAACTTTTTTTAAATTTTGTCTCGAGGTTTTTCGCAGCGGAAATTTTGATAGTCACTCGTCTAAAGTATTGATATTTATGAAACTATCAACTGATGAAACATAAATGTACCGATAGAATTTTTCCACCAAATTATCTCAATTTTGTGCGGTATTTCTATTAAAATTGTGATTTTTTATCACTGCCCTCAGTTACTGAAGGGACATGAAAGTATATTTCATTCCGGCTCGTGAAAATATATTCTCATTATGCATTTCGTGGGTCGTTGAACATTACACGGAAATAATTTATTGAGAAGAATTGCAAAATAAAACAATTGGAGAAATACCTGCATTTTATTCGTCATAGTATTCAAATGCGTGTACATAGAAAATTTTATATCTAGTAGTTTCCCAGAATCTCCAAGGAAAGAGAGCTGAAAATGATCACGAACCTTTATGTTCGACAATGAACTTTGACTATTCAGAATGTAATAAAATACTCAAATAAAAGTTACCTTATTAAAAACTAACTAATAAATCCTTATTACCTAACAAATCAAATTATCATTTAACTCATTCTTTAAAACGGAAAAATCAACTTTTATGAACTAAATTAAATATTCGAGGGCGAACTTGTCTATACATTTTTGTACATTTTCTAGATTGATAATAATAAATGTTCAGTTTTCTTCCCTCTCCTCTTAATTCCCTGAGGAGAAAGTAATGGTAACGAAAAAAAAAAAATCTCCAATTCACGAGTTATTATCAAGAATTTGTGCACTGAGAGAGCAGAATGTCTTCAGTTTGCCCACCGTAAACTTCTTAACAGCTTTACTGATATTATGTGAAAGATCAAAAGGATCCTGCAGACACATAATAGAGTCAACCCTGAAAGGCTCAGGCTCATCAACCTCATTGAGGTAATCGAGATAAAGTTTCATATCGGACGGTAATTCATTTGGCTTTAAAAAGAGTTTCTTCTCAACGGGTTTCCCCAGCAACGGGCAGATAACGTAATTTCGATAATCGAAATCTGCGTAGAATGTGAAGAACTGCTTCAGAAGTTCCCTGAAGGTGTTGTCAGTTGTGCGAGGCTGAAAATCCGTGGAGACTCCAGTCTCCCATCCCGCAATAATCCTCGAGTCCTGACTTCTATCTATCAACTCAGCTATCGTCGGTAGAATTGACGTCACTTGAAGAAAATAGATCACCAACCAAGCAATCCCGTAGCTGTTGACTCCATTGAGTCCAGTGAGGTCACAGTGTCCCATCCAATTTTTCACAAAGATAATCAATTTACGACAGTCCAGACAGTTTTCACAGTAAGCACTGATGATTTTCGTGTTCTCCACAGTTAGACCGTTGGTGAAAGAGATGTCGCACTCAATTTCAGTGGATCTGTGAGTCACCTTGATGATGGGAATTCTGCAGTCCTGGATATCACCACTGATGTACCAATTCTGGAGATCTTCTTCCAGACAACTTTTTATGTTCTTCAAACGAACCAAAATTTGCCTATAGCTGGAGTTTTCCCCAGCGTACACCTGACACTTCTTCGTACTGCAATCGAGGAAGATATCAAGGTCACTATTCCTCCCCCCCAGGCCGGAAATTCTGGAGCCAAAGGGATAAGCCTTTGCACTGGGGTATTTTTGCTTGGCAATCTTCTCCAAATTTCTAACCACTTGATCCTCCTTCTTCTTTTCATCAATCCTGCGAGAGTCAACTCTAGCGAGAATCTCTTGGATCTTATCCTCAGCAGCGTACAGAAGCTTCTCCGCAAACTGCGGGAGTTTATTCAACAGATAATAGTGGCTAGAGGCCAGGTCCCTATGCATTTTGCAAGTCGAGTGGTAGGCGAAGGTCTTCAAAAATCCGTACCAGAGAGTCGCACAAACAGCGCAATAGTCAAAGATCAATGTTTCGTTTTCAAACAATTTAGCTTTTTTTACATGTTTTTTCTTCTTGAGATGCTCTCGAAATTCAATCTCAACGATCGAGCTCTCCGGGCAGATGGCACACCAGTATTTACGAGCATTGTAGAAATTTGACTCCATCCTCGAGTGAAGAGCTTTGAAAATTTCCGCGGCCTTCGATCCCAGGGATGACCATCTCTCCGCATGCGACGAATTCTGAATGTGATTACTTAATTTGAGAGCGTCATTAGGGACGGAAACTCCACATGCGTGACACTGGACATTCTCTTCTGAGACTTCCTGCATGTACTCGTGAGCAAGAGCTAAATCACTGAACTGATCTGGATAATCCCTGAACTTCTTGTGATCCTCTATCATCTCTTGGAGGTAATCCAGATGATCAACTGAGCTCAAATGCTCGTAGAAATTCTGCAGAGAATTTTTAACGCTTTTTCGACACACCAGACAGTAGATGTTGTCCTTGTCGATGGCGAAGGAGAGCAGAACCCCCAGCTTCATGTCTTCAATTCGCTGCTGATCTATTTCGTAGATGTTTAGTTCCTTGTCCAATTCAATGTCCAGGGGTTTTTGCCTGAAACGCGGAGGAGACTTCTGTGTTTCCTCTGGTGAATCACCTAGATTTCTCACATCGAACTCAAGATTTTCGTCATCTTTCGGTGAATCTGGCAGTTGTTCCACTCCGAATTCAAGATCTTCTTCTTCTTCCTGCAATTCTGTTGGTTTTAACTCATCTTCGTTCTGTTTAGAAAGCTCTTCGGTAGATTTTCCAGAACTCATCGGAGAAGCCTTGAGGAATCGTTTCCAGAAATGTGTCGTCATGTGACTGTGGAGTTTCTTCTGCTCCTCGAAGTTTTCCCCACACATACGACACGGGATTTTCTTTTTCGGTCTCTGCATGAATTGTATATCCTTCTGAGTTTTACTCTGCGGAGCTGCAGCTTTAGCCGCGTAACTTGTCCTCGATAATTTCCAGCTGTCGATGAACACAATTTCGTTGTCTTTGTGCTCCTGAGACATTGAGTGCTGGAGGTACTCCAAGGTTGCTGGAGTGTGTCGAGTCGCTCGAATTTTCATTTCACAGACTTTGCACTCGATGCAGTCGATTATATCCCCTACGTAGTGATACTCCAACATCATGTCCGGGGGAATGTCGCTGAGGGAGAATTCTTGAGGTGTTGGAGGTGAAAATATTTCTTCATCATCTGTATTGTCAGGGCTTTCCTCTGCAGCATTGACTTTCGCCTCGTTCTCCAGGTGTTCTTTGCTGTTCCTGTGGGCATTGACGTTCCAGTTGCCTCCAGGTATCATGCAGTTGCAGATCTCGCAGGGAACGTTCCTGACACTTTGAGGGAGAATTTTCCTGTTGTCTTCTGATTCAACAGAGGATCGGGGGGACACAGGATCCTCTTGGTTGTCCAGCTGAAAAGTCGATATCAAACGATGAGCTGTTGTACTTCTCTCAGAGACCTGGGCTGCTGCTGATTCTGACACTTCCTTCGGTTTTTTCGTTAGTGGCTCTTTGTTAAGCTCTTTTTTTACTGTTTTTTCTACCTTCTTTTGGTGACTTTTCTTAGAGATATGTAAATTGACGTGTAGCAAAGTCCCAGGCACAGTAGTTGAACACAATTGACACCAAAATCTGTCGTCATTTTCGAGTCTGACAATTCCCTCTGGTAATGGATACAATTTTTCCGCTTCAGCAGAGGTACTTGGCTGCTTGAGTGCTTTATTTTCACGATGCTCTGCACCTCTCAAATGTTGGAATAGCTTCGTTGGACGGAGGAGAGTGCAATTACAAATTTCACAGTTGAAACGGTCTATGTCGATTCGAACAATCACTTTTTCACCGTTGGCTCGGTGATCGACACTTGCGACGTGCTGCTCTACTCTGATGTTTTTGGAAAGTCTGCAGATACATATCGTACAAATTAAGAAAGACTGCGTTCTTTTTTTAGTGTAACATCGTTCAATGCCATCTGGTAGATTTTCTGAAGTGGCAGGACTCTCGTGTGAATTGGATTTCAATCCAATATTTTCATCAATCGGCAATGATTGCTCATCTGTCCGTTCAGAATCGTCGTCAGACCCTTCGGGGACCAGTTCTGAGCTGATAATTTTGGAGTCTTCATCTTTTGATTCTTCAGACATTACCTGAGTCGCCCAATCACATTCCATTTTTAGGTGAACCTTATCAAAAGATTCCGATGCTTCGAAGATTGATGTGGATGCAGATTCTTCTTCAGAATCGTAACACTCTTCAGTTTTCGATTGAACGTCATTTATCGGAGATTCAGGTGACATATGTTCGTCGTTAACTTTCTCTTCTCTCAATTCTTTGATTCTCTGTTGGTGCTCTTCACTGCCAGCATGGACAGTTGCATGTATGAGATTGCCAACAACATTCACAGAACAGACAGTGCACCAAAATTCCTCTAAATTTTCAGTTCTCACAATTCCTTTTAATAATTCAAGCAACTGTGGCAAGATGTCCTCAAGTAAATTATTTGCTCTTTCGGAGGTGTTATTATTTAAATGATGTTCATTCGTCAAATGTTTCACTGTGTTTTTATAGCCATGCAGAAGGCAATTGCAACTTTCACATTTGAACTTGTGCTCCTCGATTCGAGAAATTACTCTCGGCCCTTTTTCCATGTGATCAGCACTCAAACCGTGTTCTTGGACTTCTTGAAGCTGAACTTTGCAGTTACATATTGTGCAAAATAGGAATGCCTTATGAGGAAGGGCTTCAATTCCTTCTGGCAGATGAGCTTTGAGCTTACTTGAGTTGAAAATATGAGTTTGACCCTGAACGTGACCTGGTACGCCTGTACGATGACGTATCTTTTTATTATTGCATATTGTACAGATGATTCCATAGGGACCTTCTTCAATCCCCTCATATGTTTCTCCAAGAGAAGCTGATGGTGTTGATGGAGGAGAACTACACAATTCCTCAAAATTTTCACCTTTTCCAATTCCTTCTAGTAATCCATGCACCGGTGGTAATTCCCCAACCGAATTATTCACTCCTTCGGAGGCATTATTATTTAGATGATGTTCGTTACTCAAATGCTTCACTGTTCTTTCGTAACCATGCAGAAGGCAATTGCAAATTTCACATTTGAACTTGTGCTCTTCGAGTCGAGAAATTATTCTCGGCCCTTTTTCCAAGTGATCAGCACTTAAAACGTGTTCTTGGACCTCTTCAGGCTGAATCTCGCAGTTACATATTGTGCATAATAAGAATGCCTTATGAGGAAGGGCTTCAATTCCTTCTGGCAGATGAGCTTTGACTTTACTTGAGTTGAAAATATGAGTTTGATCCTGAACGTGACCTGGTACGCCTGTACGATGACGTATCTTTTTATTATTGCATATTGTACAGATGATTCCATAGGGGCCTTCTTCAATCCCCTCATATGTTTCTCCAAGAGAAGCTGATGGTGTTGATGGAGGAGAAATACTTGTCTCCAAGCTCATGATATTTAAAGTTACAGAATTTACTTGTCCCTCAGAAAATTCATTATCATCCATGTGCAGAGGGATTAAAAGATCCATTGGATGAGTGTTCCATTTTTCTTCTAATGGCTCGAGCATTCCTAACGCTGTGTCGTCATCAACACTCTCATATTCTTCGCTCTCAAGTTGAGCTAAATTCTCTTCTTCAGCAGTATTGGTGACTGTTACCCCTGACGAGAGTGACTCCAACGGTTTCTCTGGTCCCTTTACCCCCATTCTCTCCTCAAGCTGCTTCAATTTGTCTTTATGTCCCTCTTTCGTCGCATGATGCATGACAGTCGCCCAATGTCGTTTGATTCTTTTTGAGCAAATCATACACCAAAACGTATTCTCGCCCTCTAGTCTTATAATCCCTTCTGGCAATTCGTGGTCTTTCAATCCAACTGGTGAGTTCAATACTTCAAGTGTCATATTTTTCAGATGATCTTCGTCTTTTAGATGTTTCATCACGTCTTTATGACCTTTGAGAATGCAACTGCAAACATCACATCTGAATTCAAGGGTTGATATCCTCGAAATTACTTTTTCTCCATTGCCCAGGTGGATGTTCCCGGTGACGTGAGCATCGACGTAGTTGGGACGAACTCGGCTGTTGCATATTGTGCAGAGTAAGAACTTGACTCCAGGAATTGCCTCTATTCCCTCTGGCAGACTTTCGTCCAGAGAAAGTGCATTCAATTGGTCTCCTGAGAGATTCCATAATTGGTAACGATGAGTCCATCCTCTTACGTGATCAAGCATCTCGTTGTTGTTTGAAAACTTTCGATTATCACATATTACACAGATGATCCAATTTATTGTACGGAAAATTCCTGCAAATGATGTCTCTGTTTCATCGCTTTCCTCAGGTTTACTGAAGGCCTTTCCACTCCCCTCAGATTTCTCCCTCAAATTCTCTGCGTGAAGAACACATTTTAAATGTTTATCTGGAGTGTAAGTGTTGGGGATTTTTATTTCACAGATGTTGCACCAATAAAACACTTTTCCTTCGCTCTTCGGAGTTGCTTTGGGTATTTCCAATATTGAAAATATGCTTTCGTCGGGGTTTTTTTGACTTTCGATGATGAAGTATTTAGTGTCGTTGGTGGTATTCAATTCGGGCTCAGTACTTTCTGCTTGGAGATTGTCTATTTGGGGAGAACGGACCAGCGCATCTCTGCTCTCCCTGTGTCTTTGACTGTTGGTGTGCTCAGTAATGGCTTCGAGACCACCGAAAATCTGTTGGTAACAAATTTCACATTCTGTGAAGAATACCTCTTTGCCTGGTGGAAGAAATTCCCCAGCTGGTTGTTGTGGTAATTCTTCACTCATTGCTTCCTGTGAGCGTGATGCCCTTGGAGGTGTTGATGACGTGGATGAAGAGAAGACAATTTGCTCTGTATGCATGACGTTGAAACTTGGCGAATTGGATTGTTCTGCAAGAAGTGGAAGGACTTTTCTTTGATGATATAAAGTTTTAATGTGCTTTTCTACAGACTTCAGTCCGACGAGTTGGTGCTTGCATAGAGAACATTTATACGTTTCTTCAAGAATATGGAGTATTCCTCTGGGAAGATGGTTAATAGACTCAAGCATTTGGGATTTTGATGATAAGGAAGGCACAGTTTCCCCTGAACGTGAGCTCCTCACATTTCCTGAATTAAACTCTTCATTAGAAAATCCAGCAACGTTTTTCCAACAACGTTTTTCTGATGATGGTGGAGATGTTAATGATGTACTTTTCTCTGGATTTCCTCCATTCGAAGTCACCCTAGTTGAGGTCTCTCCAGGATGCCCATAGAGAACTTGATTTTGATGATGAGAACCGTTTATATGATCTCGAATGACCTTCACTCCAGATATCCTGCAGTTGCAAACAGAGCATTCGTACATCTGACCATGAACATAGATTATGCCGACTGGAAGAGCACTCGCTTCATTCGTTCCTGACGTTTCATCAATATTTACTTTGTCCCCACTCCTTAGTGTGTAATTTGATGAGTCAGATTGCTGAGAATCACTCTCAGCATTTCTTACCTCCATGAACGAATTCGCATGCTTAAGGCCATGTTCTTCGCTCTTTGAATGTGAGCTGACACTCATCAATCCTTTCAGTGCAGTATCACAAGTTCTGCACCAGAATAAATTGTCGATCTCTGTACTCACGATTCCGTTGGGTAAATTCGCAAACTTTTTCTCCAAATTCATTTGATGATTTTTCCCATAGAAATGGCCAATCGCTCCATTTAATGAAGGTAATTTCTGATTGTTGCAAATCTCGCATTTTATGTAGTCTGTACCTGGGACCTTAGTGATTCCCTCAATCATCTCCACTCTTCTCTGACTCAACTTTTTCTCATTTTTTCCAAGATTGATAGACTCGATTGTTTTTTGATGTCGTGAACCTTTTATGTGTTGGGTGATAGCGGGATCCCCAGATATTTCACATTTGCATAGTAAACAGGCGGACAAATATTCGTAGAGATGTATTATGCCGTTTGGGAAAGCCCGAGTTTCACGATTTGATATTCTTTCAGGAAATTGAAGCAGATTGGCTTCATGCTGAGGGTCCTGCACGTGTTTATTGACGAAATTCCATCCAGGTACATGATGCAGTTTGCAAACAGAACAAACGTATAAGTTGTCGTAAACGTGGATTATTCCATCTGGAAGATTTTGCCTCCCATTTGGCACCTCGGGTTCATCAAATGTTGGTGACGGTGTGCGTGAAGGTGAACGATTCTTAAGTTGAAAATGTGCTTGACGATGTCGTTGACTTGCCATATGTTCTCCAATGCCCCGAGCATGACTGAATCTACATTCACATAATGAACACATGTACAAACTGCCTTTTATGTGATGTATTCCCTCTGGCAGAGCCTCCGTCCTCAGGCCATCTGAAATTTCGTCGTTTATTTTTTACCCAGATGTTTTTTGATTAACGTAGATTAACTTGATAGAAAAAAATATGTTCGCAAGAGGACTTGTTTGAACTGAACACAATAGCAAGTTGATAATTGCCGAGAAAGAAATTGTTCTATTTAAACATACGAAAGTTTCGAAGAACATATAACATTCTTATAGGTGGTGAAAAATGGAAAATTTTGCCCCCTAATAAATCGAAATAGGATGAGTAGAACTCAAGTTATTGTAAAAAAACGGAACAATTTGAAAAAAATCATATTTCCGAACTGGGCTGTTAAAAAAATCTGAAAAAATTTGAGAGATAGTTTTTCAAGTCCCCTAATCGTAGAAAAAATCGCCATAAATTTTCAAGAGGGTGAGGGTTAGCCGTTGACTCATTTGGCATGGAATACCTCATATATATTTGAAAAAAAAAATTAAAATCGGTGCAGAAGGTTTTGAGATATTGAGGAAAAAATAAAATTAAAGAAGTTGTTATATCTTCGGAACTACTGGACCGATCGAGCTGAAACAGCGCATCAAAGTGAAGTTTAATCATAGCTGCCATGAGCCAAAATTTCAGACTTTTATCGACAAATTTCACCGCATTTATCTGTATTTTCGAAAAATTGATCATCAAAAACCCAAGTTGTTACACACATACGTACAGTCATGACCCTAAAAACATCATTTCTTCATGTTTCATAACATTCTAGACCATTTGCCATCAAAACTAGAATTTAAAAAATCGCTCAAATACAAGGCTTCCATTCGAAGGTAAAAAAGTTAATAAACAAAACTTGACTTAAAAAAATTACAAAAAATTTTTTTTTGCTTCAATTGCGTCAAACAGTCGTTTGTCGACTGTTCCATTTTGCCCCACTCTCCCCTATTATTTTTGTTGTACGTGTCGAAAACTCGATTCTGCTTTAGTTAAATTCACTTATCTTACTAAACCATCTGCCATTGAATTCACAGTGACATACCTTGAGAAAACTGAACAGTGGTTTGATGTCGTAGACCTACTACGTGCTGTTCCACCGATCTCCAACAAGGCATGCTGCACTCGCACAGAGAACATCCGTAACCATTGTTATTGGACTGAAAAACATAGTCTGGAAGATTTAGTTGCCCCTCTAGCCTTTTCTCATTCGTGTTTGGGATATTCTCCGACTGTCCTGCTACCCCTGACGATGCTGGTAAAGTCGAAGAAGAGCCAGAGCTACCCTCTGAAGCCAACTTTTTCTCATGGAGTTGCTGAATGTTGTCTTGATGCCGGATATTTTCCACGTGGTCCTCAACCAAATCAAGCCCAGAAATATTACAACAGCAGAGAATGCAGGTGTAAGAGTTCCCATAGATGTGGATTATCCCTTTTGGAAGAGAACGAATAGTTGTTTCCTCAGGAGTATCTTCACGTCTCACTTCACCAGGCAATTCTTCCGCTGATATCGATGGTGATAACGCAGAGGATGGAAAACTCAGCTCAGAATTAGTTCCCTTAGAACTCATTACATCCGTGTTTTCCTGGCAGATTTCTTCAACGATTTTCATGTGCCTAAAACCTCTCATGTGATGTTGAATGGTCTGAACAGACCCAGTAAGTTTGACTTGGCAAATACAGCAGTAGTATTGTTTACCCGAATGATGCGTTACTCCAACTGGAAGAACTCTTCGCTGATTCTGTCCATTTCCAATTTCCCTCGAGTTGATTGTCTCGTCAGGCAGTGCAGAGCTCTCTGATGACACTAACAGGAGTTTTATTGTATCCTGATGCAGTGATTCATTTACATGTTGTTCAACAGCTATCAATCCAGTGATTTTACGTTCGCAGAGGAAACATTCGTACTCGTCGTCCTCCAAGTGAATTATTCCTTTTCTTAAAGCATGCCCCTTGCCCTGTTGGTTCTTTTTGTGCCTTTTCCCCCCCAAATGCGACCAGACATCCTTGTAATTGTGTATTCCAGATTTACAGACTTTACACCAGAAACATTCCTTCTCCCTAATATAAGAAATTTCCTCGGGGAAATCTTGATGATTATCAATATCACTGTGTAATGTTGGTGGGCCGTTCATCAATCCATCTGCAGCCTCCAATAGTTCTTCTTTGATAAATAAACTCTCTTCTGATTTTTCATTTTCTCTCTCTGGCTCTGGAACAGGAGTAGTTGAGACAGGAAATTTTATGTCTTCCTTTGTCAACGAACATTCTAACATTTCCTCAACTTCCTCTGCCACGTCCATGAGGTCAGATTCATTATCATTTGCAGACACGTCATCAGTTCCAAAATTTTTTGCCCTTTTGATCGATTGTAGAATATCAGGGGTGTTTACATCCTTCGACTTTTTACGATTTCTCTTTCTCTTTCTCTTTCTCGTCTCCTTTTCGCTCTTGTGAATCAACAGGTGTGATTCAATGTCTTTACTGTCGATCAAACTATTACAAACTGTGCGGATCGATACAATGAGCTGAGTATCTTCGTCCTTAGAAGGATCGCTGGCCTCTCCTTCACCTTCATCTGAAAGATCTTCAGGATTTTCGGGGTCTTCAGTGAATCTGGGGGGCAGTCGATAAATCTCTGCAGACTTCAAAGCCTCTATATGTTCCTGCTCCTTCTTTACGTGGGATTTTCCTTCTATGTGCGTTATAATACCCTCGTAAGAAGCTCCCACAGCACATGCACACAAACTGCAGGCTAAAGTCTTCGATGCCTTCATGAAAATGAAATTGTTAGTAGTGAGTTTGTAATAGGCTATCGACAGCGATAAATCTTTGAGGAGTGACTCATCAATCTTATCTCTTTTGAGAGCCTGGTGATGACTCTCTTCATTGTGGCACCCAACCAGGAACCAAAATGGCAGTTTCATGTTGCATAAGTGGCAGAAATACTGGTGATCACGATGGGAGATGAAATTCTTGAAGAGAATCTCTGGACAATTGTCAGGGACATACCAGGGCATTAACTGATGGCCCACTGCATGCTCGATTATCTCACTGAACTTGATTGGGTTGGGACACAATCTGCAGTAGACTCGTGGCCCAACGTTGGCGAACAACTGAATGTACAACACGAGCCTTTGGACGTGGTTCTCATCTTTCAAGTGATTTTCAAATGAATCTTGTTGCTTTCCAGGACAAATGTGACAAGTGAAGTCGTTGCAGTCTGCTGAATACACCACTGTTCCTTTCTTGTAGATCGGGTACTTGACGTCAGACTCCATTGTCTTTTTTTTTTTTCTAAATATCCAGAATATTTTTTTCAGAATGAACGAACTTCACTGGAGTCAGATTATTTTCGAATATTTATACGCATATTTATACTCACGTGGATGTTTATGATTTTTTTTTATTCACATTCCAATAGCGGTATCCTGCTGCGGCCGGTTGAACCCTCCTGCTCTTTGTGTCCCTGAGGTGATTGAATGATTGAAATGATGTTGTTATTTGTTACGTGATCATTATTGGGATTCCCGGATGATTCTGAACACCGTATTTTATTGTGCCTTTGTTTTATTCGTTATACTGACCTTGAAATTGAGGGAAGTTGTTTGGTTATGCCCTGTGTCAATTCGCCATTCGCAAAAACGATTTCTCGCCGTCTGGTGGTGGTTTGTAGAATTACTACCTTGCGGAACCAATCTGATGGTAGTGCGCCAAGGCTCTGGAGTATGAAATTGCAAATTATTCATTGATGTAGCTGTTTGATTGGTCAATGAGTCACGTGAAGTAGTCGCTGAATAAAATCCCCGGGATTTTCAAATTCTTTAGATTCCAAAAAAAATTTCTGCATCACATTTTTCATTTTTTCATATGTGAAGTTGTCTTTATATCAAAACATCCAAATTTTTTGATTGTTGATCATGAGAAAAAAAACAGTATTTCTAAATTTTTTTAACTCGCAAAGTATTCTGCACTTCCCAAATTTTTATTTTTTTATATTTATCATACACAAAAATGATCAATTCTTGCTTCTCAAATTTTCATACATAAATTCTAAACTCTACAAAATTCATGAAAATTCTTCGGTTTCCCAAATAATTCGAGAAAAATCTTTGAAGATTTACGGTTATCGAAAAAATTGTGAAATTTTCCGAAGAATTCAAGAACTTTTTTCAGTTTTCTAGGAAATCAATTTATAACCCTCCCCTCATTTTTCAGCTATTACAGATTTCAATCAGATTATTTTCAAACGTAAAAAAAGGAATTAATCGAAGATTAAAAATTATTCAGTGATGTTTCACTCTTCCTTCTCTTAATTCTCTTTAAGTCATTATCAATATTTATAAAACATCTATGAGTATATGAAGTTTAATAAATTCGATTTCTTCATTTTCACAACAAATAGATAAGCGCGCGCGAAAGCGCGCGCACAGATCCAGGATGTAGAATATCGAGACGAGACAAATCGAGATTTTACATTTAAAAACTCGAAAAACTTAAGACCGAGATGAGAGACATTGAGGCGGAGTCATCACGAGAGGAGTCGATACTGCTTATTTCGACACTGAAATGAGAGCAAAGATTCTGATGTTCATTGAGACCGAGATCATCTCTCCAAAGTTTTGTCTCGTAGTGTCTCGCGGTATCACTACCTTCAGTGAAAGTTATTGAGATATCAGGATAAATCAAACGGGAATGGATTCGTCTTGAAAAGACGAACATTTTTCATTTTAACTTTTATGTTGAACAACTCAATGGTGCAAAGCAATGCCCATTTGAACAATTCAATTATTAATAACTTTTAAATGCTTCTCTTGAGCGTTGGCCAATAAACAAATTTGGATTCTACGACCCAAAAACCATAGAATAAAACCGGGACCTCATAGTGCAATTTGCACAATTTTTTAATTTTTATTAATTTAATCATCAATCTTTTAAATATTTTATAAATCAGTAATCAACTTGGCAAGAATAATCATTATTTGATTAATCGAAAAATCCAATGCAGAAATTTTGAATCAATTGTTTAATAATAATTGAGAATTACACTGTTGGAAAATTACTCTTGAAATTTCAAATGAAAAAGCTTGAAATTTTTAACAACGACAAAGTTACATGAAGTTTCTGTAGAATTCTTCATTGACGAGTCACTTAATTTCTTGAATATTCAAATAATTCTCGATTTTCAGGAAAAACCTTGAAAATTTTGAAAATCCAGGCAATAACTTTTCTGAATTTTCAATCTATTGTATGTGACATTCAGTTTTCACGATGAGTTCGGAAATTCAAGCTTTCATTGAAAAATCAATGATTCTTCAACATGAAAAATCCAATTTTCTTGAATTTTCAAGATTTAATTTAATTTAATTTCCATTAAATTTCAATTTAATTTAAAACAAACCTCTTTTAGTATTACTAAAGTAGTGAAATTTTTTATATGATCCAAGATTGCTGTTACAGGGTTGTACCTCATGAAACAGATCAAATAAATAAATAAATTAAGAATGAAATAAATATTACTAAAGTAGTGATTTTTGCCGATTCCTGAACTTCAGCAGTGAATTTCAAACCTAGAACGATACTGCGCGCGCTTTCTGATAGTTCTCATAGATCAGCACTTGAGCGCGCTGCCATCGAAGTGGTGAAAAGGAACGCCACCGAAAGTGGCATCACCGGTCGCCATTTTACAAGTAGAAGTGAGTGTCGGTATCAGTCATCAGTGCCCGTCCGACAAAATCTCCAAAATTATCGCGTTTTCTTATCATTGCCATTGTCATTTTCATATTGTCACGTTGAATCTAACAATCTCCATTGCATTGAGACAATAACCACTCCCCAAATCCCTCCCACCCTGCGACACGACTCCCGTTTACCCCACGAGAATTTTTCATTGTAGTTTTTTTTTCGACACAACGGTTCGATACACCAACAGTTCGAGGTGCGACAACCAGCGTTGATGATTGGGATTCCGCGGGACGACCGGCATAAAATCACGGTTAAAATCCGAAACAATAACATGAAGCGGAGCTCATCCCGTGATACACCACCGCCCAGAGTCAAGCGAAGCAGATCATCGATGGGAAGGTAATTGTGCATTGGAAGTGTGGGAGTTTCCTCTTTTAGGGACGCCATTGCCCTTTCAGCTTCGGCTGCATCACTCCATCAAATTATTGATGGAACAGTGCTGGGAGTAGTTCTTTCAGTGATTTGTTTTTTTTTTAAAGTAATTTTACTATGGAATGAAGTTCTCAGTGTGCTGATTGTTCTTTAATCATTCAAAAGTTTTCTTGTGTTAATAATTTTTGTTTTGCAGTATTGTTAAATAAATACTATTTGTATTGATAAATTTAAACGTTTGAAGAAGTTTAGATATAAGTAGGGGAGGTTGGGGTAAAATGGACACTTTTGACTTTTTTTTAATGTTAATGACGGGTTGAAATGTTCGTAAAATTTAATAATTTTTTCTTCATTGCAAAGAACAATTTTTTCCCTTTGTGATGAGCCTAAACTGAGCTGAATTGATAAATTTGTTTCTGAGTTATGAGTAATTAAAACAAAAGACTAGTGTCCATTTTACCCCACTCTCCCCTAGTTCTGAAGAAATTGGTAAACATTGCGTTGTGTAAGGCTCTCGTGGAATTTTTAAGGAGTAAAATGTGAAGTTTCTCCAGATAGAAATTATAAAATTTCAAGCAAAACGAACTTGGGAAATTTCAGTGGAGGAAATTTTTTAGAAAAAATTTCAACTGAATATTTCATCAACTCATGGATGGGAAAGTGATAATAGTTTTTTCAGTGATTTTTAGTTTTTGGATAAAAGGGGCCCCTTTCCCGAATAGAATCATTAGTATGTAATTTGTTCTTCTCTAATCATTGGAAATTTTTCTTGTATCATATCAATAATTTTGATTTTTGCAATATTATTCACTTTTATTATAAAAAATCAAAGACCGACGAAATTTAGGCATGGAGAGTTCTGAAGAAATTTGTAAACATTGGGTTGTAAGGCTCCAATGGAATTTTCGAAGAGGAAAATTTGTAGTTTCCCCACATAGAAATGGTTAAATTTTCTGCAAAACAAACTTGGGGAACTTCAATCAAGAAATTTCTGCAGAGACAATTCCAACAGAATACATTAACTCATTGATAAAAAGTAATGAGATTGGATTCCCTTCCAGTGGTTTTTTTTTTTTTTTTATAAAAATGAGTTCACTCCTGAATAGAGTCATTAGTATGTTATTTGTTCTTCCCCAATTATTCGAAATTTTTCCTGTAGCATAGCAGTAATTTTTATTTTTACTATGTTTTTCACTTTTATTGTGAGAAATCAAACACTTTGACGAAATTTGGACATCAACAATTTTGGAAAAATGGTAAACATTGGATTACGTAAGGTTTTAATAAAATTTTTAAGGAAGAAAACGTGAAGTTTCCCCACATAGAAATTGTTAAATTTAAAGCAAAACAAACTTGGGAAGCTTTGAGGAATTTCTGTAGAAACAATTTCAACAGAATATTTTATTAACGCATTGATGAACGAGTGATGAAGCGTAGTTCTTCCAGTGATTTCTTTGTTTTTGGATAAAAGTGGCTCCACTCCAGAATAGAATCATCAATATTGTTCTCTAATCATTCGAAATTCTTCTTGTATCATCAATAATTTCTATTTTTGCAATATTATTCACAAAAGTGAAAAATAAAAATTATGAAAAATCAAAGACTGACCGGCCATTTTGACATAAATGTTACTTATACATAATTGAATGAATTTGAAACATCACATTTGAAGAAACCATTAGAAAGCTCACTTTCAGGGAAATTCATGAAAATCTTGATATCTTGAACAACTATAAAAATCAAATTAACCAGTATAGTTATCGTAATCATCTTTTAACTACAGCTTACGAATAATCGGGCGAACCCGGAAGGTTAGAAAAAAAGCAGCCATTTTTCTCTTTTATTTTTTACGTATCCTTTAAATGATGGAAAAGGCGTGTGCAAAGTTTCAGACTGCTGGGGCACATGGTTAATTTATTATGAATTTTTGAAAAAGTGGTCATTTAACCTATCTTATGGAAATTGCAAAAAAACTGCAAAACTCAAGGAAAAAAAGCAGCCAAAGTCATGAAACTTTAGAGACATTTAGAACATGTGATCACTGATTTTTTGAGTGAAAAAGTTTGTCGCCTAGGAGCATTGTTTATTAATAATAGCGAAAAAAGTACTGAAAAATGAAATTTCTGCGCACGCAGCCCAAACGAGCAGCAACGTCTCAAGTACCGATCGGGTGGGGGTAGCGCGGTCAATTTAAACGTCTCTTGAGAGCGATGAAGCGTTGTGATTGGAGCTCCCTCGAGCCAGTGGTACCAGCTCCTGGTGAAAAAAAAACACTACCGACGATGTTGCCACTTTTTCGCATGGATTAATATTTTTTCATTTATTAAAAAAAAACAATCTGAAAACCATTTCTCCCACATCCACCTTAAACTAGTTCCTCATCAAACACAAATTTGTTGTAGCTCTCAATCGGCTCGTAAAAAAAGGTTATACCAAAAATTTTGCTATCTCCCTTAGATTCCGAGATATTCATTGAAAACTGGTCAGTAGTCAAAATTGACTTGTACCGTTTTACCACTTCGCCACTGAATTGAACCCTCTCTCACAAGTTTACCTCCTTCCCCAGGTACGATGAATCCAGCGACGAGCGTATAACCCCGGACAGAATCCGTCGTCGCAGCCGAGGAGCGCGCAGTCCCAGTCCCCCACCCCGGGCCTCATCCCACGCCCGCTACGTCGAGTCCTCATCCCACCGAGACGAGTACCTCCGGCCCCCAGCTCGTGAGATTCCCCCCGAGCGCCAGTACAGCTACAAAGTCCTCTGCGTCTCCTCAATCCACCAAAAGGCCAGTGACGAGATAATAAAAGACACCCTCTACCGTGAATACAAGAAATTCGGTGAATTCTCCATTCGCATTTCCCACGAGCTCGACGAACGCGTCGCCTTCGTCTGCTTCAGAAGCTCCGAGGACGCCAGAGACGCCAAGCACGCGAAGCCTCGAATAATAATCTACGACAAAGTGGCCATTGTCGAGCCAGTCTACGAGAGGCCAGAGACTTATCGTCGAGCTCGTTCAATCAGTCCTCCAGAGTACGACAGATATTATGCACGTTCACCAGGTCCTGAGCGCCATCGGCCGATCGAGCGTTACGAGAGGGTCTACGGTCCACCAGTGGGAATGCCCCCGCACAGGGAGATGCGTCGAGAGGCCATTCCTCCACCTCACCACGACTTCGTCCGTCCACCAATGCACCATGGGCCCCCCCACGTTCATCACCCAGGTGGTCCACCCCACCACTACGGCCCCCCTCGTCACATGATGATTCGTCACCCTGTGCACGGCTTCGAGAGAGTTGAGAACAAAAAGGACAAATTCCCGAATTACCTCCATCACGTCTCTCCAGAGGACGATCCACTGGCCACAAGAACCCTCTTCGCTGGTAATTTGGAGATAAACATCACCGAGGAAGAGCTCCGCAGGATTTTTTCAAAATACGGAATTGTCGATGATATCGACATCAAGAGACCCCCACCAGGCACTGGAAATGCCTACGCCTTCGTGAGATTCCAGACCCTGGACATGGCGCATCGTTGTAAGGTCGAATTATCGGGTCAATATATCGGCAAGTTCCAGTGCAAAATTGGTTACGGTAAGGCAACACCCACGACGAGAATCTGGGTGGGAGGATTGGGCCCGTGGACATCAGTGCCTCAGTTGGAACGAGAGTTCGATAGATTCGGAGCGATCAAGAAGATTGATTACATCAAGGGGGACAGTAACGGTTACATTTTGTACGACTCCATTGATGCTGCACAAGCTGCTGTCAAGGAGATGAGGGGATTCCCTCTGGGGGGACCTGACAGGAGGCTCAGGGTGGACTTTGCTGATGTCACTCCTGGGTTTGGGTTTAAGCCGAGACCCTATTCTGAGGAGAACTCAGGGGAATTCAGACAGAGGCCAGTGGATTACGAACCTTACGAGAGTTACGGAGGGGAGACTGAGTTTAGTTATGGCTCGAGGGGTTTCCGAGGTGGAAGAGGCGGTTGGCACGAGCGCAGAGGTGGCAGGGGTGGGTCAAGTGCAAGCTACAGGAATACTTATCCCGAGGGCTACGTGAGGGAGGAGACAGAGTGGCCGAGCAGGAGACCACCGCCTGATATTGAGTACGAAGCACCGAGGCTGAGACGATCGATATCGAGGGAGCCTGGGGTCGACAGATCCAGATCGAGATCACCCAGAAGACGACCCATCGATTCAGACTCAGACTCCGAGACCACGAGAACTGGCATGCTGTCTACGTCAAGAACACTGGCTGAAGTCGCCAGGAAAGCCATTGCTGTTTGGTCAGGGGCGCTTATTCTCAAGAATTCACTTTTCCCAGCCAAGTTTCATCTCACTGACGGCGACACTGAGATCATTGAAGCACTCATGAAGGACGAGGAGGGCAAACACATGCTGAGAATTACCCAGAGGCTCAGACTTGATCAGCCAAAGTTGGATGATGTCTCCAAGAGAATTCAAACGTCCAGCTCACACGCCATTTTCTTGGGGCTCGCTGGTTCCAGCACTGCTGTCACCAATGAGGATGCCAATGTTCAGACAAGACCACTCAGAAATTTAGTATCTTATCTCAAGCAGAAAGAGGCTGCTGGAGTTATTTCATTGCTTAATAAGGATACTGAGGGCACTGGGGTGCTTTATGCTTTTCCTCCTTGTGCCTTTTCCACTGAGTTGTTGAAGAGAACTTGTCCCAGTTTGAGTGAAGAGGGCCTCAAGGAGGATCATCTGGTTATTGTTGTTGTCAAGGGGGGGAGCGCATAAATTGTGGGGGGATACTGTCTTCCTGAAATTTTACATTGGAGTTTTTTACACGATTCGATGTGATTATTTATTTTGCATTCTCTTCCAAAATTTCAGTGTGTGCCGGGGGGGGGGGGGGGGGGGAGAGGTATTGCAATGAAAAATTTTACGTGTTTTTTTCTTTCAATTGGGACATGTAGATATCACAGATGGGGTCGATTTTTTCCTTCATTTTATTCATTTTTAATTAATTGAGAATTGAGGCGAAATGTTAGACGAGTGGGTGACATTGTTTTAGCACTTTTGCCTTAATTCATTTGTGGAATTAAAAATCATAATGCACTTATATATAAAGTACATTTATATATGAATTAAGATAAGGATAGACAGCCAGAAAATTGAGGAGAAAACGTGAAACTAATCTACTGTTGATTGATTCAGTAGCGAAGTGGTAAAACGGTTCGAGTCGACTTGGGTCTCAGCTGAGTTTTCGAGGAATATCTCCGAATCTAAGGGGAATAACGAAATTTTTGTAGAGACCTTTTTTGTAGAGCGCAGTGAGGGCTACAAAAAAGGTCATGACAAAAATTTTGCTATCCCCCCTAGATTCCGAGCTATTCAATGAAAACTGGCCAATAGTCAAAATCGACTTGAACCGTTTTACCTCTTCGCTACTGAATTATCTAATTAGGTTTAATGATTAATCAGCATAAATGATTCTTCATTTTTTTTTCTCCCCCTCATGTTCGTTCATTATAGGAAGATTTACACATGTGTGACGTAAACTAGTTAAGTGATTGTGTCATTGAAATGAGATAAAAAAAAAACAATTGAGAAATAATGTGAATAAGTTTCAGTTTAGTTGAATGAAATATGAGAAAACAAAAACTGTGGATTTTGGATATTATCGAGAGAAATTGAGATAATCAATAGTTTCTTTTGGACACTGTGGCCCTAGTGGTGGTGAATGTTCAAAGTTAGTTTGAACCTGATGAATTGTGACGCGAAAAAAGCCAAAAATGTTTTTTTCTTTTCAGAGGAGAGTAACGGCGTTCAAGTCCACATGTTTAGAGGAGGGAATAATAATTTTTTTTTTAATTTATCGGATATGGTGGTTCAAGTGCAGAGTCGCTGTGTACGTGAATAACTGAATTTGACGATTAATCGAGAGAATTTCAATATGAAATTAATCACGAAAAAAAAAACAAAACAAAAACATGAAATGAATAGTTGAGAGATGCTTGTATACAGTGATGTAAAAAACGATTTATTGAAAAAAAAACGAAAAAAAAAAATTGAAAATGCAAACAAATTCGATAAAAGTGAATTGTTCGTGCACTCGTCGACGTCTCAGAGGTATCGGGAACCGTGTAGACCGAAATAATGATTCTAAATTGTGTTTCGATGCATAAGAAAATCATTTGAATGAGTATTTTTTTTTTTCTACTTTGTGCAGTGCCCCGATGTCCAAAGAGCGTCGACGAGCCATTAAAAAGGTGCAGTGGATTTAAAAAGTGTATCAGGTGTGTCTGAAAGATGCAAAAATCTTTATCATTATGAGAAAAATAGATGCCGCAGATAAAAAGCAAATGATTGTGTGTTTAATTTGTTCAATCGCCCAAAAAAAATCAAATTCTGAGATAAATCTACTGGAGGAGCTGATGCCACATTCAGATGCGGATTAAATTGAATATTTCTCAGGTGTTAAATTAATGAAAATATGTCTTGGAGTTCTGTTGGTCATCTCTTGGTGCGCAGTGAAGTTTCATGATTTCAGAGGAGGAATTTTAAATGCAAAATGAGTTTTATGTCAATGGATATTGTTGTTGCATGCGGATATGTTTCTCCTTCGATTATCCATGCGGAGTTTCTTTCGTTGTTGGATATAATATGAATATTTCGAGTGTTTTTTTATGGTTATAAACAGTACAAGTTGAGCTGTGACATTGTTAAATATGGATAAATTGTGTTGTGATTAGTTTTTAAAATTCTTTCGAGTTAATCAATTCATTGTTTAGTTGTTTGAAACGGACATTTGATGATGAAGCGTCACAGCATTACTGGCTTTTTGGTCAATTTTTTAATTGTTGACATTTTAGGACTTTGTGTAAAGTGATATGAGCTCTTTTTTCGTGCTTCCTGATTCGAAAATGGTTTTGTTTGTTGGTTTGATAATTCAATGGTGGAAGAGTTGGTGATATTTTGAAAGAATCGTGATGAACATGAGTTATGCTTCTGGAGGAACATGTTTAGTTGGGCGTGATTTCGAGTGTCGGTGCTTCTGGGATTTTTTTTTCCAAAGATCCAGGGGAATTGGGCAGGATTATGGTAAGTTCCATCGAGAGGAGAGAAAAAGAGTTCTTTGTGTTTCAGGTTCGAGTGGGAGGTGAGGAGAAGGTGATGGGACGTTAGAGGAGAGAAAAAATCAAGTCTTAAATTGTAAATGAGTGCCAATAAATTTTTGCTACAAGCTTAAACACTTTTTTTACTGAAAATGCATCAGTTGGAAGAGGTTTGTCCTGGTCTGTGGAAATTTGTGTCAACTGGCTGGAGGGGAGAGTCGAGAGTTGACACTTGAGGGTGTTCAAGCACTTCGAGAATTTTTTTTCGGCAAAATCCTCTTCAACATTTATAGAGAATACCAGAGCTCAAGTTGGAGGCCTATTTTATTTTCAGTTACGGGAGTTTTTTGCAGAAATTTCATTACTGAAGTTTCTTAGAGTCGAAGCTTGGGTAGTTTCTGTTTACACCCACAGCCCCTACTAAATTATTCTTCAAAATTGTGGGTGGGGGTCCGCTAATGAATTTAAACTTCTTTGAATCGTCTCATATATTAATATTATTATGGATATTCAATTGGATGTACGGGACTTCCCATTCGGCAGCTCTCTCCATAAGGCAAAATTATTATTTATTACATTAAGGCCCTGATGGATTATCTTTCGAACGTTATCTGATTGTTTCTCGATCGTCATAATGTAAAGTAATTAACGATCTGACAGCCATTGACTATTGTGACAAATGACGACCTAACAGCCATTAGATACATCAAATTATTAATTTGTGATTTCCTCTCTATTGGGTTTATTTCCCAATATTATACAGAAACGCTCTTTGAAAATGTTCAGCTTTTTTCAACGTTTTTTTAATTGTACAATTATAACTTTTGAAGACTCCAGGGCTATGTAAAACTGAATAGCAATTGGAGATCATTTCAGATTATCAAAATAAAAACAAAGAATAACATAAAAATTTAAAAAATAATTGAAAAATAGATTATCAAAATAAAAAAAATAACAAGATCACGTTCGAAAGATAATCCACTCGGGTATTAAAGTAGTATGGTCACTCTCCAAAGTGATTGTTGAGTGTCCGTCAAGAAAATCTAAAAATATTAATAAAAAAACTATGATTTATAATTGAAAATTCTCTTTGTGAATTATAAAATTTATGAATATAAGAATTAATCGATTATTTTGATTATTTTTCACTTATGAGTCAAATAATGTACCTCCTTTGACTAGCGTCGTTTTGTGTGGCACAACAAAAATAATCCGTCGAATACCACTCGACCTCCAAAATTAATCGAACATTCCTTCATGTGTTCCTGCGTATCAACGATCGGGATAAGTTTTGCACAAAAATCCCTCGCGCTGCGCGTTCGGGATTTTAATCTGCAAAACTTCTCCCTCTCGTTACGCAACAAAACAATCGGGAAATATCCGATAATTTTGGAGGTCTTGGGGTATTATAGCTGAAAATTTTCTCATTTTTTCAATTGTGTGAAATAGAAAAACTAACAAAAGAGATGAATTTTGTTGAGAATGGGTGCTTCACATAACTCATATTAACTGTTCAATCTCGGTAAATGATCATGAGGGTGGAATTGATCATAGATTTCTCCGAAATTTCCGTGTAAAATTTTTTTCAGCTGCAATAAAGGCCTTCGAACACTTCACCTGGCGCCATTTTTCGATGGACATCTTGGAAGGAAGATGATGAAATACATCAAAGAAGCTTTTTCAGAGCAGAATGAGAGCTACGAAATGAGTTCCTGCAAAAATTATGCTGCCGCTCGTAGATTCGGAGATATTCCTCAATTTTACTGCCGCTTCGTCAATGATTTGGGGGTGCAATGACGATTCCACGATATATTTTATAGCTAATGGAGGATATCATGTTCTAGTCGGCTTATTTCTTCAGTCAATTACTAAATTTTTCATGTATTCAATCTTGCACAAAGTTGAAACCAAAATTCAAATTGATGCGATGTAGATAATTATTTCTAAAGGCAGAATTGATAGATATGACTTTGTCGGCAGTGACCACATAGGATATTAATTATAGGATTTCTTATCGGAAATCCTGTGGAAAATTCTAACATTTCCTATAGGATTTTTCAGATAGGATTTTCTATAGGATTCCCTATCAGGTTTTTCCTATTGGATTTCCTACAACCCAGCAAACAGTATGTCAACAATTTGTCGATAAGTTGTCGGTGTCCTGTTAATTTTTAGATGGCACTGGCAAAAATTGTTTTCTGGGAAGATGTCTTATAGAATATCCCATCAGATTTCCAACGGGATTTCCTATGAAAACTAGGATCACAAGGGACAGAATGAGGGTTAAAAGAGTGATGAGGGTCATATGGAGGTCATATGTGGATCATAATGAAATCCATTTCACCGTATATCTTCCCGTTTTTACACTTTCTCATTCCTTCATCCCGGTTTTGCGGCATATTTATTTTTCCCAATGCTCTTCCCAGTTTTTTGAAACAATGTCTCAAAATTTCACCACGTTGGAACGATTTTTAGACAATACCTTATCTACTCACTATCGATTTACTCACTGATTCGGTTGTGCACGAAATTTTCTGCGGGAGAAAACTGTGCAGGATTTCCGATAAGAAGTTGTGAAAGCTTTGGAAGTTACTAAATGAGCAGGAATGGAATCATCATCTTACAATATTTCAAAAAAACTCCAATCTCACCATTTTTCTAGGTAAAATAGTAGGATTTCGGAGAAAAAAAAACCATTTTGTCATTTTTTTTCATATCTTTCATGGGAATAGATAACAAACCGTGGGGTAATCCTTTTCGTCAATTAATTAGTTCAAAGTTGCCTAAAGACACATCGATTGAACAAAAGTTGAATCGGTTAATTTGTTCCGGAGAAATCGTTATACGCACACATGTCTTCGAAAAAATTGCAGGCTCTAAAGGTCATGATGCGCGAACAAACCATCGAAATTCAGCATTTCATTTTCGGGATCATCACAATAACTTCCTCCCTTTGGATCAGGAAATTAATAGAACAATCTCCAAAGGATTTTTAACGGCGAAAGGGGTTATAACAAGTAAAAACCTTCAAAATCGTTCAAATGCCTCAACTGTCTTGCGATTGAGTTTCAATTTGTTCACACACAGTTGATCTACACGCAAATGAAAACAAGCATAGATTGATAGTGTCAAAAAAGTTGTTTTCGGTCCAGTGACGAATTAGTATATTTCGATATGAGTGAAACGGAATTGGAAAATTCCCGTTTCACATGTGTCGAACAATATTGTTTGACAGTGATGTTACGTTCAACGAGTGGCCGAACTGTGCCCGTTTTGTTTACAAGTAAACAAACATTACATTAAAGAAGGGAATTTATATAGCGTTCCACATCTTTGTGACTCCATAGGAAATCATTGGATGGGATTTAGATAACGGAGGAGGGGAACCGGAATTACTCTCAAAATGAATAACTAGAAAATTTTTTACTGAAAAAAATGGATAGTCCAGGCCAGGATTTGAACCCGGTACCTTCCGATTATTGTCACAGTTCGGCCACTCGTTGAGCGTAACATTATACTGTCAGAAAATATTGTTCGACAGATGTGAGACGGGAATTTCCGTCTCACGCGTATCGAACAATACTATTTCTTCACAATGTCCGTTTTTGACGGACACGAAGTGTTGTTTTTGTAAAACGACGTTTTACGGGCTGTGTGATGAAAAGTAGTTTTTTACGTGTGAGAGGTGTAGCCTACCTCCCACGGCTCGAAGTACGCTTTTCCCATGACTGTCGGACGCTATTTGTCAGCACCAGTGTTGGGCATCTGTCGATGATCGCAGTTTTTTACATGACATCGTAAAAAACGCGTAATTTACGTAATAAATGTAATAAATGTAAAAAACCAGCCGACGTTACTTTTCATCGTAAACCGTGAAGCTTCGCGAAGATTATACCTCACAAGGGTGATAAATCACGAGGGTCATACCGTGTAAGGGATGAATTTTACAAGGGTCAATCTCATTATTTATTGATCTCTATTGAATTCGTGGCGTCATCACCTTGTGTCTTGACATTAACTTGTCTGATTCAACATTCTTAAATGACGAAACTAATTCAATTGTCTTTGGTAGCTTTTTTGAACTCTTCAGTACAAAATGGTTCTTTTCAGGTCCAACTGGGTTTTTCCCGGGCTACAGATAATAAAGCGGAACATCCAATAAAGTTCAGTTGATAATGAGATTGACTTTCTCACAACGGAGATGACTTGTGACATTGGTCTTTTACAACGTTTGACCCTCGTGAAATTTACTCTTTACGAGGTATGAAGTCATGTTTTTGTGTTTCTTAAAATGCCGCGATTCGTGGATTTTTTTATCATACGAGTCAGGAAATGGTTTTATCGCGGTGTGGCATACAATATTTTATGTCTCTGGGCCCGAAAACCGCAATTCAATCGAGGAAATCGATATTAGAATCGCGGTTTTACAGTCCTAGGGACATAAAATGATATTTTATGCCTCAAGTACCGAGAACCGCGTTCTAACCGAACAAAGTGAAATTAAAATTCGCAGTTTATCTGTCCTCGTCCACAATATACTATTTTTTATGTGTCCAATACTGCGTCTTTGTCACGCGGNATTCGTGGATTTTTTTATCATACGAGTCAGGAAATGGTTTTATCGCGGTGTGGCATACAATATTTTATGTCTCTGGGCCCGAAAACCGCAATTCAATCGAGGAAATCGATATTAGAATCGCGGTTTTACAGTCCTAGGGACATAAAATGATATTTTATGCCTCAAGTACCGAGAACCGCGTTCTAACCGAACAAAGTGAAATTAAAATTCGTAGTTTATCTGTCCTCGTCCACAATATACTATTTTTTATGTGTCCAATACTGCGTCTTTGTCACGCGGAATAAAATAAAACATTCTAGCCATCGAAAATTGCAAGCTTTTCGAAGGAATGTAAAAAATGTAAAAAACTCGTCGAGGTAATTTTCGTAAATTACGTCGGTAAAAAACGGTGTAATTTACCAACGTAATTTACACGCACAACCCTGGTCATCACATACGTGCGAAGTGGCTTCACATCGTGATGAAGAAATTTTCATCGCTCTAGTCTCGAAATATACGATTCCACGTGAAACTTTGCTTGAGCCATTGATATCAGCAGGCACGGAGAGAAATATTCAATAAAAATTACGTATCTTTTCTGTAATTCTGGAGTGAAATGTGGTTATAGGAAATTTTACGGAACTGTCCCGGAATTTTTCCAGAGCATTCCGTAATTTTTATCTGAATCTCCAGTGAAAAATTACGATATCGTCATTTAAATTTTCTGCGTCGATTCCGCAGTCGATGAGCGAATTGTTCCGTAATTTTGACTAAACATTTCTCTCCGTGCATGAAACAAGTCAATTTCCAACATGATTCTGCCCTCCTCACATCAAGTCAGATTAGACAACTCGATTAATGAATTTGTTTATCTTTGCGTGCCTCAATATGAAGTGCTTTCAACAAAATAAAAAGAAAAGGAACTCAAACCTGACAATAATTCCTACGCGCAAGCGTGAATTCACTCCAAACACAGCCGAACAACATCCCGCCCTTTCGCAAAAACATTGCCAAACCCTAGTTGAATCGCCGGGCGTTAACCCAGGAAGAATTTCACGTGTGTAACCCACACCCCTGTCCATCGCTTCCTCGCGATAGAGTATCAATCCACTTTATTATCCCCAATCTCTCCCGCTCCGACATTTTTACATTCTCAATGAAGATTGCAACAATATTGATGGCAATATCCACGAGTCAGTGGTGCGCTATAAAAATAAAAAAAATAATACTCATCGCGCAGGTCTGGCGGTGCTGCGAGGCGCGAGGGATGTGAGGAGGGAGTGAGATGAGGTATCTGGCCAGTGTAACGCTTTAAAATGAGAGAGAAAATTGATGATGAGAGAGTGGGTGAAGGCGGTGCACAGTTTGTCAGATATCCGCAGTCGACGGTATCGCACTGCCCAAAGAGGTAAGATAATCGCATTTATTATGTTCCTCGTGGCTTTGTTATGACTCTATCTTCGACTCAAAGTGATAAACAACTTCGTGAGATCATGACGCCGGTGCGTTAAGTGGAAGAAGGAGTAATAACAGAATTTATTTATGTTTATTTTAATTTATTTATTTATGTCAGTGAAGAAGTTGACAATTCTTGGAAGCAGTTTTTCCGATTTTTTCAATTGGATTTCCTCAGTGTCGGAGTGAAACGAGACATATAAATTGAGGGGAGAAAATGACGAATGATCTTGATAAAAGTATGGATGAGGTCAGATTTTTTTCACTGCTAGAAGCGAAGATTTGAGAGTGCACATGAATGAGTTCAATGATTAATCGGATTTTATCGCTCTTCGGATAGATTTTTTTGCGCTGTTCTGGAGGCATGAGTGATGATAATGTCAAGGGGTGGGTGGCAAGGTGGTGATGTGTGGTCGGTGGTGAAAGGTCATTAAGAAGGACTGGAGTGCATGAGTTTTGGGATGATCACTGCTGGTTTGGGAGGATAAGATTGATTGTAGAGAACGCGCGGTCGGACGAGTCTTTGGTTGTTGTGATTGATAACTTATCAGGTATTGAAGATCCAATTATTTTCTATTGACGATTTATTAATTTTTCGATTTGTAGAGAAGTTATTATTATTGATGAATTATGAATTTTATCAGGTATTGAAGATCCAATTATTTTCTATTGACGATTTATTAATTTTTCGATTTGTAGAGAAGTTATTATTATTGATGAATTATGAATTTTTCGATTTATAGAGAAGCTATTGTATTCATTCTGATAATCGAAAATCTACTTTCAACTTTATATGTCATAAAGCAAATGATGTTAACAATTCCATGTAGAGAATTCCGGCAAAAGTGGAGAGCTGTCAAACGAACAAAACTGAAAAACAAAGTGTTATGCTCTGTGAATGAGGGTTGGGATGGTAGAAATTCTCCGGAAAGATGCAACACTGCTAACAATTTTTGGCGGAAATTTACGGTACGCGTGTTGCAGATTGCTGTCAAGTGACAGTTCCACTGAAAATTCAAAGGATTTAATTGTCGGAAATTCACAATTTCAGAATAAAACCAATGGATACTGTAAATTTTAGTTTAGTTTTTCATAAAAGGCAATAAAAATCACAAAAACTTGGGAAAATGCTGCGTAATTCGGTTTAGAATATTCATGTTTTGGTTGAATATTTAAATAAGTTGGGAAATTCTCATTTTCCGTGCGGCTCAACAATTTGGAATTCCATTGAATTGTCAGTCAATTTTCAAATTTCACAATTTTTCCCACCTACTTTGAATTCAATGTCACTCTTCTGAAAATTGCTACTGAATTTTCCGAGGGGTAATTCACTGGGGAAATCACTGTGGCACTCTGGGATGAAATTACATGAAATCAGTTCTAAAATCACGTGAAATCAGTTGAAATCGAATGAAATCATGTGATTTCACCAAATCGGTGTAATGACAAATTTTATGTTGAAAACTACAGAAAAAAAATGAAAATTTATTATCAACGCAACGCGCATTTTGACGAATAATAGGGGAGGGTGGGGCAAAATGGAACGGTACAAAAAACGAATATAGAGCGAAATTCAGACAACTTACTTTTTCACCTTATCTGAGCTCAAAATGATGATTCGGGGTTAAGTCAGTGACATCAGTCTACTCTGTAGTTATTGCTATCTTGTAATCTAAGGGAGATAGGAGAATTTTGATAAGGACCTTTTTGTAGAGAATTGCAAGGGCTATAAAAAAGGTCATTATAAAAATTTTGCTATCTTCATTGTAAAAAAGATAATTCAAGGTTAAAAAACTGAAGAATAATCTGAAGTCTGTAAATTCAATTATAGAGTAATAGACGATTGTAGATAAATAAATAAGATCTTTGGAATATTATTATTGTTCTATGAATAAATTGAATATTAAAAAAAGGTCCTATAGTTTTTGAAAACCAAAATTCACTAACGTTCCATTTTGCCCCATTCTCCCCTTTTCTTGAAAATTGATAGAAATCTGAAAAGTTAAGGTAAATGAATTTTTGAATTTTCAATTGATTGAAAATTGAAGAATGTATTATATGATTTAGTTTACTAAAGTTTACTAATGTTTTGATTGAAAATTCAGATGAGTTGAGGAATTCTCATCTTTCTGCTCTTCAAAAATTTCGAATTCGAATGAATTTTCGAATGAAAACCCCGAATCATCATTTTTGAGCTCACATTAGGTGAAAAAAAAAAGTTGTCTGAATTTCGCTCTATATTCGTTTTTTGTATCGTTCCATTTTGCCCCACCCTCCCCTACCTTATTTATGATAAATTTGTCGTCATTTGACATTAGTTGAAATCACTTGAAATCATGAAATCGGAGCCAAAACCCTACGAAATCACTTGAAATCAATAATTCCTTGATATGATGTGAAGTCACTTTGAAATCACTTAAAATCAGCAATCACTGTTTCATGATATTCAGTAGTGAACAACCCCTCGGAACTTTCAGTGGAATGGAATTTTTTTCGCAAATAGTAAAGAATATTATGACAAAATGAAAAGCGCGAAAAAAATTCAAGGTCAGCGTGGTGAAATGTGTATACCGTGCAGTAAAATTCCCTCACATCAAGTACTAACCACTTGGTTGTGGAAATTTTCTTGAGCTGTTTGAAAACTTTTGTCGCGTTGTGATACAATGTTCGTCGATGAATTTCGGTTATTTGAAACACCACTGAGACTTATCCAGTGCGGCCCGAAACTTTCCCCAAAAAATAAACAAGATTTAGAAGTTATGAATCACATAGCACCTGCGTATGTGGATGTTTTTCAGCGTTTCGTCATGAAAACGACCATGATCTTCACCCGCGGTCGCTGTGGGAGTCTCATCATCATTACGTGATCTCTTATGCTCAGGGTAATTCTAGTTGGAGCCTAAAAATTGAGGGTTTACCCCCCCCCCCCCCCCCCCCCCCCNCCCCCCCACCGCCATATCCAACCTACACAATAGTTTATTGTGTTACTAGTGCGTAAAGTTGCACATTTTCCCACGCACATCCTATTTGTTGCACGGAGAGAAGTGTTCAGTAAAAATTACGGAATGCAACAATTCGCTAACCGATTACGGAATCGACTCAGAAAATTTAAGTGACGGTATCGTAATTTTTCACTGGAGATTCAGATAAAAATTACGGAACGCTCTGGAAAAATTCCGTGACAGTTCCGTAAAATTTCCTACAACCACATTTCGCTCTGGAATTACGGAAAAGATACGTCATTTCGAGGGGCTGGTCACTCTTCAATCGAGTGACTCCGTGATTTCCAGAATTAGATGATTTCCTGTGATTTCCTGTTGATTTCTGGGATTTCTCGAATGATTTTTGTGATTTCTCAATCAACATTAGAAATCATGATTTCTTTTGATTTCTTGTGATTTCCATGATTTCTAGTAAATTCAAATGATCTCTTGATTTCAAGAAATCACTGGAGAAATCATGATTTCGGGAGCAGAGTGGGGCATCTGTCGATAATGGCAGTTTTCTACATGACGTTACAATACGTAAGGATGTCAAAAACTTCATAGCATCGCATTTCGGCATGGGGTGATTTCGAACGCACCGATACCATAACAAAAATTGTAGAGTTTAAACTGCAAAATCAATTTCAATTTTACACTTATCGATGATTTCTAATGATTTCGGAAAGCACTTGATTTCTTTTTAATTTCTATTGATTTCCAATGATTTCCTGAAATCTTTAGAAATCACTACCGAAAATGGAAATTACTTGATTTCCAGTGCTTTCTGGTGATTTGTTCCTTGATTTCCAGTCGAGTGGCCCAGTGATTTCCTAAGTGACTAGCATCTTATGTAATTTTTATTGAATATTTCTCTCCGTGTGTCATAACTCCCGAGTTCACTTTTCGGAGGTGCCACGAGTGTGAAGCGTTCCTTTTTTTTTCATGGAGTGCGTAAAGTTCAAGGTCGTGAGTGAAGTAATTTACTTTAAGCACGATCTCTGAACTTTACGCACGTCGTGAGGAAAACAAACACTTTACGCCCCCTAAACTGCCACGAAAAGTGAACTTTTGAGGCAGGTGTTGCAGAAATACTATTTTGTTAGTGATGTTACGTTCAGCGAGTGCCGAACGGTGTCATTTTTCGTTTACTAGTAAACGAAAAGTCTTTTCGTTTACAAGTTTCAACTTTCGACACGGGCTGAACGTAGCAGCAGTGACAAAAAAAACTTTTCTAGCTCATATCATTGCAGACTCATATTTTTATGACACCTGCTGAGTTCACTTTTCAAGCAAGTATCACAAAATACTATATTTCGTTACCAGTGCGGAAAAGAGTTTTTTGGCTAGTGGGAGGTTTATGGCACGAGCCGAAGGCGAGTGATATAATTTCACGAGCCGAAAAACACTTTTCCCAGGAGTAGCGAACGATATTTTTCATCACAATGCGTGGAAAAGGGACGTTTTAAAAAAAGAGACAATAGTATATTTCAGTACATGTGGGGCAATTTCGTCTTTAACGTGTGTGGGGTTTACAGCATGAGCCGAAGGCGAGTGATGTAACCACACACGTTAAGGACGAAATTCCCCAACAAGTACTGAACAAAATTTTATGTCACGAAGCCTGAAACCGGCTGAATTAGACACGAGACGCGCAGCGTCGAGTAATGGTCGACTAATGGCCAGTCACAAGCTTCTTGTGACCAATTACGTTAAACAAAAATGATAATAAAAAAATAAGTAAGTTATACATGCGGGTGAAAACGTGGAACTTTGTGTACGAGTAATACAATAGGGGAAGGTGGGGTAAAATGGACACTTGGACTTTTGTAAAATTATTCATAACTCAGAAATAAATTTATTAATTGAGCTCAGTTTGGGCAAGTCACAAAGGGAAAAAGTTGTTCTTTCTATTGAAAAAAAAATATATTAAATTTTATCAACATTTCAACCCCTCATTAACATTTTAAAA